ACAAATATTCACTCTGTGGTTAAAGTTTTTGAAATTTTAATATCTTTCTTAAACTATCCTGGATTTCTACCAAACTTGGACAGAAGCTTGTTTATGATCATAAGATTATATTCAAAAGTAAATTTTGTGAAAAAAAAAATTCCTTTTTTTCCAAATTTTACTTATAAATGGACTTAGTTTTTCTGCCAGTTAACATTACATTCACTCTGTGGTTAAAGTTTTTAAAATTTTAACAACTTTCTTAAACTATCCTGGATTTCTACCAAACTTGGAAAGAAGCTTGTTTATGGTCATAAGATAGTATCCAGAAGTAAATTTTGTAAAAAAAAAATTCCATTTTTTCCGTATTTTACTTATAAGTGGACTTAGTTTTTCTGCCAGTTAACATTACATTCACTCTGTGGTTAAAGTTTTTAAAATTTTAACAACTTTCTTAAACTATCCTGGATTTGTACCACACTTGGACAGAAGCTTGTTTATGATCAAAAGCTAGTATCTAGAAGGAAATTTTGATAAAATTTTGTTCCATTTTTTCAGTATTTTACTTATAAATGGACTTAGTTTTTCTTCCAGTCAACATTACATACATTCTGCAGTTTAAGTTTTTAAAACATTTATTAGATTCATAAATTATCCTGGATTTTTACCAAACTTGGACAGAAGCTACTTACAATCAAAAGATAGTATAGAGAGGAAAATTTTATTATTTTTTTTTCTCATTTTTGTTGAGCCTGCGATTAACAGCAAAAGTAGGCGAGACACTGGGTTCCGCGGAACCCTTACGAATTTTTTTTATTGTAATATACAAGAAGAAAAATGGTTTCAGGGTGGGGATCTTGACTGCTTACAAGTTTTCAAAAAGAAGGGGGTGGGGTTTACCCTCATGGACTTCCTCTAAATTTTATTTGATTTGTTTTATTGTCAAATACAAGAATAAATATGGTTTAGGGGTGGGGATCTCAACCGTTTACAAGTTTTCAAACAGAAGGGGGTGGGGGGGTTACCACAATGGACTTCCCCTATATTTCATTGATTTCTTTTATTGTCCCATACAAAAATATATATGGTTTAGGGGTGGGGATCTCGACCGTTTACAAGTTCTCAAACAGACATGCTGGGAGTGACCCCAGGGGACTCACCTTTTATTTCATTTAATTTGTAACATACAAGAATATATATGGTTTCAGGGTGGGGAGCTTGCACATTTAGAAGTTTTAAAAAATAAATGTGGATAGTGTCCACATGTGGACACAGATGATGCCCCCGCTTGTATATCATATAGTTATAAAGGGACATAACTAAAGAACGGTAAAAGTGACGCTACCCAAATTTGAACTTGATTTTGTGGTAATAAGCATTGTGTGTAAGTCTCATAACATTTGGTTGAGGCTAACTTAAGTAGAGAACAGAAACTAAAAATTCAGCAATTTTTCTATTTGTAAACACGCATATCTCTAGAACGGTTGTGTATAAGTTTTATTTCATTTGGTTGAGACAAACTAAAAAATTCAGCAATTTCTATGTTTGTAAAGGGACATAACTCAAGAATGGTAGAAGTGTCGCCACCAAATTTCGTACTTAATCTGTATTATGTAGTAATAAGCATTGTGTATAAGTTTCATAACATTTGGTTGAGGCAAACTAAAGTAAGAAAACGGAAAAACAAAAAATTTGTACTTGATCTTAGTTTTGTGGTAATTAATATTGTGTATAGGTTTCATAATGTTTGGTTGGGGCAAACTTAGGTTGCAGAATGGAAACTAAAAATTTTGCAATCTTTCGATTTATAAAGGGGCATAACTCAATAATGGTTAAAGTGACACTACCAAAATTCAACTTGATCGGTGTTTTATCACTGGAAGTCAAAATTAAACATTGCATTGTATAAAGCATTGATTGTAGTTGATTCAACTATAATCATGGACAAAGGAAGATAACTCCAATTTTAAAAATAACTTGATATTTAGAAGAAAATAAAAATTTGGCAACTTTTCCATTTATAAAGTGGCATAACTCTAGAACGGTTAAAGTGACGCTACCAAAATTCAAACTTGATCTGTGTTTTGTGGTAATAAGCATTGTGTATAAGTTTCATAACATTTGGTTGAGGCAAACTTAAGTTAGAGAACGGAAACTAAACATTTTGCAATTTTTCCATTTATAAAGGGGCATAACTCTAGAACGGTTAAAGTGACACCACCAAAATTCAAACTTGATCTGTGTTTTGTAGTAATAAGCATCGTGTATAAGTTTCATAACATTTGGTTGAGGCAAACTTAAGTTACAGAACGGAAACTAAATATATTGCAATTTTTTCATTTATAAAGGGGCATAACTCTATAACGGTTTTAGGGACGCCACCAAAATTCAAACTTGATCTGTGTTTTGTGGTAATAAGCATTGTGTATAAGTTTCATAACATTTGGTTGAGGCAAACTCAAGTTAGAGAACGGAAACCAATTTTGGGACGTACGTACAGACGGACAAGGGTAAAACTTAATGCCCCCACCGCTACGGCGGGGGCATAAAAAAAGGAGGGTAGCTGTGAACCCGAGGACTATCCCAATATTTCATTTGATTTGTTTTATTGTCCCATACAAGAATATATATGGTTTAGTAGTAGGTATCTCAACCGTTTACAAGATAAAAGCACATTATCAAATTGAAGGGGGTAGGGGTAAGAATATATATGATTAACGGACACTTAATTATCTACAAAATGTCTAATAATGAACAGTAAATTCCAAACTTCATTTATACAGTAATACTAGTAAGTTTCAAACTGTATATATACAGTCCTACAGATCTTATCAGAAAACAGAAAATTTTCAAATAATTCTGTCACTCCAATGATTATCATATGCTAAAATATTTCCAAGATCTAATTAATAATGAAAATAAATCATTATCATATGCTGAAATATTTATAATATCTAATTGAACAGAACTATGGTTGTTTAACATAGTACTCTAACATAATTAACTAGAGGCTCTCAAGAGCCTGTGTCGCTCACCTGACTCTACTTTGGTTTTAGAAATCATGTAAAGATAGATAAAAATCATAACAGATACCCAAATAATGATTGAGGCCAAATTTGGTTTAATATTGGTCCCGTTATTTAATAAAATATCCTGGTGGCCATCTTGAACAGTAAATCGGCAACAAAGTAGCAACACTTGGTCAGCACCTCATAAGGAACATTCATGCAAAGTTTGGTTTCATTCCATTCAGTGGTACTCTAAAAGAAGACATTTGTATGTATTTCCCATAGGGTCCTATGTTAAACTAAGTCCCCCCCCCCTGGGTGCCATCTTGGATGATGGACTGATTGCTAAGTAACAACACTTGGTCAGCACCTCATAAGGAACATTCATGCCATGTTTGGTTTCATTCAATTCAGTGGTTCTCTAAAAGAAGACATTTGTATGTATTTCCCATAAGGTCCTATGTTAAACTAAGTCCCCCGCTAGCGGCCATCTTGGATGATGGACCGACTGCAAAGTAACAACACTTGGTCAGCACCTCATAAGGAGCATTAATGCCATGTTTTGTTTCATTCCATTCAGTGGTTCTCTAAAAGAAGACATTTGTATGTATTTCCCATAGGGTCCTATGTTAAACTAAGTCCCCTGCTGGCAGCCATCTTGGAAGATGGACTGACTGCAAAGTAACAACACTTAGTCAGCACCCCATAAGGAACATTCATGCCATGTTTGGTTTCATTCCATTCACTGGTTCTCTAAAAGAAGACATTTGTATGTATTTCCCATAGGGTCCTATGTTAAACTAAGTCCCCTGCTGGCAGCCATCTTGGAAGATGGACTGACTGCAAAGTAACAACACTTAGTCAGCACCCCATAAGGAACATTCATGCCATGTTTGGTTTCATTCCATTCACTGGTTCTCTAAAAGAAGACATTTGTATGTATTTCCCATAGGGTCCTATGTTAAACTAAGTCCCCCGCTAGCGGCCATCTTGGATGATGGATCGGCTTCAAAGTAACAACACTTGGTCAGCACCTCATAAGGAACATTCATGCCATGTTTGGTTTCATTCCATTCAGTGGTTCTCTAGAAGAAGTTCAAAATGTAAAAAGTTAATGACGACGACGGACGCCAAGTGATGAGAAAAGCTCACTTGGCCCTTTGAGCCAGGTGAGCTAATAATGTAATAATCTTCAAAATGTCTAATGATATAGCTTATAATCATTAGTATGATTACCACTTAGGAAATAGATAATTTTCAAATAAATCTGTCACTCCAAATTTTATTCTGAGATAAGACAAATCATAACATAATAACAACAGTAAAATATTTAAAAATTCTACTTTTGGATATTAAAAATGGCGATAACTCACAAAGGAGATATACTAAAATCTTGAAAATTAATAGAGACCTTCATAAAGTACCAGGAAACAACATATTTAAATTTGAAAAAAATTTGTTAAAGCTTTTCATGTTATTGTGCAGACACTGTTTGGCAGCCGCCAAATCGCCCAGCCGCCCGCCGTATATCATCACTTTAATAACCGATATTTCCTTCGAAAATCCGGTTAAAAATCACCCAAGACAATAACCAAACAAGAAATATAGAAAAATCCATCCATACATTATTTTGCCATGTTAAAATGGTTCACTAGTTTCAGACCAGAAGACAAAAGTTAAAAGAAAGAAAGACAAGATGACTGTATCCTTCTTTTCCACATTTAAAAGGGGATTATTTTGTTCCCCATTTTAAGCGATATTTTAAGATAATTTTTTCAGAATTTTTTTTTCTACAAACAGCAGATGTCCTCTTCGACAGCACCTGGGGTCTAATTAGTCCATGCAAAATTGAATTCCTACCATTAACAATGCTTAATGTTTAAACCTTCTGAAAGCAACTGATTACTTATGAATTGTTTATTTTTTTTACCTAAATTCATTTTTTAGAATTCAATAAGTAAGGATTTTTCAGATAATAATATACCATATAAATTTTGAAGACCAGATACTTACTTTTGACAACTTCAACATCATCTAAGCCTACCCTGACCCATACTTTCTGTTTGATATTTTCTGCAAAATCCTGTCCAGTTGTTGATTTCCTGAATAAAAAAAAAATAATATTATCAAAAGTTAGTCTGCATATTTCATTTGTGACATCATCTGTTTAGAGTGCCTGCTTTCTCTATTGTCTTGTTGCAAATTTGAAAATAAAATAACTTGTGCCTTTAGAAATTGATTTTATCCATAATTATATTTTGTACTTGTTGCATCAATTTCAAATGAGCTTCACCTCTTTTCATTTTAAACTACAGGCACCATTTTTGGAAGCACACAAACAAAAGTACAGACATGAAAGCATTAAATACTAAACAGAAGTCAATTTCCAGTATTAACATATTGGCAAGAATCACGTTTTGGGATTCTTTTTTACAGTTAAAGGATACTTTCTATGATGATAGGACTCGTGTAACCAGGGTTTGTCCTGTGGGATGCACAGGTTTATGATATGGCATGTCCATACAGAAAAAGACCGACCAGGACCTGTATGCACCTTGATGAGAACTGTGGGTAGGGGGTATACTTCCTGTTGTTGCATATATCACATGATATGTATATTATTGAATTAGATTTTTTTAAACAATAAATTGCTTCGCTGAGCGCAGATGGATACGACTGCAGAGGTCCAACCCTGAACAGTTGGGGCAAAAATGGCCACAATATTCGTGCTTGATACAGGTCTGAATTTGGGATTGAAATTAAATGTTTGACACATAATAGGTTTCTGACACAGAATAACTGTAGTCAAAGAAGTTAGAATTAGTTATATGATTTGAATTTATATTCAATTTTTTACTTTTGTGCAATTCACTATGCTGTTGCGAATTCCCCCCAACCCCCAACCCCCAAAAAAAAAATTTACCCCCTCCTTTTTTTTTTGCTTTTGTGCAATACACAATGCTATTGCAAATTGCCCCCCCCCCCAAAAAAAAAAATTCACCCCCTTTTTTTTTGGCAAAATTTAACACTTTCACCTATGTCAGTTTTGCTCTTACTGCTTTAGTTTTTGAGATGAAAGCCAAAAACTTCATTTGACCCCTATGTTCTATTTTTAGAAACTGCTCCCATGTTTTTGAATGGATCAAATCCCTGTATACAATCTATAAACTAGATACATTAGGAACATTCAAAGTTTTTAAGTATTTGGCCAAGTAGTTTCAGAGAAGAAGATTTTTTAAAAAGTAATTAGACTTTCACAATAAATGTAAAAAAAAAACGTTTTAAGGGCAATAACTCCTCAAGGGGTCAATTGACTATTCTAATCATGTTGACTTATTTGTAGATCTTACTTAGCTGAAATGTATTGCCATTTATACTTTCTCTCTATCTATTATAATATTAAAGAAAATAACCAAAAACAGTAAAATTTAATAAAAATAAACTATTTCCAACAGTAACCCAACAATGGGTTGTCGAACTTGTCTGAAAATTTCATAACAGAAAGATCATGACCCATTTATCACTTTAACTCCCTTTCACTTTTGCTCTAACTGCTGTAGTTTTTGAGATATAAGCCAACAAGAGTGCACACGCTGAAATGTCTCGCCTTCTTTAATAATCATTGATATTATGTTGATAGTCCTAAATATAAAGCTTTATTACAACTGTCACATAAACTTAACATTAACCAAGTAAACTAAACATTAACCAATGAACCATGAAAATGAGGTGAAGGTCAGATGAACCATGCTAGGCAGGCATGTACAGCTAACAATTCTTCCATACAACAAATATAGTTGACCTATTGCTTATAGTTTAAGAAAAACAGACCAAAACACAAAAACTTAACACTGAGCAATGAACCTTGAAAATGAGGTCAAGGTCAAATAAAACCTGCGTGACTGACAAATAGATCATAAAATATTTCCATACACCAAATATAGTTGAACTATTGCATATAGTATTAGAAAAAAAGACCAAAACTCAAAAACTTCACTTTGACCACTGAACCATGAAAATGAGGTCAAGGTCAGATGACACCTGCCCGCTAGACATGTACACCTTACAATCATTCCATACACCAAATATAGTAGACCTATTGCATACAATATAAGAAAAACAGACCAAAACACAAAAACTTAACTGTATCCACTGAACCATGAAAATGAGGTCAAGGTCAGATGACACCTGCCAGTTGGACATGTACACCTTACAGTCCTTCTATACACCGAATATACTAGACCTATTGCTTATAGTATCTGAGATATGGACTTGACCACCAAAACTTAACCTTGTTCACTGATCCATGAAATGAGGTTGAGGTCAAGTGAAAACTGTCTGACAGGCATGAGGACCTTGCAAGGTACGCACATACCAAATATAGTTATCCTATTACTTATAATAAGAGAGAATTTAACATTACAAAAAATCTTAACTTTTTTTTCAAGTAGTCACTGAACCATGAAAATGAGGTCAAGGACATTGGACATGTGACTGACGGAAACTTCGTAACATGAAGTATCCATATACAAAGTATGAAGCATCCAGACCTTCCACCTTCTAAAATATAAAGCTTTTAAGAAGTTAGCTAACGCCGCCGCCGCCACCGCCGGATCACTATCCCTATGTCGAGCTTTCTGCGACAAAAGTCGCAGGCTCGACAGAAACTGCTTTTGTCCCCTATGTTCTATTTTTAGCCATGGCAGCCATGTTTGTTGATGGATCAAAACTTCAGATACACTTTTTAAACTAGATACCCTAAGGAACATTCAGTTAAAGTTTGAAGGTATTTGGCTCAGTAGTTTCAGAGGAGAAGATTCTTGAAATAGTTTATGACGACGACGACGGACCAAGACAGAAGACGACAGACAACGACAGACGCTAAGTGATGGCATAAGTTCACATGGCCCTTCGGACCAGGTGAGCTAAAAATGGAAAGTGCTTGTCTAAATCAAGCTGCTTACCAAACAAGCAGTTAATTTGTTAATGTTTTTAGTATTAACTGAGATTAGTGTGAAGACATTGTTCAATGGACATAATAGGTGATTGCAATATAAAATAAACTGTTATCACAGAGATATGTCTCGCCTTTTTGTAATTTTGATAATGCAAATGTTGAAATTAAAATAGCAATACTTTAACATGTAAGTTATGCAAATATTCAAAGTCAATGAACCATGACTGAAGGTACATGGCTAAACAATCTCCATGGAATGAGATGTGCCAATGCTAATACAACTACATACCAAATACCATTGACTTATTATAAGTCGTTCCCTTTAAACAAACCTAAACACAAACATTAACTTGTAAACTATGTAAAAGTTTAAAAGTCAATGAACCATGATCAGGGGTGGGGCTATATAATCTCCATGGAAACGATGCTTGCAAATGCCAATAAATTTGCATACCAAATATCATTGACTTAACATTAGCAGTTCATCTTAAACTGATCTAATCACAAACTAATACATGTAAACTAAGCAAAAGTTTCAAAGTAAATAGACCATGACTGAGGGGGCAGGGCCAAATATTCTCCATGGAAATGAGATGTGCTAATGCTTATACAACTGAACACCAATTAACATTGGCCTACCACTAATGGTTCCCCTTGAACTGACCTAATCACAAACTAATACATGTTAACTTAGCAAAATTTTCAAAGTCTATAGACCATGACTAAGGGGGCGGAGCCAAATAATCTCCATGGAAATGAGATATGCCAATGCTTATACAACTGCATACCAAATATTATTGACCTACCACTAGTGGTTCCCCATAAATTGACCTAATCACAAACTAATACATGTAAACTATGAAAAGTTTCAAAGTCAATAGACCTTGACTGAGGGGGGCAGGGCCAAATAATCTCCATGGTAATGAGATGTGCCAATGCTTATACAACTGCATACCAAATATCATTGACCTACCACTAGTGGTTCCCCATAAATTGACCTAATCACAAACTTATACATGTAAACTATGAAAAGTTTCAAAGTCAATAGACCTTGACTGAGGGGGGCGGGGCCAAATAATCTCCAAGGTAATGAGATGTGCCAATGCTAATACAACTGCATACCAAATATCATTGACCTACCACTAGTGGTTCACCATGAATCACAAACTAATACATTGTTGACGCCGTCGCCGGAAACAGCATACCTATGTCTCGCTTTTTGACTCCGTCAAGGCGAGACAAAAACTGAAAAAAAATCAACATGATCATTTCTTTTGACATTTACTTTAATCCATCCTGTCACTGATATACTTTAATATAAAAGTGTCCTGCATATTAATGTGGAAACTTACAGTATAATTGTTTTCCTCGGAACAGTGCCACTTCTTCTTTTGACACTACTGATTATAATTAAATCAGAAAATGTCCAAACGCAACTTTGGTCCTTTTTACTCTGTAAATAATAAACAAAATCTGTAAAAGAACTGTTCTTACATCAAAATATCATTTGTTCCACAATTTGTTTGATCTGCATAAATCATTATACTCTATAAAACATCAAATAATCTTCTCATTTCATTTTCAAAGATTATCAAATTCCTAAAGGGATATTAAAATTGATCATGAAAGAACTGAGAGAGAAATGCCATTTCTGAAGCAGATACAATTTTAACTCACAAATATAATTTATATAGACTAGATACTGGTCAATTGGCAGCATCATTAGAGACTTTTCAATGGCACAAAATGACTACCTCAACACTATTGCTCATTTGTTTATTAAATAAATGGGGAATGTGTCCATGGGACACAGATGATGCCCCCACTTGCATATAATGTTATAAAGGACCATAACTCAAGAACGGTAAAAGTGACGCTACCCAAATTTGTACTTGATCTGAGTTTTATGGTAATATGCATTGTGTACAAGTTTCATAACATTTGGTTGAGGCAAACTTAAGAGAATGGAAACGAAAAAAATCAGCATTTTTTTCATTTGTAAAGGGGCATAACTCTAGAACAGTACAAGTGACACCACCAAAATTGTAACTTGATCTGTGTTTTGTGGTAATAAACATTGTGCATAAGTTTCATAAGATTTGGTTGAGGCAAACTAAAGTTAGAGAACGGAAACGAAAAATTCAGCAATTTTTCCATTGGAAAAGGGGCATAGCTCTAGAATGGTAAAAGTGAATCCACCAACATTCAAACTTGATCTGTGTTTTGTGGTAATAATTATGCATTGTGTATAAGATTCATAACATTTGGTTGAGGCAATTTAAAGTGAGAGAAAAGAAACGAAAAATTCAGCAATTTTTCCATTTGTAAAGGGGCATAACTCTAGAACAGTGAAAGTGCTCCACCAAAATTCAAATTTGATCTGTGTTTTGTGGTAATAAGCATTATTTATAAGTTTCATAACATTTAATTTGGTTGTGGCAAACTAAAGTCAGAGAACAGAAACCAATTTTGGGACGTACAGACGGACAAAGGTAAAAATTAATGCCCCCTTCGCTACAGCGGGGCATAAAAATAGTTTTTCTACCTTTGTAGTGAATACTTCAAAAACAAGCATGATAAAAAGAAATGTCAATGTAGCTGTATACTTACAATTATCTGTACCATATCATGTCTGATGTATTGCCTGTCTGGAGACACAAGCTACAATACAAAATAACATCAGTAACTTTAAAATATCAATTAAATTGCTGTTGTTTGTGTTGTTATGAATTTTTTTTGTTTGTTATTTTGTTGAGAACTAAATAATAACAGATGTTGCAGAAACCTCAATCTTTACATACCCTAGGGTTCACTAACCAGAAACCTCAACCTTTACATACCTTAGGGATCACTAACCAGAAACCTCAATCTTTACATACCCTAGGGTTCACTAACCAGAAACCTCAATCTTTACATACCTTAGGGATCACTAACCAGAAACCTCAATCTTTACATACCCTAGGGTTCACTAACCAGAAACCTCAATCTTTACATACCTTAGGGATCACTAACCAGAAACCTCAACCTTTACATACCTTAGGGATCACTAACCAGAAACCTCAATCTTTACATACCCTAGGGTTCACTAACCAGAAACCTCAACCTTTACATACCTTAGGGATCACTAACCAGAAACCTCAATCTTTACATACCCTAGGGTTCACTAACCAGAAACCTCAATCTTTACATACCTTAGGGATCACTAACCAGAAACCTCAATCTTTACATACCTTAGGGATCACTAACCAGAAACCTCAATCTTTACATACCCTAGGGTTCACTAACCAGAAACCTCAACCTTTACATACCTTAGGGATCACTAACCAGAAACCTCAATCTTTACATACCCTAGGGTTCACTAACCAGAAACCTCAATCTTTACATACCTTAGGGATCACTAACCAGAAACCTCAATCTTTACATACCCTAGGGTTCACTAACCAGAAACCTCAATCTTTACATACCTTAGGCATGTTAGGGATCACTAACCAGAAATCTCAACCTTTACATACCTTAGGGATCACTAACCAGAAACCTCAATCTTTACATACCCTAGGGTTCACTAACCAGAAACCTCAACCTTTACATACCTTAGGGATCACTAACCAGAAACCTCAATCTTTACATACCCTAGGGTTCACTAACCAGAAACCTCAATCTTTACATACCCTAGGGTTCACTAACCAGAAACCTCAATCTTTACATACCCTAGGGTTCACTAACCAGAAACCTCAATCTTTACATACCTTAGGGATCACTAACCAGAAACCTCAACCTTTACATACCTTAGGGATCACTAACCAGAAACCTCAATCTTTACATACCCTAGGGTTCACTAACCAGAAACCTCAATCTTTACATACCCTAGGGTTCACTAACCAGAAACCTCAACCTTTACATACCCTAGGGTTCACTAACCAGAAACCTCAATCTTTACATACCTTATAAGGGATCACTAACCAGAAACCTCAACCTTTACATACCTTAGGGATCACTAACCAGAAACCTCAATCTTTACATACCCTAGGGTTCACTAACCAGAAACCTCAATCTTTACATACCTTAGGGATCACTAACCAGAAACCTCACAGTAAATTAAAGAATATCCGTAAGTTTATTTTTGCAAAACTTTTCTGCAGATGATACTTGAATGACATAATTATTCATATCTATTGAATGCTTAAATTTGATAGAGTAATGCATAAAACAAACATTATATATAGCAGGGAGATGATCTATGTGATGATCTAAGTCTTGGTGAACTGTAATTTCAAAGTAATTTTCATGAATTTTTATGATTTTTTCACCAAATCATAAATGATACCAAATTCGACCGTGTATTTCCACAGTCTTTTACGCCACAGCTAAAATTCCAGGCAGGGGTGCAATTAATACTGCAAGCAAAACATAAGAGAAAAACTTATTTTGCTATGTTTGTCTACGTTCCACCATGTTTGTTATTGATATTGTAGAGGGCGCCTTTACTTCTTTCCAAAAACTCCATTAATTTAGTTTTAGATAAAGGTCCTTAAAATATTAATGTATTGAATAAATTTAACACAATTTTACTAAAGAAGGGCACTGTTTTACTTTCAAATTCCTATTCTTTTGTAACATCTACTCTCACTGTATTTGTTTGTGATTTACAAATTCTTTTCTTATTTCCTGTTAATGACAAACACAACTTATCCAATTGTTTTTATGTGATTTTAGCTTCTTCTAACCCTAATGAAGTGTTCTAGAATTATTTACAAACATTTTTAACATCTACTTGATGATGGAAAACTGTTTTTTTACATGAAATACCACAAACAATCACACATGATTTGAAATTACACTAGAGGTTTTTAACAAGTGGCAAACATTTCTCTGAGTTCAAGTGGCAAAAAAGAGTGTGCAGGCAATGTACCAATATGGATTATACACGAACTATTATATTGCAATAAATATCTTACATCAGTTAGTAGCAAAAGCTCTAATCTTTTCAGCGAGTCTTGGCAATCTTCTTCCTGGCGATTCTCATCCAATGTTCCAAGTTTAATAGCAAAGTTATGAAGAACTCTGTCAGCTTCTTTTAATAAATCATAATCAGGATGACTAGATGGAGTATTCTCTATTAATCTCTGTCAAAAAGAATAACTTAACTAATATGTATTATTGTATATCCTTCACTACTGATATGAGATATCCCAATCAATCTGTTTAAGTTTTTTCGATTCTGAACTGATCAATTTTTTTATGTGAATAAAAGAACAGAGTTCCAACATCCCCTGCATTGCACATATTAATCTATCCAAGGTACAAGGGCAATAACTAAAAAATACACCTTTTTTTGTTCTTTAAAATTGTTCATAAATATCTTAGAGAAATGAATGCTTCAGAGCAAATTCAATGTGATTTCCAATATAATTAATATTTCCAAGGGGCATAACTCGTTAAAACTATTTGATCAGCACTTATTTTCAAAAGTGTCAAAGACATTGCTGATATAAACCTTTGATAGAAATTTCATAAAATATTGGCAAGAATTGTACACATGAGAGCTCTAATGATGCAATATTCCATATAATTAATATTTCCAATTTATAAAAATAATTGATCGGCACTGATTTTCGAACTCGTCTGAGATATTGCTGATATAAACCAAGGATATAAGTTTATAAAAATCTGGTAAAAATTGTACATGTGAGAGCACTAACAAGACCAGACAGACAGACAAGACACCTGGGGTTTCTATGTTCCCCCGTAACACGTTGCGTGGGGGACAAAAATGGGTAAAGGTTGAAAAGTTACAGCTCAAAATATCTGTGTGTTAACCAGAACTTTCATACAAGTCAATATTTCTTCCTTGAAACCATGGCCCTATTGGTTCATGTGCACAAACTGGAGTCTAAGTGGTTAGTGTAAACAATAATTCATTTTGAAAATAATAACATAAACATTTTTATTAGGATTGGAAAACTAGTGAATTTTCACTTTTACAAATTCCTCTCATAGAATAGTTGTGAATAAGATTAACCCTCTTCATTTTCTAAGTCAAGATCATATTGTCATGATATTAATGAGTTAATTACATTAGAGGTACCAATTTTACTGCACCAGATGCACATTTCAAAGAATCTGCAGTGATGTTCTAGGCCAAAATATTTGATAATCCAAAACATAATACAAATTTGAATTCCTAATAAAACCAAAAAAGTCCAAAAGTAAAGCCAGATCCTGAAAATGAATCAGAGCTATGCATGAGGGAGATACATTCCTCTATTGCTAAAATTATTTAGCTGCAAACCAGACAGTTGAAACACAAAAAACAAAATCCAAAAATATTGTTTGATTCTGATTTGTCAGGTGGATAGGTAAATATCAGCTGCCAGAAAAGCAATATAACAAATAGATATATATTTAATAATAGTACGGAAGCACATGTATATGTTTTGGTAAAACACGTGTGTTTGTTTACATCAACACATGTTTTTAGAATACCTGTAATGTTTACAATGTATTCCATTGGATGAAATTCGTCGCATTGCGAATTTAAAACAGGTATTCTATGTATCGTATGTTTTTGGCTCGTGTTTCTCGTGCTTGCTGTTTGATATAAATTAAATGTAATTTATAATGTTATTATTCGAAGTTCTGCCTTACGCTGAGTAGCATACGCCGTACTACTGCCTTGCCTGTATTAACCATGACAGACCACCATTCCGAAGACGAAGACGAATTACTACTACACGAGTCTACAACTCCTGTCGTTCTTAACAGAGAAGCTGCATTTCCTAGTTTGCCTATAACAGTACCGTCGACAGCAACCCAGCAAACAGCGCCACAGCAACAAATAAGTGACAGCACTTTTCAACTGTTTACGTCGTACTTCGATTCTAAAATATCTGCATTAAAGAACGAGTTAGTGTCGGGCAACGACTCCTTAGCCACTAAGTTGAAAAAGGAAGCGTCCGTGAAACTAAAGAGTGAAGGTAATCAAATCCAATTTTCTTTCAATTCCGAAGTCCTTGCTGACCTACATAAGCTGCAAAAACGTTTTTCGAAGGAAGATTTTGTTTCTATAAATTTAATTTCTGGACTTATCTTAAAGTTGAACAAAAGAAATAAGCTCATCAGAATAGCCAATAAATCTCCTGCTGGTTGGACCACAGTTCGCGAGTACGAGAGTGACGAAATAGCATCAGATTCAGATGACGAGAAAAGACTCTGACAAGCTGAAAGCAGAGCTCTCAAAACCATCAAGGAGAAGAAAAGTCGTACTAAACCTTACGCTAAGCCTTCAGCTACTGTTTCCAGACCTCCTACTAATACTGCAGATATGCCTCTTCAACAGTACAACCAGCCGCCCTTTCGGAGGAACAGTCGCCAAGAGGCGACTTCCTATGACATGTGTTATGAATGCCACCAATTTGGACACTGGAGGACAAACTGTCCCAATAGAAGCAGCAAGCAATTTACACCAAGGAACAACCCAGCAACATAAGATAAAAGATAAGTTTCTTAATTTAGTAGATGAATATTTGTTGCATGGGCACATGAATATACTTTTCGAACATGTTAAGTATTTTGATAAAGTTGATTTTTCCAAATTCGCCAAAGGCGTCAAAAGTAGTTTATCTAAAAATGTAGCTTTTTGGGAGCACATTGGAGCAAGCAAATTTATAATTAATACTATAAAATCAGGTTATATGATTCCTTTTGTGAGTTTACCATCTCCTATGAAATTCCGCAATAATAAATCTGCAGTTGATAATACTGATTTTGTAAACGAAGCTGTTCTCGAACTTTCGAAAAACGGATGCGTACACGAAGTACCATTACAGCCTTTTGTAGTAAATCCATTAAGTGTTGCCATTCAAAAGTCCGGGAAAAAGAGATTGATATTAGATCTATCTGAATTGAATTTATACGTTTTGAAAAATAAAATAAAATTCGAAGATTGGAAAGTTGCTCAACAATTTTTTAAAAAAGATCTATACCTAATTAAATTTGATTTAAAATCTGGATATTTTCATTTAGACATCTGCAAAGAGCAACATACATATTTAGGGTTCTCTTGGAATGGAAAGTTTTATTGCTTTTCAGTTTTAGCTTTTGGTTTGAGTTCAGCGCCTTACATTTTTACAAAATGTTTACGACCTGTGGTTAAATACTGGCGTGAAAACGGTGTAGATATAGTGCTTTATCTAGATGATGGTTTAGATATGTCAGAAGGGTATTTAGAATGTCAAAATATATCTGAATTCGTAAAGTCCTCATTGGAATTAGCTGGATTTTTGATAAATGAACAAAAATCTGTTTTTGATCCAGTTCAACGCTTGGAATGGTTAGGATTAATATGGGATTCAAAAAGCTTTAGTTTAGCAGTGTCTGAACGTAGATTAAATGATGCAAAAGAATCGCTTGACAATATTTTGAATAAATTTCCCATTATAAGTGCTCGTCAGTTAGCACAATTCACAGGTAGAATTATTTCTATGTCTCCAGTTATGGGCAATGTCACAAGCCTAATGACAAGGCATTTATATTTTGCAATTGAGAACAGAAAATCATGGGATGGTAATTTAAATATTGCTTACACTGAGTGTGTATTAGCAGAGTTGAGATTTTGGTCAGACAGTTTGACAAATCTTAATCAGAAGAATTTTGTGAATGACACCTTACCAAACATAGTGGTGTATTCAGATGCTAGTAATGTAGCCGCAGGTGCTTTTACTGTAGAGTTGAATGAAAAAGTTTTTCATTCCACATGGAGCGAATATGAGAAAAACATGAGTTCGACCTGGCGAGAATTAAGGGCTATTCAATTAGCTTTGTATTCATTTAAATCTGTTTTAAAAAACAGTACTGTCAAATGGCACACCGATAATCAAAACTGTGTAAAAATAATCAATAGAGGTAGCACCAAGATGCATTTACAGTGTTTTGCATATGACATTTTTAAATTTTGTTCGAAGGAAGGAGTCATTGTACATCCAATATGGGTACCCAGATCAGAAAATTGTAGAGCTGATTTTTTGTCTAAAATGATAGATATAGATGACTGGCAAACATCTCCGGAGTTTTTTGAATTCATGGATAATTTATGGGGTCCTTATACTGTTGATAGATTTGCCAATTTTGCTAATACAAAATTGAAGCGATTTAATTCAAAATTTTGGAATCCCGGGAGTGAAGCTATTGATGCTTTTACACAAAATTGGAAAAATGAAAATAATTGGATAGTCCCTCCAATTGATTTAGTTACTAAAAGTATAAATCATTTAGTACTCTGTAAAGCCGAAGGTACCCTGATAGTACCAAAATGGCCGTCTTCATCGTTTTGGACTTTATTATTTAGAAGAAACATGGAATTTCGTCATAATGTATTGGAAGTAATTGAATTTTCCAGTGAACAACGCATATTTCTTCAAGGGAACAACAAGAATTCCATTTTTGGCTCTAAGAATTTTAATTCTGATATTTTAGCTGTTAGGCTAAGAACAATGTAGATAACTGTTTTTGTATTACTGTGACATAGACATGACACATGTTTACAAGGCTATAGAAATGATAGCGAGGTCTTTTTTAGAAATCTGACAAGGCTATAGTACGGAGCAAGGTCAGTAATGATTATATATTAAACGCATTTGTCATGTATTATATACTTTTTTATTTACTATCTGTTTGAATTTTTACATTTTTCAGATATTTTCAGCGTTTGTAGGTGGTCATCAGAAATTCTTTCACCACACCAGCCATTACAAAATTTAGCAAAGTGTCTTCCAGAATTTTGTCTTCACTCTAGAGCTGAAAGCACTCGGAAGAAGTACAAGTACGCCTTTAACAATTTTTGTAGATGGTGTAATTCATTTAATCTTAATTCTTTACCAGCATCAGACTATGATGTTTCGTTATACCTGATTCATTTATGTAAAAAACACAAATCCGCATCTATAGTTGAAGGAGCTTACTATGCAATTAGTTGGTCACATAAACTAGCTGGATTTGCCGATCCTTGTAATTCTTTTTTATGTACATCTATTAAAGAAGGAGTTCATAGGTCAATCGGGCATTACATTGTAAAAAAGAAAGAGCCTATTACACCTGAAATTCTGTACCAGATTGTACAAAAATACGGTAACAAATTCAGTACTTTAAATCATAGAAGAATCGCCTGTATGTGTCTTACAAGTTATGCAGGATTTTTAAGATTTTCCGAACTTGTTAATTTGAAAAGATCCGATTTACAGTTTTATCCTACTTATATGTCTTTATTTATCGAAAAAAGTAAGACTGACCAACACAGAGAAGGTAGTAGAGTGTTGATTTCGAAGACTAGTTCTATGACATGTCCGGTATCTATGTTACACACATATTTATCACAAGCTAACATAGCAATCGATTCTAACGAATTCATTTTTAGAGCAGTAACTTTTCGTAAGAAAACAAACACTTATGTTTTAAGAGGAATTACTCCTCTATCTTATACAAGGGCTAGAGAGTTGTTGTTAGACGCTCTTGGATCTTTAGGTCTAGAAAAATCTAATTTTGGTTTACACAGTTTGAGAGCAGGTGGTGCGACGGCTGCAGCCTCTGCTGGTATAAATGACAGGTTATTCAAGAAACATGGGAGATGGGCATCTGAAACTGCAAAAGATGGGTATGTTCAGGAAAACATATCAGAAAAATTAACAGTTTCTAAAAACCTTGGCATATGACCCTCCCCCTTTTCTTTCTTTGTTACTTTCGAAAGTATGCTACCCTCACAAGGAGAGCTCATTTCTGATACATGTGTTGAGTTTTATTGCATAAATAATTTATGTTCGTTTAAGTCTGGCGAATTAGAACATAAATATATTTAATAATAGTACGGAAGCACATGTATATGTTTTGGTAAAACACGTGTGTTTGTTTACATCAACACATGTTTTTAGAATACCTGTAATGTTTACAATGTATTCCATTGGATGAAATTCGTAGCATTGCGAATTCAAAACAGGTATTCTATGTATCGTATGATTTTGGCTTGTGTTTCTCGTGCTTGCTGTTTGATATAAATTAAATGTAATTTATAATGTTATTATTCGAAGTTCTGCCTTACGCTGAGTAGCATACGCCGTACTACTGCCTTGCCTGTATTAAGCCCCCCCCCCCCCCCCTCACCCCCCACCATCATCAAGACCATCTACTGTTTTTATGTGGAAAGTAATGTTTTACTTATAATGATTTATTTAAGTTGTATTTCTTGTTTTGTAGATTGGTGTATATTTGTATGTATTAATGGTTGGCTGACTGTGATCGAGTAGATTGGTGTATATTTGTATGTATTAATGGTTGGCTGACTGTGATCGAGTAGATTGGTGTATATTTGTATGTATTAATGGTTGGCTGACTGTGATCGAGTAGATTGGTGTATATTTGTATGTATTAATGGTTGGCTGACTGTGATCGAGTAGATTGGTGTATATTTGTATGTATTAATGGTTGGCTGACTGTGATCGAGTAGATTGGTGTATATTTGTATGTATTAATGGTTGGCTGACTGTGATCGAGCCTGTATGACTGTTTATATACCTAATTAATAACGACTGAGATTAAGCCGTAATGTGCTTAAAATGAACTTTGAAACGAACTGTTTGATTTATATTATACATTGGTTAATAAAAAGTATGCTACCCTCACAAGGAGAGCTCATTTCTGATACATGTGTTGAGTTTTATTGCATAAATAATTTATGTTCGTTTAAGTCTGGCGCATTAGACCATAATTGCTATAATTGCTCTGATGACAGGGTATTAATTTGTTGCTTGTTTATACATTAATTGCTGCTGAAATCATTTTCTTAACCATAAAAGTGAACATGTGGTTAGGAAAATAGTCCAGCCAAAAAGATAATGCAAAGCTAAATTTTTTTTTCGAATTCATTTGAAAATTGTGCTGGTCCAGTTCTATTACATAGTGAAAGAAAAGGAAGACAAGTCTGTAAATTATGACCGTTTTGGAAACACTGGTAAAAGGCAGCACTCATACCTCTGGAGGCCTCAAAATACTTGCTAGTTATTCTTTTATAAGAAAATATAAAAGGGGACACAGATGATGCCCCCGCTTGCATATAACATTATAAAGGGACATAACTCAAGAACAGTGAAAGTGAAGCTACCCAAATTTGTACTTGATCTGAGTATTGTGGTAATAAGCATTGTGTATAAGTTTCATAACATTTGGTTGAGGCAAACTTAAGTTAGAGAACGGAAACGAAAAAATTCAGCAATTTTTCCATTTGTAAAGGGGCACAACTCTAGAAGGGTGAAAGTGACGCCACCAAAATTCAAACTTGATCTGTGTTTTGTGGTAATCAGCATTGTGAATAAGTTTCACAACATTTGGTTGAGGCAAACTAAAAGTTCGAGAATGGAAACGAAAAATTCAGCAATTTTACCACTTGTAAAGGGGCATTACTCTAGAACGGTAAAAGTGACGCCACCAACATTCAAACTTGATCTGTGTTTTGTGGTAATAAGCATTGTGTATAAGTTTCATAATATTTGGTTGAGGCAAACTAAAGTAAGAGAACGGAAACAAAAAATTCAGCAATTTTTCCCATTTGTAAAGGGGCATAACTCTAGAAAGGTAAAAGTGATACTGATCTGAATGAGTAATTCATATCTTGGGATTCTTTGCACTGGGTCTAACAATTGTACTATTCAAACCTGAATGAGTAATTCATATGTTGGGATTCTTTGCACTGGTCTAACAATTGTACTATTTAAACCTGAATGAGTAATTCATATGTTGGGATTCTTTGTACATGTCTAACAATTAAATTTCACAAACCTGAATGAGTAATTCATATCTTGGGATTCTTTGCACTGGTCTAACAATTAAATCCTTCATTGTCAGTTTACTTCCACTGTCTCTGTGACATTGCTGTAAAAGAAAAATAAAGACATCAACTACTTAATCTACATGCAAGCTCTGAAATTTTTGAACAATAACAAATAAAATGCTCCTCGGGGTGCAGCTTGATACAACTGCAGAGGTTGAACCTTGAACAGTTGGGGCAAGTATGGACACAACATTCAAGCTTGATACAGTATATCAAAGAACCCCAAAAAATCAATTTTTATTTAAATCAAACAAAGCTAAATTTTGGATTCCGATTTAGACCAACTTGAATACCAGGCCAAAAATCAAAAATCTAAATACATGGTTAGATTCAGCATAACAAAGAACCCCAAAGAATTCAATTTTTGTTGAAATACTACTGTATGTTTTATCATTGTAGCTCTTTTTGTAACCAGAGCTAGGCTTGTTTCTGGTTTGTTTACAACCATTCTTCACGTATTGCTTGAGAACAGTTAACCATGCAGTTTCTGTATTTACTAGTAGACTTGTAGTCATCATTGACTTTTTTGTATTTTTACTACGAGTCATTGGTTGATAGATCTATAACCAACAGTGGAAAAAGACCTAGTAACTTCAAATAGTTTAAAGATATAATACCTACTCTGAGCAAAGTGGGCAGAAAATCATATTTACATAAGAAATCTTAAATGCAAAATGCTCCAAAAAATTTTTGTAGGTAGACAAGCCTTAAATAACATTACACAAGATTATAAAGCAATCTTATCCAGAGTGTTTGAGTGTATTGATGCACACAGGTTCAAACAGTATTCCAACAGCTTTTCACAAATGTTGAGGCAAATTCTATTGTTTAAGTCAAAGATAAATGGATTGAATTACAAATATTTTCTTAAACAGTCAAGAAGTACATTTACCTCTATAAATCTTTGTATCGATGATTTATTTTGTATGATGTTTTCTATTTCTTTACCAGAAGTCTTGAAGTTCTCTACAAATGACAGGTAACAATCCAGAACAGTGTTTTTGGAAAACTGAAAAATATAAAAAAGAATTCAATCAAGTCAAATTTTGAAATCATTTGAAAGCACCATGTTCTTGATTCGCCTAACATATTGTCTCTTATGCTCTATTTGTCCTCAATATTGAAGTATGCTAAAAATAAATGGAGAATGTGTCAATGGGACACAGATCGCTTGTAAATATGCAGGAGTCAACTTCCACATACAGATGCAGGATTCACATAGTTAAGACCATTTTGTGATTATAAGCATTGTGTAGAAGTTTCATAACATTTGGTTGAGGCAACCTTAAGGTAGAGAACAGAAACAACAGATTTAGAAATTTTTCCATTTATAAAGGTCATAACTCAAGAACGGTAAAAGTGACTCAACCCAATTTTAAACTTGATCTGTGTTTTGTGGTTATAAGCATTGTGTATAAGTTTCTTAACATTTGGTTGAGGCAAACAAAAGTTAGAGAACCGAAACGAAAATATTCAGCGATTTTTATGTTTATAAAGGGGCATAACTCATGAACGGTAAAAGTGACGCCACCAAATTTGAACTTGATCTGTTTATTTGTGGTAATTAGCATTGTGTAGAAGTTTCATTACATTTGGTTGAGGCAACCTTAAGTTAGAGAACAGAAACAACAGATTTAGAAATTTTTCCATTTATAAAGGTCATAACTCAAGAACGGTAAAAGTGACTCCACCCAATTTTAAACTTGATCTGTGTTTTGTGGTTATAAGCATTGTGTATAAATTTCTTAACATCTGGTTGAGGCAAACAAAAGTTAGAGAACCGAAACGAAAATATTCAGCGATTTTTATGTTTATAAAGGGGCATAACTCATGAACGGTAAAAGTGACACCACCAAATTTGAACTTGATCTGTTTATTTGTGGTAATTAGCATTATGTGTAAGTTTTATAACATTTGGTTGAGGCAAACTAAAGTTAGAGAACGGAAACCAATTTTTGGGATGTTCGTGGCGGACGGACAAGTGTAACACTTAATGCCCCCTCCGGATCCGCTACAGCGGGGGCATAAAAAGCAGTTAATGTGTTTCATTATATGCATAATTTATTAATTGTATTTGATTTTTTTTTAAAATGTTGAATCAATGTACTTCAATAAAACATTGGAATTTAGAATATTTCACATTCAGTAGTAGTATAGCCATGCTTAGATTATACAGTTTTGTTATGTAGTCGCTGAACCATGGAATTGAGGTCAAGGGCAATGGACATATAACAGATGGAAACTTATTGGGGCATTAGCTGTCAACTGACCCGTATTCTGCGGGTTACACCCAAGAATTTCCCCCTTCACACAGGATTTTTTAAATACCCGCTAGGTATTCAAATCACCCGGGATTTCAATAAATGACCTGTTTTCACCCGTATTTCTTACCGGGATTGTTTCCGGTATTTAGAAGTCAAATTTACTTTCGGTTTTCTCTGCGTTTTTCCTTTGAAAAGGTAAACAATTGAAATTTGCTTATTTACCGTGCCAATGACAGCTATCAAAACATTACATTTGACTGAAAAGTAACAATTGGAGGATTGTTTGTTAATTGTACCACAGAAAGTTGAAGCCAGTCAAGCTTGACATACAATTCTATGTCCTGATTAAAAGATTTGCCGTTTGCAAATATCAAATATCCTGTAAAAATCATTTTAAAACAATTTGAACTTTTTAATATATTTCTGTTGGAGAGAATAATTTTGCTATCACTTAAATGTAAAAGCTTTAAATCAAATCCATATGCTCTAGATATTACACTGAAAGGAAACAAACTTACTACTTTCTATTTATCTTCCTCCTATGTATAGGAGCACATTAGCTATAATTGATTAGCTGGGGTTTATGACATTCATTAATAAAAAGAAGTAAACTAGTGTGAATAAAACAATAAAAGGGCATTGCTTTAGAAAGATATTTAATTAATGATACATATTTATATACTTAACAAATACAAAAGTGATTATTTTAGGAAACTTAGTGGTACATGTGTATGTTATATTATATATATAAAAAAAAAAACTCTCAATACTAAAATTGGACCGAAAAAGTTCGTACACGTTATGACCTGTCATTTTCTTCTTCAATGCATTTTCAGTTTCAGAGGTTGACAGGTATGAAATTCATGTTCACTGATTTGACTCAAATTCTTATATTCGACTTATAACATACTGAAACGCATATCCAAATTATAAAAAGTCTAAAATAAACAATTTACGATGTATAGACTCGATAGTATATGTCAGCATTTCGTGTGTATTTTAGTCTAGTTACTATCTAATTAACCATCAAGGTTACCTCCAAAGACTGTTGACGGTCATATAACCTGATACAAACATAAACATAGATATAAATAGATTGCGAACACGTGCAATTAGATTTTTCTAGGTCTGTTTGATTTCATATTATAGGTTAAAAAAATATGTTAATAATCATTATTACCTGTATAAGAATGAGTTTTTCTAGATCGAACCAGTCAACCAAATGGTTTACTCTTGTTTCACTTTCAATGTTTACATTCTTTTCCATTTAATAACTGAACACGCCTAGATCATGCGTAGCCCATCTCTAGCTATAGGGATCAATCAAAGTTCACATGAATACGGATTCAATGAGATCGAATTATTTAGCGATTTCTTTGCTTAATTTGACAAAACTGAACCAAACTGGCTGTTACAAGCGAATTATTATTTCACTTTCATCAATGATTGAACAAAAAAAAATTATATTTTAATTTCTTTTATATATCGTAGCTAATGCCCCTTTAAGAACATAAGGCATCTGTATACCAGGTATGAACATGATCAAATTATCAAGCCAAAGATATACCATTGAAGCCAAAACAGATATCATTATGGTAAAAACATAGAGAGTTTGGCACCTTGGGAGAACATTGAGTAGAAAAAGATTCTAGCCTTTCCCTTCCTACATGTAAAATGAACACTAAAATATGCACTGAGATTGAACCTACACACTTACTGTTGAAATAATAACATTTCCAACTGTGCTTGACTTTGTATCCCAGGTTCTCCAGACTTTGTCTAAAGCATTCTTGTATACAGTGTGATGCATCAATATTTCAGGAACCATATAGAATATATTGTCTACAATATTATCATCTACATTACTAGATAACTTCAGCGGCAACATGTATTTCTACAATGAGAAAAAAACATTATATCAAATTGTGTGTTTTACAGCACAATCACCACAAATATAAGTCACTTAAGGTCATTGAAAGATAATTTTAATGATGCAATGTAAGAAAGACAACTCAAGTGAACCAGACTGAACCTAGTTGTAAAATATTTAACAAAATTAGCTTGTGTATATGTACAAGAAATCTGCATATTATAAAAGTTCTATTTGGAAATCTGTAGGAGGATATAGAGAATAAACCATGTACAATATAAGGGACTAACAGACATACTGAAAGAAGGATGAATGGACGAGGGTAAACCCCTTTTTGTTGCACAAAATCTCTTTTAAATTTTTATAATGAAGCATTTAATAATTTTGGTTGATATAGATCTTGACATTTCGTACATTTTTGCCCCATATTTTCTGTACCTAATATGGTTTTCAAAATAAGTGCATTAGACACTTATCGTTACTTGAATTTTAGTTTTTTATCCATCATGTCCATAGTGGCAATGTTTATTGATGGTCAAAAATAAAATGAACAAACTATAATCTAGACAACTTGGATTGGTGGTTTCAGGGAGAACATGCAGAAGTTTTATGAAACAGTTTATAGATGAAGGATAGACACCAGACCTTCATCAAGATTAGCTTTAAAAGAACAGCTTCCCAAATTATCACATCCTTTGTGTCCCCATTGAAGAATTGGAGTTTAAAGATAATGATTGAAAAAAATTGTCCTTGGGTCAAGCAAGGAAAACACTTACATCCTTCAGTGTAGACAAAGCATCAACATATTCTTGTTCATTTCTGTACAGCTCTTCTACAATGTGGTACCTTTTATCCTTAAAGAAAGAAACAGGATTCTTAAAATATTCATCACTAAATACTTTGTTTTTAGTCATGTTAGTGTGGCATTATAATAATTATTTCAATGGATGGTTGTAATATTTTAATAATACTGTAATCATAGAATAAAGTAATATTTGTAGAGAATTGCAGGAACGTAAAGGGTAACTATATGCAAAACTGTATGATGTGGTGTAACTATGTGAATATTGTAACTTGTTTATGATTATGTTTGAATAGAATATTGAACTGTACAGTAGTATTTTCTTTAGAATCAACCTAACCTTATAACAACGAGAAGTACACAACTCAAAACCTAACATTAGCCGTGACCAGCTTGTTACTCATCAGCCCGAAATGTGACTGAAATGAAATGAAATCAGATCAAAATATTCAAAATTTTTATTTCTGACAAACCTGCATTCTTAGCACAAAATTAAAATTTTCATGAATAGTACAAGCATAATTTCATCAATTGTTCCAATCACGAGGTTATTTTATGATTGTTGACAACAAGGTTCATGCAGTCTCAAATTTCTTGGTTTTTTAAAGACAATTTAGCTAATTGAACCACATTTAGAAATAATCTAAAATATGAAACATTTATATAACAATTTGTTAATAAACTGTTGACACAGAGAAATGTCTCACCTTTTCGCAATTTTGATAGTATAATGAAAATGTTGAAATTAAAATGGCAAAACTTTTAACAAAACATTCAAAGTCTTTGAACCATGACTGAAGGCTTAGGACCAAATAACCTTCATGGAAATGAGAAATGCCAATGACTATAAAATTGCATACCAAACATGTTTTAAAAATCATGAGAATTTTGATGTTCAACCTTAGAACAGGTTAAGAAAGATGAAGCAATATAGATAATGCTTTCACTGAAACCCATTTTGCCCCAAAATTTCTGAAAAACACAGCAAAATTTTGGTAGTCAGTTTTGGTATAAAGTATAAATTTTATATTTTTCGATTTTGCTTTATTTTCAGTGAAAAAAACTTACCATGGTAATTGTTGTCATAATACATGTAATATGCTGAGATAATTCAGAGTGAATCTTTCATAATAACCAGCATCACAGAGAAAAATCACAACCAATAGTACTTTGCATTAGAGTCTGCATAGCAAATAGCAAGAGTAGTTCATAACAAAAAGCACATATATATGTGTAGTATACCTACAGAATATATGAATGGCCTTACCTTGTTTTCTTTCTTGCACAAAGTTGGCATACTGGTAGACTGAACATCTATAATACTTGGTGGAAACAGTGACACTGGATTACATTCACTGCTGGCTATACTGTGCTTCCTAAGACTATTCTCTCTGTCTAAATATTTTCTTTCCCTTTGTAACACACTTGCTGAACTGACACTTCTAGCAATATTTTTCTTGTTTGTATTAGGAAGAGTGAGATACTGAGGAGAGTTATCTGTAGGAGTAGAATCCTCAAATGTAAAACTAGATACATATAATGGAGGTTTGTTGAAGGATTCATCAAAAGACTGAGATGTTTGTAATGGTACATGACTATTATCGTTATCAAGGTCTGTTATCAGATCTGTATGCTGACTTTCATTTAACACAATCTCCTCCTCCTCCTCCTTTGTATCTTGCTTAGCTAAATGTGGAGAACTGTGAGAGGGTTTTAGAACACCAGGTATATCAGCATTGTCTATAGACTTGCTGCCTATAGGATCACTTTTGGATTTGGGTTTTGATCCACGACCATTTCTTGGTTTTTCCAAAGCAATAATTTCACTATTAATACTGACATCTTCACTGACAAGACTCTGGCCTAACTGACTGTCAGCTAATGATATGTCACTAGGCTGAGACTCCAAATCAAACGATGTTGTTGGTGGAGCTTCATAAGAATGAGATAATGAACCAAAACCATTTGTATCTACAGCACCCTGTTCCAAGGGGAATGTAGTCTTTGTATTAGGGGGGTGAGTAATATGCCTAGAATTAGAGGTTTTACGACCATTGCTACTGATGGGTCGTAATTCTACACGTTGTAAACGTTTATAACTTGGTTCATCACTTTTACATGGTTCTGGCAGTGGTTTATGAATTTGCATTAAACCTGCATAAGCAGGTCTTCGTTTTGGAGCACCTATTTTATGTAACATTAAAAAGCGAGAATTCGTATCTGTATGTCCTATTTGTTTTTGTTCACCTTCAGAATCTAACCCTTCATCATCAGACAAAGCAGGACTTTTACTGTCACTTTTCCTGCCATGGATCCACCCTTTTCTAATTGCCTGAGACTGTTGTTGATCCTCCGTTACGATTATCTTACCAGGAGATCCTAGAAGACCATCAGAACTTGACCGTCTATCACACTCTTTCATCTTTCCTGATAACAACTGACTATCACTGATAGATTTAGCACCATCCTCTGTGGGATTACTCCGTTGCTGTTCCACTCCCATACGACCACTTTTAAGAATATCTGTGAGAACTTTAAGGCTGCGACTTCTGTTTCTGTTTAGCAATGGGTTTTCTTCAACTGAAGGTGAGGGTATGGGAGATGTAAATGGAGATACATGTGTTGATTGGGATTTAGCCTTGGGAAAAGTTTTAGGTCGACTGTATGTTTTTTTGAAGTCAACTTGCTGTAGTTCTTTGATATCTTCCATTGTTTTATCAATGAGAGCTTTAATTTCTGCCCCTTGACCAGGATCTGTTTTAGATCTGCCATGATGGCCAGGACAAACCCGCTCATTGCCAATAAACTCTGGCAATTTTGGACGTGAAATCTTTGGTGATATTGATGGGTTTATTTGCTCCTCATCATCATCACTGGCTGAACACTGTCCTGATGATGATTTCTCTTCCATGTTTCTATTAATAATTCTATTGATTAATTAACATCCATTCACATGTCCTCAGGTAGTAAACCTCCATTAGACATCACTAGGAAACAACAGATGTATCTACGTAAATAAGTACACATAGCTATAATCTATAAATCCATGCTGCAATAAAAAGAAATAGAGTACAAGATTAAAATGTATGTCTTACTTGAACATGTATTGCAATAATTATTAAACTGTTGTACAAAATGCTGTAGGGGTGCGTGTGTTAGTTCTGCAAAAACACCATTTTCAAACTAGCAAAATCCAGCAAATTCTGATAGTATTGAAGAAAATAATGTCTCAATCATAGAGCAAGCTTTTGGATAACACTAAATAGTATTTTGAAACAACCTTACAGCACATTGACTTGAGTGTGTAGGTAAAGGTAGTATTTGGTTAGCTTACTTGCTAATTGAACCATGAAATCATTATAAGCTAAGGTACTACCTTCCTTTGGGCGGAGTCAAATATAAGCAGAGAACCAATCAAAAGTAGGAACAGTATATAAACATTGTGAAACCAGTTTTTCAAGACACTTAAAATAAACGGGGAATGTGACCATGGGACACAGATGATGCTCCCGCTTGCATATCATATAAAGTTATAAAGGGACATAACTGAAGAATGGTAAAAGTGACACTACCCAAATGTGTACTTGATCTGAGTTTTGTGGTAATAAGTATTGTGTATAAGTTTCATAACATTTGGTTGAGGCAAACTTAAGTTAGAGAACAGAAGTGAAAAAATTATGCAATATTTCCGTTTGTAAAGGGGCATAACTCTAGAACAGTATAAGTGACACCACCAAAATTCAAACTTGATCTGTGTTTTGTGGTAATAAGTATTGTGTATAAGTTTCATAACATTTGGTTGAGGCTAACTTAAGTTGGATAACAGAAACGAAAAATTCAGCAATTTTTCCATTTGTAAAGGGGCATAACTCTAGAACGGTTAAAGTGACACCACCAAAATTCAAACTTGATCTGTGTTTTGTGGTAATAAGCATTGTGTATAAGTTTCATAACATTTGGTTGAGGCAAACTTAAGTTAGAGAACGGAAACCAACTTTGGGACGTACGGAAATACATACGTACGGACAAGGGTAAAACTTAATGCCCCCTGTGCTACGGCGGGGCATGAAAATATGTTTTCAATCCAAATTTAGAATCAAGCGTTAATTACAAGCTAATTCACAAGAATGAGTAGGTGTGTCTGATTTGTCAATTTCATTTCAATCAATTACTACCTCTGTTGATTATTTTACATGTGTAATTCTATACTGAAAAGCAGATGTTTACAATTATTTAATCAATTAATGAAAAAACTGTTCATATCCTTGTTATATATTTATATATATATATATATGTTACAACTCTAGATTCTACTGACGAGGAAAGGTAACACTAGGCCACCGAAAGCTGAATTTTTAGTTCAGTCTAGGTGGCAGAGTGGTCTAGAGCGCTGGACACAGTGCAGGCGGTGTTGTCTCGATATCTCAATAGCATGAGTTCCAATCCCGGCAAGGGAAGAACAAAAATTTGCTTCCACAAATTTGCAGATTTAACATTGTTGTGCTGATATTTAGAGTAGTTATAATGTAATATGTGTTTTCAGCCATGTATCACCTTCACTGGTGATCCAATGGATGGATCTGTCGTAGAGTTGTCACTTGTTTAGATGTACTTATCAAAATAATTATTTCTGTGACTGCATCATACGATCCTTTACAATAGATAATTTAGCTAATCTGCAATCAATTCCATCATCATGCCTAATATATCATGTACTGTGTTACAACTCTAGATTCTACTGACGAGGAAAGGTAACACTAGGCCACCAAAAGCTGAATTTTTAGTTCAGTCTAGGTGGCGGAGTGGTCTAGAGTGCTGGACACAGTGCATGTGGTGTTGTCTCGATATTTCAATAGTATGAGTTCGAATCCCGGTGAGGGAAGAACAAAAAACTCTACGACAGATCCATCCATTAGATCACCAGTGAAGGTGATACACGGCTGAAAACACACATTATATTCATAATTATTTCTGTGACTGTATCTAACAATCCTTTACATCTTATTGTTTGTTATTTCCCTAATCTGGCATTGATTGAAGATCTTTGATAGCTATCACTGAATATTTACGAGAAATTTTTTATCAACTTGGGAGAACTCATACATTTGTAGCTAGACACCTGTCTATTTTTGTTAATCTTGCCTAGAAAAATAGCGATAAATAGACATATTTGATCTAAAGAAGTTTCTCGGCTACATCATGTCTCAACACTATCACCCTTAAATAATATTGTAGCTGAGAAACTCCCTCTCATTTTCTGAACCATAGATAGTCTTTTATTACAAGATGGGGTATATGTCAATGAGACGGCAACACAACAACACAATAACATCTATATACATGTACATAGTGTTAAAAAAAATAGTGTTTAGAAATGATGTCTAGCTCTGAGTAAGCGTGATGCCTTGTAACGTTTTCCTGACACCCAGCCTGTTTTTGTTGAAATATTCTGCAGCATAAACCTTTTCCATCAAATTTTGTAACACCCTGCTGTAAGGCCAGGATTTTTTAATTTGTTGGTTTACAGATTTTTTTATGTGATAAAGTCAGGTAGGTCAGTCGGGGTTAAAAAAGAAAATAAATGGAGAATGTGTCCAATGGACACAGATGATGCCCCCTCTTATATACATTATAAAGGGACATAACTAAAGACCTCACCTGTAAAATTGAAGCCACCCAAATTTGAACTTGATCTGTGTTTTATGGTATTAAGCATTGTGTATAAGTTTCATAACATTTGGTTGAGGCAAACTAAAAGTTCGAGAATGGAAACGAAAAATTCAGCAATTTTTCCATTTGTAAAGGGGCACAACTCTAGAACAGTAAAAGTGACGCCACCCAAATTCAAACTCGATCTGTGTTTTGTGGTAATAAGCATTGTGTATAAGTTTTATAATATTTGATTGAGGCAAACTTAAGTTAAAGAACGGAAACAAATTTTGGTACGTTCATACAGACAGACAAGGGTAACACTTAATGCCCCCTCTTCAGAGGCAGGGGCATAAAAAATATCTAACAAGACATAAATATATATGAAATTAATATATTTTTCAGCTTACTTACAATATTATTGGTATGCTTTTTTGTTATTAAAAAAAAAGTTCCCAACATTATTGCTCAGCTGTCAGGGGTGAAACTTAACTTTGTAAGGCCAGTAGCCAGCTGGGCTACTAGACTTGAAAATCAGTTAGCCCAGACAAAAAGTTAGTAGCCCACTTTATTTCACTATGAGTGTCACTGGTGAAGCCCGCAAAGCGGGCTGAACTTGCTAGGGGGGTTTGGGGGCATGCCCCCCCCATGAACATTTTGAAATTTTAGACTCAAAACCCTGCATTCTGAGCATACCTGGAGGTGATTTAGATGCTTGGGAAAAAGTAAATTTTGTCTTATTTTTGTTGTTGACTTCAATCAAATTTAATAAAAAAAAATCATTTACAAAATGGGAATCTTCATACTCTGTGTACAAGTTTTTTTTTTAATATCTTTTAAAGACAACTAAAGAATTCTCTGTCCTTAAATACATGTAGATGATCGATGAAATATTTAATTTTATTTCTTTCATAATCTAATTTATTAAATATCTTAATCGATTTATTTTGCGTAACTACGTACATTTGTAAACAAATGACCCCCCTTTTTTCTCGACTTGTACAAGTATTTCAAAAGCATTGTCAAAAAATTGATATCTCCTCTATTTTCTCTTTTTTGTAAACTGTTCAGTAAGTAGGAAACTAAAATCATTTTGATCTAATCATGCTAATGTTATTTATTTGTGGTCGACAATATTCTCACTCGTTTTTGACCTTCATTCTCTGGACACCACGTGGGCTTTGAAAAGGGAACTACAAAAGGTACTGTTTTCCAGATTCTTAACAACATTATATATTATACGTTCTTTTATTTGACGATATTATTTCATTACATGCTATTGTCATCTTCTCTGAATTTCTTCGCTTTCTTGAAGCCAAAGCCGAAAAGGGTATTTGATCGCTTCATATTGTAAATGACCATCAGAACGTCTCTCTTGTTATCCTTGCAAACATACGATACTTTCCGGACTTTAAATAGACGACCAATCAGTGACCTGAATTAACAGGAACTATATTTAGTCAAAGGTAAACACTGATTTTACATCCTTGTTTATCGCAAACACGACTTTGCGACAATACGACTCTCGACATTTGCCTGTATACATTTTAAAAAGATTTTTTTTTCTTTTTAAATTTATATTTTTGTCAGTGAAGTAGCCGGCACTTGGAGCCACGGTAAACAGCGGATTTCCGTCTGACGATGTACTTTGTTTTCAATTCGCCACCTGGGCTACCACAACTGAATATAAAGATCGCCCAGGTCAATTTCTGGTGGCCATGGGCGACTGGGCGACCGTTAAGTTTTTTCCCTGGCTGTTTTAAACATACATGTACAATGCATGTCATCATCATCATATAATTTCAGTAATGTTTATTATTTGAAGTTATAAATCAAATAATATGAGAATTTGAGTCAAATTACAAACATAAATATGACAGCTGATGCCCCTTTAACATGTTTAAATTATGAAGATATATTCCGCACCATTTTTGCTAACCTCAGGACGGTGTCAACCAGTGACACCCCCTCCCCGAGGCGGATTTAAACCAGTGACACCCCCTCCCCCGAACCAGATTTAGGGGGCAGGGTGCCTGTGACCCCCTTATGGAGCTAAATTTATGGTAATTGAAAACTTTTTTACCCGTTCCAATCCAGACGTCTAGTTAACCCTCTTGCTGCCGAGTTTTTTTCTTGCTTTGTCGCGCCAAAAGCATCTTGACGTTTCATATCTGTGACGTTGCAAAACTTGTGCCTCTCTGTAGAACAGCGCTTTCCCGCCGTCCATAATTTTTCCCGCGTCAATGTAGCCGTAATTATGAAGAGCGATGTAAAAGTAATTTTATGAAAACTATTGCTCTAAGATTGTTATAAACGATGTTTTTAATACAATATTATTTAAAAATACAACTTTTAACCTTGAAATGTAGTTTTTTTTTATCTTTCTTGTCTTTAAAAAAAATGAAAATAATATACCCATTAATTGCTACTAGCTTTATAAGTGCTTTTTTTTTTTATCTTTGTCAAGTGAAATGCATAACTGATTCTTAACCACCTCTAAAATACTAAAATATATTTATCCTTGTTATCCGATTAGCTTAGTAAACCTTGTTATAATTGATAAATACCGTAAAAAAATCTCTCAAATAATCATATAAACAAAACAACGGCCCCCAATAAAAATAAAAACAAAAACAATGCGTGTACAAATAAAAATAAATAAAAACTCCGAGCAGCCGATTCTATGAACTACTTCTTGTTGTAACGTATCAAACGTGTCAGATTAAAATTTTCATTCCAAGCCTTGTTTCGGTAGGCGAGAAAATAATTTTTATAGATATAACTATCCATATTCATTTTGTTTATTTTTTAATCATGTTTATTATTATTTTGTTGACCACTTATTCCTCAAAATTTTAGAGAAATGTTTGAAAATACGAATTAAAAAAAAACAACAGAAAAACGAGGGAAGAAATTCTCTAAAATTAATTTCTATTGTCTGTAAGCATGACAAGTGAACCTGAATCAATAATTCATTAACATTTTCTATGATGAAGTACACACTGTAATTGGCATACACGAAATATCTTTTAAAATCTGTTGATTGATAAATTGTTCTCTTCTCAATGTTCAGTGGCAAGTAATTCATGCAATATTAAGGATGTCTGAAATTTAATGTCCAATAAATCTGTTGCTCAGTGGGTCCTACAAAGTAAAAGATCTGTGATGAATGGCTGAAAATTGAGGTTGCCACTGGGAAAGGATGATATGTAGGATAGGAAAAGAAATCATTGGGTCACCTACTAATTTAACATATTTTTAGATTAGTGCTTCAATGATGAAACGGGTATAAAATGTATTGAAATATTGTATGGCAATACAAGTATATCGGGTAACATTTGTGTACTTTTACAAAAAAAAAATCTTCACTGAGAATTCAATCGCGGCATTTGAGCCCTAAAGAAATTTTCCAGTTCTCTTAAATAAAGCGTGTATTGTGAATATTAATATTTCGCGTAATCAAGTATAACAGTTACCTTTTCTATGATTATTTATTAGGAATGCGATTATTATATGAGATATTCTGATTGAAAGATGTATGAAAAAAACGTTTAACAAATTTCTCGAAAGTATGCAACATTTTACATGAAAATGACGAACTATATAATTAGTAAACATGTTAAATAAATTGGTATTATAGTACTAACAAGCTTATGATCCTGTATCATTGTTTAACATCCGTTTTAAGTATACAAATAATGCATTTTAATCAATTTGCTTCATTCCCGCCAAAATCGTCCTTTTGGCGCCGTCAAAAGACGTTGTCAGTGCCCCTCAGTATTGTGACGTTACCATGAACCTTTGACGTTCTACACAATCAACAAGATTTGTGTGTAGAAGCCATAAATGTCCCTTTGGCAGCAAGAGGGTTAAAGGCCTCTGGGCCCCCTTTTTCAAAATCCTGAATCCGCCTCAAATAAAACCTACCCTGTATATAGTTTAAACCAAAATGTATAGTACAAAAACAAAGAAAAAGAAAATGAAAGTACTTTTATGCTGAATTTTAAAGCAGAAACTGAGTGCATTACTGAAATAAAGTGCCAATGGATAAATTTGACGATTGCTAGTTAATTAGCGCTGCCATGGTCCCATAGAACATTTATTCTTGTCGCATAATTTTTCAAATATCAATTAAGGCTAAACATTACTTTGAAATTGTTATGTGCTAAATAAGAAACCATTGACGAGTTTGATGCATTACTTGTCAGTTTGTAAATTGTAGCTGAAGATGAAATAAAGGTAAACAAAAGGAATAGAATGATGTCAGAAGTTTGTCGAACATAAACAAATTAGTATGCCAATATCATGTGATGCAAATTAATGTGTAGAAAATTATTTTTGAAACTGTTTATCAACTTTTCGTTGTTCTTGAAAACTTTTCTCACCTACACTTATTTTCTCAGATTCATCCGCCATTTTGTTTTGTAATTTCTGACAGCAAATTGTAACCTATAGTTCATTTCATAAAAGATCAAAAGAAAAATAGCTGCATATTTTCTCCAAAACAGAAAAGGTTTCAGAGAACTGGGAAGAGGATAACTAACATTTTATGTCCCGATTCCAGAATGACGTTTTTCGTGTACATACAATTTCGACACTTTCCATTACTCAAAATCTGGGACAATTAGTATTAGTCCCAGTCAAAATAGAGAGAAAAACTTCATTTCATCAGAGACATATAACGTCACAGTACCCAAATTGCACCGAGTACCCAAATTGCACCTATTTATCAAAAATAGCAGCGGAAATCTTACAAGTTTTCTTCGAGACTAAACAATTTGTATTTTTATGATTTGACATTATGTACGCCTTTCAACATAGGTAAATTTATTTAAGGAATAACTGTAATATTTTTTCTGTCTATGAAGAAATAACATCAAAAATGTGATGCACACTGAATAACCCGCGTAGCGGGTTATTTTAAAGTGTGCATCACATTTTTTATGTTATTTCGAATAGACAGATAAAATATTACAGTTATTTCTTATAATTTCCATTTTAAACCGGAGTAAACAATGAAAAAACGTTGATGACGTCACGGTCACATGACTAAATTATGTCTATGAGCTGATAAACAAAACAACGTCAGCCAATCAGCAGACGCGTTACATCCAAAATTAAATTATTTAAATATACACAAAACGTTCACAGTATATATCAACAGATGAAGTATTAACTAGAAAAAGTAAAATCTACGGAAACGTCGCCATGCGACGTCCACAAAAAGTCATCTTTTAAAAATGAGCAAAAAAAATATGTTAAAAGCATCCATTTCTTAAATAATGAATAGTAAGCATGGATTAATGTCAAATTTTTCTAAATATTTAAAGAAATAAAACAAAACATCTGTTATTCGATTTATAAGGATGTGAATTTAAGCATGGATGCAATTTGGGTACTCCTCATTACAGAATCATGGATCGTTTGGAGGTCTGTTCAAACCCATTTTTCTATGATTCAATATGGATTCAAAATTAAATTGGTGGAATCATATAGTAAATAAGGATATATCTTCAAAATAAACACAGAATGGAAACTTTTGTCTGGATCATAAATAAACGTAGGTGAAAAAACTGTCAAAATAGGTGCAATTTGGCCGGGTACCCTCACGTTATAACTATAAGAATCATAACAATGAATGTAGCTAATCACACTGTGTACTTATTATTGACGATTTAGGTAGTCTATTATTACTTTGTACTGGAACGCAAGAGACATATGGGGGGGGGGGGGGGGGGGGGGGGGGGGTGGTCCTGATCCCGAAATCCCGGGCTTAAAAACATGGAATCCCTAGGTTCCGAATTTAAAAAAATTTAAATCCCGACATCCCGAAATTCGAAAAAAGATTCCCGGATCCCGAAAGCATCAATCCCGAAATCCCGAGCTTAAACTGAACACCCTATCCCGGAGTCCCGATAAAGGTCCTACCCCCCCCCCCCCCCCCCCCCCCCCTCACATATCGATTATTTGTTTCAAATTACACTACTGTAACACTATATATTTACTATTTTCCCTTTATTTGTCTGTACATATATGTATACTATTATGTTCATTTTGGTAGTATGCATCTTGACTTGGCTCGGTATTTGCACATTCAGCTTTCGGGATTTTGGCTATGGGTGTTTCTGGTGTGGGTATATATAGATTGAGATGTGCAATTATCTAAATCGCACGAGGTTTTATAGTGCCGGTTGTTTTCATTTTGCATACTGGCCCGGCTTGTAATCAGGCTTATTTTACTTAATTTGTACTCTATGCGGGAAAGTGTATATATGCAATTTGGTTTTACTATATTGTACTATCAACCATTTTTGTTGTTGGCGTTTTTATCAGATTTATTTTTATGTTTTTGGGGATTGTAAACCAAATCTGTTTTGGTTGCTCACACAATTATGTCAATATGACGGAACTATACATGCTATATATAAACAACTGTCATACAGCATATATAATTATACAAGTGGGTGGTTTAGCTATAAATCCAGGTTTTGAGACTCTTTTAACCCACCATTTTCTCAAATTTGAGGACTAACTATATACTATGGACGCCACTTTGTAGCTAAACATTTGAAACACGGTTAGAAAGTTTATTGGTACTCAAATTTAATTTTAAATTGCCCTTTTCAAATGATATTTGTTAGAAATGTGATATTTATCCTTTCTTCTGCTAGTTTTGCCTCTCCTTTACAGAATTTCAAACCATTCCTCACGATTTTCTGTAATCACACGAAGGTAAAGTGTTACTATTGCAAGTAAAGCAATGAATAGTTATTGATGGAATACTTGCAACAAGAAGCACATCTGCTATATCGCTTCATCTCCCGTCATTTAACATCTACACTGAGCAATCAATAAGAGCTTCTCAAGAAATGCATATATTTAATAGCTCAAACATTCGCACGTATCTAATATTCATTAATACATGTTGCCTTCATTTTTTTATACAGCGTGTCGATTTCTATCAAGTTGAATACTATTTTCATGAGCCTTCAATATTTTCTTATTACTATCCCGGCATAACTTTCTTCTTCAAGAGACGCGTTTAAGTTGAATTTTACAATAAACATGCATAATCTGAAATGATATATATCAAATCTAACTCCTATATATATACGAATTATATGCAAGTTTTGCGTTGCTTTCAAGTTTGTTTTCTGTATACAAAGAATAATGCCCCTCCTATCTAAAAACAGGACAGGCACGTGTGAGATTATGTGCTAATGTGATTAGCTTAAATCAGGTTAATAGTTTTCTATGCTTTATTAATTTATGTTTAGCTGTATCAGGGGCCTTTAAAGCTTACTTATTTTACGGTATGAGGTTTGCTGGTTATTGAAGGCCGTATATACTTAGTCCTGTATTATCTGTTTTAAGCCATGTTTTTTTCCTAGCGGACATACTGACCTATTTATAAACCAGATACCCTAAGGATGATTGTTGCTAAGTTTGGTGGTTTCAGAGGACGGAAGATTTTTGAAAAAGTTGACGACGACGATGGACGCCAAGTGATCGCAAAAGATCAAATCAATCTGCGTCCAAGGTGAGCTCAAATATCACAACGCACAACATGCAGATTTTTCGTAAAACTATAAAAGGTCCAATGAAAGCAACCTTGCGCAATTATGTCTCAGAGGCTATTGCCAAATAGATGTAACTATTAAAATCACTTTGTCTTTGTTAAAGATAAAGTAACAGACATTCACAATGAACTGGTTAAAAAGAACACGTAGTCACAGTTCTATGAAGGGCCGTTCGGGTCATAATTCATTTTGTTACACGTACGTTAGAGTTACGCGTAACAGGTCGTTCACGTACCCTAGAGGTACACGTAACAGGTCGTTCGCGTACCCTAGAGGTACACGTAACACTGTATTCACGTACCCTAGAGGTACACGTAACACTTTGTTCACCGTACCCTAGAGGTGCACGTAACTATTTGTTCACGTCCCTAGAGGTGCGCGTATAAGTTTGTTTACGTACCCTGGAGGTACGCGTAACTGTTTGCTCGTGCAGCTAACCGCAACAGAAAACCTGTCATCCCTTTCCCTGAATAAAAAAGTGGATTACCTGTGTCAACATCATTTCATTATCCCCCACCCCAAACTACTTGCAACAGAAGAATAAATGTTTTTTGTGTCAGGAAAAGTATAAGTATTCACCAGGAAAAAATCTCTATGAAATGAATGCAGATATCTAAAATTATAACGGAAGGAAATTAATTATATCCCTAAAGGATGTGTATTAGATAAGGGAGATAACTCTGTAAAAACTGCTTGAAATTTGGCAACAACAAACAACAAAACGAAGAATACTGTTTTCCATGTACACAACCTGTTGCCAAAATTAATGTTTAATATAAATATAGGTTTAAATCAATAATTTTAACCGACTTTTAAAACTTTAATCAAGTAATTAAAATGTTGTAAAAAAGGCCTGATTTAATTGGTTAACTAGTATTCTCCAGCAGACGAGTTCATTGTGCTGAGGGCATAAAGGTAATTCCGCATACGTGAGCAAACAGCAAATCACCGACCGTGCGATGGCTTTATAGCCAGTCAAGGTCGTTAAAAAACCCCATAAGAAAGAGCAAACAGTTACGTGTACCTCTAGGGTACGTGAACAAATAGTAACGCGTAACTCTAGGGTACGTGAACAAAGTGTTACGTATACCTCTAGGGTACGTGAATGTACTGTTACGCGTACCTCTAGCGTACGTGTAACAAAATGAATTATGACCCGAACGGCCCTTCATACAGTTCACTCGCGGACCAAACCGTCCATGTATATGTTCATTACATGTAAAAGTAAACAATGGTATTATGCTTGTTTAATATAAATGATAGATAATTTTGAAGAATGGTATTTAATTCAAGCACACCGAAACGCAAAGGTACATTTTATGGAGGAAACCGTTTACATGGTGTGAAATAAAGTCATTTGGCTTATCCTCACGACAGTATTACCCCTACGTGATGAGAGAGCTGATGGCCGGTCAAACATAGCGTCCGATGCCCGGCGGCAGTCCAAAGAGGCCTTGAATTTATGTCGCACGATAACCATTTCCAACAGTTTTTCTATGATAAGTATTTATGTGTACTTTGAGATTGTATATATGCACTTGTATCCAAATTAAAAATTCAAAAAGATGGCTTTAATCTGAAGTTTTGAAACGTCATATTTGATATTTATAAATATAAGTTTACAATGTATATAAAAGGTAACAAAAATGATCTTATTCGACCAAAATTCTATAGGAAGTGAAGTTATGAATTGTCCTTCGGCATATACAAATAAATTCATTAGGGTTATGTCTTTTGAAACAAAATTTACAAAAACCGTAAAATTTATAATATTTTATCAAACGTTTCTGTGAAAAAAATACTGTTAACTTTAAATTTTAGTAGGAAAACAATTCCACTACGATTGCAAGGCACCGACTCTACTAGAAACAAAGTTCTCCAAAAACCGGATTCGATCAATTTCTTTATCCTTGGGGAAATGTTAAATAATATACATGTTAGTTCACCTCGCCTTTTATACCAAGCGAGCTATAATAATGCCATCCAGTACTATCCAGCAAAATAGTTCAATAAGAATTGATCTGGAATAAATGCAGTAACAAAATCATCAATTAATTCCTTTTTGGGTTTAAATGAGTTGACCATTCAAAAACTTGAATATTCTCCAAATGGATCCGGATCAAACCTGGTCACATCTTATTGTGAGAAAGATGGCTGCTTCTGTAACTAATGATTTTTTACCAAGTGAGCGATTCAGACTCACGGGAACTTGTAGTGGGTTTCTATGAGTTTGTATTTAACATGGATAATCCGATTGAATTCGATAGGTGAACTTAAACATATCGCCGAAAACGTCAGATACAACGATGTTTCAACTTGAGTTGTAATAGAAAAACAAAGGATATGGTGTATCCATCCATGACATACAATCAGTACATGCACAGCAAAAAAAAAAACAACACAAAAGGCAAAGGAACATCGCTTTTATTTGCTGTTCTTCATCTTCAAGTCACGTTATATAATATATCAAAAATAGTATGCCAGGGTTAAGACGCAGACTTGTAGACTTAAGTAAGTTTTCTGTATGGTGAGTGGATTTGTCGGAAGAATGCACGATTATCTGTTTTTTCTGACTTAGCATATTATGGAGAATCTCTACACCACTGTATAGTGCTATACAATTTAGATTTTTGATATTAAAACAATAAAACGTATATCATCGAGTGGAAAAGATTAAACGATCTTGCCACAAAATCACAACATGCACATGAAAAAAAAACACAAGCCAAGGAACAATGCCTTTATTGCTATAATATACAGACTTTGTATTAAAATTCCAATAGGTTTTCTCAACTCTTTTTGAACCCACGGAGTAAAAGTTTGACCATACCTCTTTTCAACCCTATATTCCTCGATCATTTGTTTATAGTCTATCCAAATTGATTTCTTTTTTAATTTGTAGTCGCCCTAATTGTATACGAGATATTTCCCACTGAATATTAAGCGACCGATAATCAATAAGTTTATTGATCTCATTTTACTTTTGCGAACTTTTTAAGAACTTAATATTCCCATACGATTATGAAATGTTCAGTCATATAGAAGCTGTCCCTTTCCTATGATCTTTGTGGGTAAATATCTGTGTGCTCAATGATCTATTTATAAATTAATAAAGGTGAATATTCATAGGGGTTATTTAAACACAGTTCGTTGTTGTTGCTATGGACGATAAAAGACAAACAGGAAGTAAATTTAACCAAGTTTGAAACAGTAAGTAAATAATAAAAAGAAATGTTCTCCACTTAGCATCATTGTTCAAATTTTATACACTGTGCATGTATACGTTGTGACAAAGTCGACCATATATGAGTATTAGAACTGTGCGCGTATGACTTTAATCATGTAAGAACATATACGCATCAATGGTCTACGCATCAATGGTCTCTTTTACCTTTTTATATCGATATACTGGCATTATTTTCTACGGTACATTTTGTAAATAATTCCTTGCATTCATTTTTCGTGTCAATTTTGTTAGAAGATTGTTTCGAACGTTATAATGAACTTAGTCAATTAAATGTAAAGACAACGAGAGGGGCCTAATACATGTAATAAGGACTTAAAAAAATATTAACAAAAATGCTGACCTCACTGTCTGAGGTAAATTCAAAAAGGGGGAAGTCCATAAAAACTGACAGAATCAAACATTAGACTATATCAACCAACGGAACGAATGGAAAACAACTGTCATATTCCTGACTTGGTACATGCATTTTCCGAAGAAAATGGTGGGTTTATGTAGTTGATCATGAGTACATGCCATATTAATTAGTATTCACTTCCCCGATAAAGTGCAAATCAAGTAAAATATAGATACAAGAGTAAACAAATGAAAACAACACTGTGATATAACCCTGCGTCCAAATCACACCTCTGGACCCACTTGCATCAGGAACGCCTAAAGCAAAAAAAAAAAACCGATATCTAGATGTACAAATACGTAGTCACGTCAAGAGTCATTCAACAAAAGAAACATATAATAGCTCAAAGACAAAAAAAGGAAAAACTGTAAAAGTCAATAAAAAAGGTGCACAATTTTCAGTACCTAGAATCTGTAACTCAAGACCATCTTGTATTTTATGTGAAGTAGACACTGACTATTTATCTTTTAGGTCGTGGTACTTACCAATGAACTTTTTGGGAAAAAGGATGAGACTTTCTTTGAAATTACACATTATGTGTACATGAATCTACATTAATTGTAAAGTAGCAATAAAAAGGTGTTGTAGACATACAGTTTGCTATCTATTTTGCCTAGATTAGCAAATGCAAAAGCTTATTTCAAATTCTAGAAATGAGAATTTTATTTGAGTCTATTGATCCTTTTTTTTTTAACTTTTGCCTTTTCTCTGTTACGTAGAGTGTTTGTTCGTTCAAGCTATTTGTATAAAGAGTCTTGGAATTTAAGCAAATATCTTCTCGTGTTGTGATGAGTATTTGCTCATTTAATTATTTTTCAATGATATTTTATCGAGCGTCGGAATCTAGATGGTGTGTTCCTTTTGAATATGTTAACTTGTCATTTAGGATGTATTTTCATTTTACGTATATCGCAGTTTTTCTTTGGAAACTTTTATTTGTTATTTCCCGTGTAAAATACGTTTTGGATAACTGAGTAGGAAAAAAAGGGTGGTTGTTGCAAGGAAAGATGTGATTGAGAATGAAGTTTTTAGTTAACATGACAAGCAAAGAAAAAGAAAAAAAAGACGTTCCAACGGTCTCACTACAGGAATTCGTGCTTTTAGTAGATTCTTCTGGAATTCAAAGCTCAATATTTCCTATTTTATGCACGCAAAGGATTATATTTCAATAGTTCAGTATGTCTTTGATAGGCTGTTTATTGTTGAATTTATAAAGTAGCTCTCTAAATAACAAATACACCTTTTCATGGTTACTGTAAGTTGTAACTTATCATATTTATACTAACCCATAATTTGCAGAAAGAAAGATGGAAAGGGAGCGGATTCTTATCAGTTAAGTTCTGAAACCAGACAATATATATGTTGCCGTCTCTTTTTAAGAAAACTCATAACCTCTCGATGTAATCCAACATAAAGGTTCTGCAACAACGCGATCAAAGGGATAGTGCCTTAATCTTAAATTTTCAGTTTTAAGAACTAGGAATTTTGTTTTACATAACATCATCGCAGGCGTAAATGTGTAACTGTTAAGTTTATTTCTCTGCTAGGAATTTTTGTAAGTGTAAGATAGAATAGGTAACACAGTATTAAAGTATAGAGGCACAGGTTTTTGAACATTACCAATCATAGATCAGAATAGGGAAATTGATCAAATCAAGTCAAGGTAACCGGTATGCATACGACGTTGATGCACAGGATTTTCTAGTTAGTGTACATGATGCATGATTTTTTATTATTAATTGTTTTTGGCTTTTAACTAGCTTTCAGTAACTGCGAGTACTCTCAAATCGTACTTTCGTGTTAATTTGTCAGACCTGTTGATACAATTTGTAATGTATTTTTGTTATTTAATGTTTACTTATTCAGTGTTATATCTAGTCTCACTATTTTTAATATATACCACCTTTGATAAGTGTTTAGTATGACGATAAATTTTCACTTTTGTTCTCGTACTAGGAACAACAAAATTATTTATTTTGTAAAAATTATTTCCGTACTACCTTACAACAATTTTTTTTTATTTACCTGTGTACGTTATTTTATTTGGCGGCATTTTGTCCAAGGTTATGGTTGTCTTTCTGATATTGTTAAACATCTAACCCTTGTTTTATTAATTTTGTATTTACACTGTGTCAAAGATCAAATTTATTCGTTCAGTGTTTGTTCACTTGTTTTTGTTAATATGTCTTTTGATTGAGTTAAGCCATTTCAAATGATATTTTATAGTGTGTCTTTCTATGTTGTGATGTTACACTATTGTTTCAGGTAGGGTGAAGGTTGGCGCCTATTAAAACGTTTAAACCCGCTGCATTTGTTTGCACCTGTCCTAAGTCAGGAACCTGATGTTCATAAGTGGTTCTCGTTTCTCGTTTTTATATAGATTAGACCGTTGGTTTTCCTGTTTGAATGGTTTTACACTATAGTCATTTTTGGGGCCCTTTATAGCTTGCTGTTCGGTGTGAGCCAAGACTCCTTGTTGAAGGCCGTACTTTGACCTATAATGGTTTACTTTTACAAATTGTGACTTGGATGGAGAGTTGTCTCATTGGCACTTATACCACGTCTTCTTATATCTACGAACAAAAGCGACAGAACTGAACCAGAATTTGCACGCGTTGTCGTAGTAAGCATGCACCCATATATGTCTAATATAGTATATATGTTTTTACTAACTATTCCTTAATTTTTCAACTTTTTTTCTGTTATTAAATGTATTCTTGCTCTTATCCATACGCTTTAACGGATCAAATAGGGTATAAGGTAAACTAGTTCCTGCTCATTTAACCTGTTGTGATTCGGGGATTTTACAATAACTGTAGATTTTATATGATGCCCCTCTGTTTTTCTTTCGACAACCCCAATACTACTGAAAAGAATGACTTCATATTCGGTCAGAAGCTTAAGTCATGAGTTGTAAAGCCTGAGCACCAACTGAAGCCCTCCATTTGAAGGTCCCTACTATTCATTTGCTACCCAAACTACACAAAAAAAAACGTCAAATATCGTTTAATCTCGGCTTCTAGTAAGTGTTCTACAACTAATCTATCTACCCTTTTGATTAGTTTCTGACTTTTATTATATTTAGTAAAATAAAAGCATAAGAAAATAACTTAATAATTAATTTTTAGCTCACCTGACCGTCCGTCGTCGTTAACTTTTACAAAAATCTTCTCCTCTGAAACTACTGGGCCAAATTTAACCAAATTTAACCAAATTAATCACAATCATTATTGAGGTATTTAGTTTAAAAAAATGTGTCCGATGACCTCGCCCGCCAACCAAGATGGCAGACATTACTAAAAATAGAACATAGGGGTAAATTGCAAGTTTTGTCTATTATTTTGAAAACTATTATAAACTGAGAAATTCTGACAGCGGCAAAAATGTTCAAAATGTTGAGCTCTACCAATTGTTTATTGACGTCAAAACTGTCAGGCGACTTCTTATAGGAGTTATTGCTCTTAAATGACCAATTTTACTTTTTTTTTCATTTTTGCCTTTTAACTTGAAAACTATGATAGACGGAGAGAAACTTTATGTTGCAAAAATGATCAGCAAGACAAAATCTACGAATAATAAAATTGAGAATGGAAATGGGGAATGTGTCAAAGAGACAACAACCCGACCATAGAGCAGACAACAGCCGAAGGCCACCAATGGGTCTTCAATGCAGCGAGAAACTCCCGCACCCGGAGGCGTCCTTCAGCTGACCCCTAAACAAATATGTATACTAGTTCAGTGATAATGGACGTCATACTAAACTCCAAATTATACACAAGAAACTAAAATTAAAAATGATACAAGACTAACAAAGGCCAGAGGCTCCTGACTTGGGACAGGCGCAAAAATGCGGCGGGGTTAAACATGTTTTTTGAGATTTCAACCCTCCCCCTATACCTCTATCCAATGTAGAAAAAACAAACGGTCAACAGTACGCACAGTAAAACTCAGTTTAAGAGAAGTCCGAGTCCGATGTCAGAATAGGAAACAAAAGAAAATAAACAAAATGATAATAATACATAAATAACAACAGACTACTAGCAGTTACTGACATGCCAGCTTCAGACCCCAATTAAACTGATTGAAAGATTATGTCTTCATCATATGAATATCAGGCACAATCCCTCCTGTTAGGGGTTTAGTATTATACCATCAGTATGAATGGTTGAAATCGTCAGTCGACTCCTAATTAGAGTTATTGCCCTTTGATGACAATTTTTACCAATTGTTTGCGCTTTTGCCTAATATCTTAAAAATGACAATTAATAGATAGATAGAAACTTAAATAAGCAAAAAATGATCAGCAAGACAAGATCTACATTTAAGACCATAATATGGAGTAAACTTTCCGACGACTCCTTATTGGATTTATTGCCCTTTAACGACGATTTTTACATTTTTTTTTGTATTTTGCCGTATATGATAAAAATAATATAAGATAAATAGAATCTTTGAATAACAAAAATGATCAGCAAGGCAAGATCCACAAACAAGTTAAATTTTGCCGATATAGTTAGAAGACTGTCACTCTTCGGCATAGGAGTGATTGCCCTTAAAAGAGAATTTGTTTACCCTCTTTTGTGTTTTGAAAAAAAGCTAAGGAAGATAGAGAAGAAACTAAACAGACAAAATGATCAGCAATTCAAGATCAACAAAAAAGAAATTTTTGTCATGAACTCCATTCTGGTCTACAATGTTGGAGAGAGTCTATTGTTGATTATGCACATAGACCTAGGTGAGCGCTGAGGAAACTGGGAGTGTCTTGAGTGAACGTGATCACAGTCCTAATTTGAAGAGAAGGGAAAAAATGTACATTCTATTTTAACATATTTACTGTCATACTGTATTTTTAGCTTATAACATTGAAAACGAATATCACTATAGCATCATACATGTCATAGGTATCAAACTGATTATCAGACAATCTTAAACCATGCCACCATATGCAGTATCATCATTAAAAAAAACAGATGTAAAACTAACAGAACCACTGAAAAATATACAAAAAGCGGACTAGCAGAAACGTGCTGGGTTTTTATTGCCGTCAGGCAAGGACGTGATGACAATTGCGTTCTGAGCGCACTAGGAACAGCCTGTGAACGAGGTGATTGCGTTGAGAATTAGTTGGAAAGGATTTCGACGTATAAGGAACAAAGTAGAACTATTTAAAGTTGTTTAGAAACGGTGCCCCTGTGAGGTAAACAGGTAATTTTACCCGATCTGAACTGGATATAAACAGACTGCAAACGGGAAAAAGACGAGATGGACGTATCGAGAACTGTTTAAGAACTAACTAGGGTCGCATTATAGACATTGTCCGCCCAAAGCTATACGTTCTTGCCAGACCGCGACCGTTTTACGTATTTTTAAGGACGAGTTCGGATGTTTTGAGAACTAGTTTGGTGAGATTGAAGCTAATTTAGCTCCTCTCAATGCCGATCAGTTTATGTAATCGTATTAGTAGGACTGCATAGAATTGTCATAGAAGACAAGAATGGTTTTTTTTTCTCGATTATCAAATATTGCCATCCTCAATACCTAATGATGAGGTCGTATTGGCACTTAGATATTTCAAACGTGATTTTGTATAAAGTAGCATAATCAAGGGAATTCATTGACTTCGTTTATAAATCTTTCAAACGGTCGGTATGGATACGCCAATTTATAATATGCATCCAAATGAGTATAATTAATTTGTTTATCAAACGCATGACTTATTTAAAGACAGTAATGTCAGAGCCTCCATACTATAAAAGAATATTCTAAATTATGGTATATCCAACCATAGACCGGAAACATTTGGGATGATGTTTCCGTGCGTCCTTCTTGTCCGTCTGCCAGTGTACGTTTTGCGAAGTTTAAACCGATTTCTCTGAAATTTTTACATAAAACGAGGTTCCGTATGAAGCCTGACAATAAAATTGATAGACATATCTACAAATGGACTTCTATTTACATGCCCGATAATAATTCATATTAATTTTGGTATGTCCCATCTTTTGTACTTGCAGAGTACGCGTTCAGCGAACTATCTTGCATGTATTTTTTCAACGTCCATTTTTCAAAACGCACGTGACCACTAGTTATATTATCCTGAACAGCCAGACGCCCTCAGCAAGAATTTTGTAAGCACACAAGTATTGATTGTAGCGTCTTTAATCAGACAAGAAATGATTGCGTATTTATACATCCCGCTCAGTTTCCGTACCAGAGGTCGTTATAATGACACACCACATCATACAGAAAGCAAACTTAGAAAATAGCAAAGTGCTCTCGACCAATGAACTTATAGGATTTGATATTTCTTAATTGAGAAAAATGAATGTAAATCATGTTTTTAGCAAGTGAATATCCTATTGTTTAGGCCGCCTACTTACAGTTCAAAACAAAGACTCTATAAATGAGCTACCCGGCACTGTCCCAAAGCACATACATTTATCAGCTTGTAGTCATTTCCAATATTCCGATACAATTAAAAAAGGAAGTTAGATTAACTTAAATTTCATATAAAAGGCATTTTATTTGATAATTTATGATTTAGTTAATTGCCTCGCATAATATAGTAATATTTGATGTAAAGATCTAATTGTAACTCAAATTTTGAATTTATTGATTTGAGCTGTACATAAGCAATACTACAATTCAGCACTGAAATATTACATTATTTACATTCTTACTCACAATAAGGAAACCTACACCATTCCATCTTACTGATGTGTCATCTAATGTCTAAACATACTTTATTAAAACTTCCCAAATTATAGAAAGTTCTTACATAATTAAGACTAACCAATAAATATAATGCATAAAACGGAAGCATTGCATTTATTATTAACATTGCACTGACAATGAAATGAATTCTTGAATAAAACCAATCAAGAGGTCATTTGAGCCTTGAGCACTTTACAATATTCTGTCCCCTTCTTCATGGTAAATGCTATAACGCTCGTACTTAATCACGAAGAAAGGGATTATCATTATCTTATAAAAGACATTAAGTTTAAAATAAACCCAACACAATTCTTGTTCCTGTATGTCATTGTTTTTTTAGATTAAAAAAGGTGGGAAAAAATAGTTTGTCCTAAGAAAATAAACACACCCCACACACATATAAAAGATGCATAGTCGATGCCATATGAAAACCGTTCTCCAGGGGATCCTTGCTCACTGCTCGAAGTAGATCACAGATGTTACTTCCTTCAATATTCATAATAAAATTCATGTTTCGAATATCTAGTTTTATGTAAACTTAACCCGCACAAGGCATACATTCCAATTCCAATTTGATAATGCACCATGAAGTTTACGATAACAGTCTCACAGGCCGTGTCTATGTATCTAACGGGTATAGGTTTTACTCATTGTTGAAGGCCGTACAGTGGCCTATAGTTGTTAATTTCTGTGTCATTTGGTCTCTTGTGGAGAGTTGTCTCATTGGCAATCATACCACACCTTCTTATTTTTATATTGACTATCGACTGCATGTAATCAAAACCTGGTTTAAACAACATGCAAACAGTGATTGGTAGGATAGTTTAAATATAAACGTGTTGAGGACATCAAACACATCACCAAGTTTAGTTTACGTGTTGAGGACATCAAACACATCACCAAGTTTAGTTTACGTGTTGAGGACACCAAACACCACACCGAGTTTATTTTACGTGTTGAGGACATCAAACACCACCCGAGTCTAGCTCAATGTGAACACAGCCTAAGTTATTTACATTGTCTAACCATATACCTATGTAACCAATGTTGACTTGCACCACAAAATGAAGACTGTACAAACAAAGCTGTTTATTTATTTTTTTTCAATTCTAACATTGTTTTGCTCAATTTCAGACGAACTGTATATAGTTTACAATTATTTGGAGATTGGCATATCATCTGTTCATGTACAGCTGTTTATGCTGGAAGGTCATTTGCAGAAATAATTCTTTCGTCGACAGTTATATTTCTAAATTCATGTTTTTTTTTTCTTTTCAGACAAACAGAGAGACTTTCATGCAATATGAAAACTAAATACTACAGCTTAAAAAATTGAATATGTCGAACACATCAAAATTAAAGAAAGACAAAAAAGTACCTGCCCAAAGGTACATTTCTCATATATCATCTCGAGAATATCTGTTTTTAACTTGTGAAGCATATTTTACTAACATACACACATGTATATGCATATGTATACCTCTGATATACATGTACATATGCACGAACACAAGAAAAAATATGTTTTTTTTATTATTGGGTTTATGACGAGAGCAGCTTATCCGGCAAAAATGAAAAATGAAAAAACAATTTAAAAAGATGAAATATTTTGAATTATTTGTTCAAATTCAGTTGCTTCACTACTTGATATTAACGATCGTTAATGACGAAAGCAGCTTTTTTTTATCTGTGGGGTTAAATTAAATCCTATATTTTGAATTTAAATAAGTGTAGGAATAAATGCAAAAGTTACTTTTTCATTTAAGATATAAAGGAGAAAATATAAGATGCAGACATAATTTAAACCTCATTGATGATAATGTTAACCTAAACTTTCAATCTAAAATTCTGATTATTTCTGTGTACAAAATGAGTACAATAATATATGTCCTTCTTTGTGCAAACAGTTAACCCAGAAACAACAGTGGACATTAACCTACTAAATATGTGTTATGATTGTTACATTAAAAAAAAAGCAGCGATTTTTTGCATAGGTGTTGATATTTTATTCATACAGATTTACGCTATTTTTTGTAAATTCCGAATTCAAAGCCTATGGTAAAAATGTGGACTTGTGAGATCACAACCTTTAGTTTAATCATCTTTAAGCATGAATCACAATGATAATGCTTATTATATTTCAGAGTTGCAACAACTCGGACAAAGTCAGCAAAAAAAATTCAAGCAAATCAGGACACAAGGTAAAGAATTATTGTCGAGCCTGGCAGAAAGCTCGACATAGGGATAGTGATCCGGCGGCGGCGGCGTTAGCTAACTTCTTAAAAGCTTAATATTTCAGAAGGTAGAAGACCTGGATGCTTCATACTTTGTATATAGATGCCTTATGATATGAAGTTTCCGTCTGTCTTATGTCCATTGTCCTTGACCTCATTTTCATGGTTCAGTGACTACTTGGAAAAAAGTTAAGTTGTTTTGTAATGTTAATTTCTCTCTTACTATGAGTAATAGGATAACTATATTTGGTATGTGCGTACCTTGCAAGGTCCTCATGTCTGTCAGACAGTTTTCACTTGACCTCGACCTCATTTCATGGATCAGTGAACAAGGTTAATTTTTCGTGGTCAAGTCCATATCTCAGATACTATAAGCAATAGGTCTACTATATTTGGTGTATGTAATGATTGTAAGGTGTACATGTCCAACATGCAGGTGTCATCTGACAGTGACCTCATTTTCATGGTTCAATGGTAATAGTTTAGTGTTTGTGTTTTGGTCTGTTTTTCTAATACTATATGCAATAGGTCAACTATATGTGGTGTATGGAAATATTTTACGATGTACATGTCAGTCTGGCAGGTTTTATTTGACCTTGACCTCATTTTCAGAGTTCATTACTCAATGTTAAGTTTTTGTGTTTTGGTCTGTTTTTCTAATACTGTATGCAGTAGGTCAACTATATTTGGTGTATGGAAATATTTTACGATGTACATGTCAGTCTGGCAGGTTTTATTTGACCTTGAACTCATTTTCATGGTTCATTGCTTATGTTAAGTTTTTGTGTTTTGGTCTATTTTTCTTAAAGTTTAAGCAATAGGTCAAATATCTTTGGTGTATGGAATGATTGTAAGGTGTATATGTCTGTCTTGCAGGTATCATCTGACCTTCACCTCATTTTCATGATTCATTGGTCAATATAGAATTTCCATGGATTGGTCTGTTATTTATAATTCTGTCTTTTATACTATAAGCAATAGGTGGTCCAAGGACACAGTTATCGTCCTACGAATATAGTCCCTAGTGTGAACAGTGTATAACTTGCATTTTTTTTTGATACACTTTCCCAATTTATTTCTTGATATTTTATGCATGAAATATTAAGTAAAGGGATGAAATTACATGTTAAAAATAATTTGGGTGCTGAATCTTTATGTTAAGTAGTGATTTGGTCCAGTTAAAAAAGGTCAAAAATTAGAATGTCTGAAGCTGTCAAACTGAATTTTAGCCCCCAAAAACACAGAATTGTCAATATTTTGAGTTAGAATTGGTAGAAGTTTCTATAATTTTGATATTATTTGTATCAATAGTAGTACACTACACTGTAAAAATCTTTTTGAGATAGAGCAGGTGCGATTTTTTTAATTTGAATTTATTGTCTAAAAGAAATTCACTACGAAATAACTGTGTTCTCTGGCCAGGTCATCTATATTCTGTGTATTGAATGATTGTATTAAACGTGTACATGTATTTCCGCTTTGGTTTATCTGACCATGACCTCATTTTCTTGGATCATAAATGTTAATGTGATACTTGTAGTAAAACTTTATATGTAGGACTATCAGCATAAAATCAATGGTCAGTATTGTAGGCGAGATATTTCAGCGTGTGCACTCTTGTTAAAACCATTCTTGTGCGAAAGGCTATAGATTAATTTAAATTCCCCATGCCTCTGTTTAGATTGTAACAGGCACAGCAAGATTTTTACCGAAAAATTCAAAACTATTAGGGACATGTAGCGCAGACATCATAGCCAACTTAAGCACCGGATTAATCTGTTCACCTGTATTTTCGATAGCCCATTTTAGCAACAACAAAAATATCTCGTTGAATAATACTTACTAGTACCATACTAACACTGAACAGTAATATATGGTGGTTTAATGTTTAAGTTGTTTGCATTGAAAATTTGGTTGAATATGAAAATGAATGTTGTTGAAAAAAAGAACCTAGGAAATAGAGGTACAATATGTAATGGTTTTTCTGGATATTATCATCAAATTACAAACAAAAACATATATTAGAATCAGAAATATCGACGAATCTGCACCTAAATCTATGCAAGAAAAAGAGAAGGAACAGTTTTATCGCACTTCTAGGCACGGTATTGTACAAGGTGTATATCAAGAGCCCATTACGTACGTTCACTGGAGATATCAGGCTTGACCGGACTTGTTACTTTGTGTTAACTTATAGACATTAAGTACTATATTTTAATGGACATGATATTTTTCATCTTATGCTGTCTTGGTACTATATTATTTTTTTTTTTCTATTCTACTATGAATTAATTTTTGTCGCTGAAATAAGCATTGATAATTTCACTTTTCGCTAGAACGGGTTAAAAATCTGGCGCTAATATGTCATATCAATGCGCTAAAATGTCCTCCGACAGAATACATCGAATATAAATATAAAGATATGTGGTATGATTGCCAATAAGACAACTGTTCAAAGGAAGTGGATATAAGAAATTATAGGCCACCGTACGACCTTTAATAATGAGAAAAAAACCATAACTTATAATCGGCTATACAAAGTTACCAACATGAAAAATATGAAACTATCCAAACGCGAAAACTAACGATCTAATGTATGACAAAATAATTTGAAAAAAAACAAACATGACATACATGAATGCTTATTACACAGAAGGTCTAGAAGGCCATCGAAAATTCTGTACATTTTGCTCAACGGATTTCTATAAGATGTATCCGCACAATTATGTTTTTTCCTTAACAATGCCCCACTAATTAAGTTAAAAAGTATGTGTAGGTTTAATTTAAGAATATTTACATTTGCAATCAGTTTTTGGCTATTATCATTTTTTATTATCGATGTTTATTGAATTTCTTAAGAAGTTCGTTCACAGCAGTATCTCAGTAGAGTTGGCCCAGAAAATACTAGACGCAATTATTTTGAACAACAACAGAATATCTTCTACCTTTATCAATAAGTCTATGAAGTAAAAAAGAAAAGATATTAAAGACAATTCCTAAGTCGGCTGACTTCATAAATAATATCACCGTAAAAAGTTTGGTGTGAAATACCACTCGTTATTAAATTCCTACAGGCGAAAACATACGTTCACAACATTTCTGAATATTTGTTATACAATCTAGTACAGGTTTTGAACAATTTATGAATATTAATATATCACTCCGTGCTTTGTCTTGATATAATGTGTATGCTTTAGTCCTTACTGGACTTAAGGTAACCGTTATGAAAATGAGAAAATGTAAAAAGCAATGAAATGTTCAATATAGAAAATATAACAAACAGTTATTACGATATTCGTATCAATGATATGATATATTATTGTAGAAAGGAATATTTTATTTTGTTTGCAGAAATGAAAATCCTGGAGATGATAATTCTTTTTTATTTATTGGAAAATCGTAAGTACCTGATGACTAGTTTTTTTCCCTAAGAAATGACATATGAATTTATTTCTTCCAAGTCAAAAGAATACTGTACAAATCAATCATAAATATGTACTTAAAAAAATAACCCAAAAACTTTTTTACACCTGGTGCAGAGAGCCATTTAAAAACTTTTTTCATCATCTTTAATGGAATTATGTGATCACTTTTTATCGACAGATTTCTATTCATTATTTTCTTTAATGTTTAAACTATAATAATAACTGAGCTTACCTAAACCAAACTTTGCTTGAAATACATGTACATGTACGTTCAGAATATATCAGGACATCCAGTCCTCGGACGCATCTTTTTTTACCATGGAGATGGTAAAACACCGAATAGGAAACCCGTTGTTGAATGCAAAAAGTGTAGGTGAAATAGTTACCTTAAAAAAGTGGAAAATCTTTGTGAATGCTGATGAGGACCAAAGAGGACAATAGAACGGAATGATTTTAAAATTTGTAATGATATCCAAATATATTAATAAAAAATTTAGAGTACGCATTTTTGGCACTATAATTAGGGTATATATACATGTATCTATAGATTGCAACGCGCAAAACTGACATATTTGTTTTGATCTTTTATAATTTATATTATTCATTATTTTCAGACCTGAGATATTAGAAGATCAGTGGTTATCCAAAATTAGTGATCTCGTAAAAAAGTAAGATTGTGAATTACGCGAAAAAGTACTTAATTAGTATATTCAGTTTGTAAAGTGGTATTTTACAAACATAAATATTTACCACGCTGAAGTACGTCCATTATTCATTTTTCATTATTTAAAATTCAATAATGAATAATGAAATATTTATCTATAATAAGATCAGGACAAAAATAACTCCTTTTTAAAGGAATGAATAATTTTGCCTTTCATCGATTAAGCGTGTTAATGCATCAATGTATACATACATATATGAATGTTTTGTAAAAAGAGGAGGTATAGGAAAAGCCGCAAATTGACCCTTTAACTGCAAAATAGTTAAATTCTCCAAGCTTTTAAAACAATGGCTAATTTTATTGATAAATGTCATAGGACTGCTACTCTTGATTCTTTAGTGCAACAATGTGTCATTTGTGATGTCATCATGATGTCTTAAACTTGTCAAAATCTACATTTTACTTTACATTTATATTTTTAGATAAGACATATTGCAACACAATATTTTGTTACGTAATGCGGCGTTCACACAGTGCCGATTATGGCTCCCGTTTGAGATCAGACAGCGCTAAGACACGAAAAGGGAAAAGTCGGATTACTATCCTCAATGATCTGGAATGTCCTATCATTATCTGAACGCAGTCGTATACGTTCGTAACAGATTCCTACGGATCGGAAATGGTCCGATGAGGTCGGCCAAGCACCCCCGACAGTTAGGTGCGTCCCATAACATTCGGGGAAACTCAGCCGATTTTGTCTAGTCGGATTACAATCGTGACTATGTCGTGACAGATTCTGCTGTATCGGATCAAAATCGTAACAATGTTCTGTGTTTTCTGGGCGGTGTCCTGTGGAATGGGCATGATCTGGAGAAATTTGTCATTGCTGTGTTTTTGCCGATTGAGTCCAGATTGCATCCAGATCTTGCCCGAATACGAACCGAACCGTCTTTGTTCCGGAACAGCCCCGTTATTAATACGAAATTCGGCATTAATACCCACGTCGGAGTCCAGACAATTACAGAACACGATACGACGGAGTCCCGACGAAGCCGTTTGCAATGCGGTACCTCAGACTGTGCTAGGATTGCGTTCCGTTAGTACCTGATCATCCCGATTATGGCGATTTTTTTTTATAGGACGGGACTATCACATGAAACGGTTTTCTAACGGATATCTTCCGTCAGCGTCAGTTTACTGTCTCTTCACTGTCTGATCTCTGATTATTCTGGTCCTTTCTAGCATCATCGTTTCAAAAAATTAACAAAGGTAGAGTAATACACCCTATACCGATTTCCGTTCAATCGACACTTGTTTCTAGAATAACTTCCCAACACCAAAACTATGAAAAGCCAAAAACATAAAACGTTTAAGAGCGTAAAACCCAAAAGGGCCTAAACAAATAGACAAATATCTGATGTCAACTTTACCTTACCTTCTACATAATTTTAATTAAGTACAACGACTTAATTAACGAATAGTAAACTCACAGCTAAATGTTTCATTTAATCATACATACGGTTTTACAGTTAAAATAATATAGCATGCAAATCAAGAGTTTAAATGTCTTGCTTGCAAACTTTGGTTAGTTGTTTGCTCAGACATTGTAATTAAGATTGACACCTAAATTCAATGGGTAGGCGGAGTATAACAGTCTGTTTACTATATACAAAGGTTTGATTGGTCAATGAATATCAAAATTGTTTCCAGTTGGGCACTTGAAAGATAAAAAGAAGCATGGGCTAAAAAGGGTACAGGAAAAAGAAAGTTAACCAATTTAAAAATTGATTAAAAAACGTAAAGCATGAGCAGTTTTAATGTCATATTTTGATTCAAACTATAATGTTGACATGAAATATTATTTCTTGTTACTTATTACAGAGACATATAATACATATGTCTCTGCTAATTATGTGAAATTTTGCACTTTAAACAACTGTATATATTCTACAAGAAAAAAATAACTTCAGATCACTTTGTTGAAAACTGTTTGAGAAAAACTAGTGGCTTGCAATGCTTTAAGGGTTAATGCAGTAGTAGTAATAAAGAGAATCTGACCATCAATATTATAATGGCACTGTTCGACCATTACAATAATTGTATATTTACTAACTTTTATTTAAAATAAAAATAGTAACACATTTTTTTAAAACTCATTCTCGTATTTGCTTTGTGCGTTAAATTTTGACAATAAAGCAAAAATGAAACCATATTCCTGTCGCATTATTAATTATTTGATATGCAAGTTTCCATCTAGAAAATTAATGGTTCCCAATTCCCATTTAAACTTTTATGACGATCTATTTCTTTAAATATTTTGGCGAGAAATGAAATCTACTATATTATTTCGTCATAACGATCCAGAAAGAAGCGAGAAATCCAAAACCAGTCAAAACTTTAAAAATCATTTGCCTACAGCAGTTTCTATATTTTTGGGAGTTGGGGCGTGTAGCATTTTTATGGATAGAAAGATGAAGGGGAAACAGTAAACAATTCAAATTAATTTTTTTATGATTCTACAAAAAAAAGCCAAAAAGAAAAAACCTAAAAAAAAAAACCACCACACACAACTTAAACAAAATGATCCATGCTCATGCAGTAATATCTCTTTTATCTTTACTTGTTAATTGTATTGATAATATAAAAAAATTAAAAGTATTTATATTAACACGATGACAATGACGTATAATTATATGTATCTGATGATGATAAATGATCCAATATGAAGAATAAAGCAATTATGTGCAAAAAATATTTCATTATCATATCAAATAAAAACAATCAAACCATCAAATCTTGCTTTACTGTAAAAATTGTATTGTTACTAATTAGTTTTCAAAATTGATTCACACTTAGCTAACTGTTCTTTTTTCTGTATACCCTTTAAGTGCCTGACTGGAAACAATATAATATCCATTTTCCAATCAAATCTTTTTATATAGTAAACAGACTGTTACTCCGCCTACCCATTGAATTTTGGTGTCAATCTTAATTACAATGTCTGAGCAAACAACCAAACAAAATTTGCAAGCAAGGCATTTAAACTCTTGATTTGCATACTATATTATTTTAACTGAAGTTAAGTAATAATGTTGTGCGATCTGCAAATGATGGTTATTTCAGAAACAACAACCGAGGACACTGAAATTAGTTTCATCATTAATATATAACTAAAATTGTGCTGGGAACAGTATATCTAACGGGAAATGAATCTGATAGGTTTTTCAGTATAAAATTGATAAAATCTCGGACTCCTCAATATATATGTTCCTGAATTGTGTCAGTCTCTAATAATACAATCCTTCCAGTAGCCAGTGGATTTAAAGGTTGATCTTGCCATACATTACAAGTTTATGAAATATGTTCTGGTGCTGTAATTGACATTATGCATAACTCATTCGGGCTGAAAAAAGACGATTTCACTCCTCTGCTCAGGCACTCTCGGTGTTCAAGCTACAACATGTTTATATAAGTTTCATAGTTTTGCGGTCTCGTGGTTCGGATGATGGTAATTCCAGGAACGAGTGTCGTGCGCATGTGTCGGTATCATAATTTTATATAAGACGACAGTTAAGGTGGTATGGGAATATAATCGAAAAATGATAGAATTTTTTCATACTTTGCCAAAAACGTAGTATATTTTGTGATATGTTCAAAAATATGATAAAAATGATAGGTGACCGTGCTTTTTTCAAGCTACAGGTTGTTAAAAATGAGACACATTTTATATGGATTATACTAGATAAAACATCATTATGTGAATAGACGGTAAACTAAATCATAGAATTGTGAAAAAGAATACAAGAAGAAAGCTCTTAGAAAATGCTTTCAGAATATGAAAAGAAGGGGTCACCGTACGTTTTTTCCTGCTATGATATAAAATAGAAAATTTCATCTAGATTCCTTTGGAAATAATACTATTTCCGAGTTATCCCCCCTTAATACACTAATCTAAAAAAAATTAAAAATCAATCAAAATCAATATAAGTTTATACAAATATTAGTTATCATAAGTAAAAATCTTATAAATTTGTTCATTTGAATGAAAATTCACATTAGTTAATTGCATTCCTGCATCAAATTTTGCTGACTTGGTTGAAAATCTGGGCCTATTTATTCGACTATTTTACAATCCTAAGATGGCGAAAGACACCAATACTTCTTTAAATCAATTAACGTGGCCCGGATAACATGTATTTGTCACTGTTTAAGCGGATTCGTTTCGTATTCCGTGTATCTACTTTAATCTTTGGAAACAGTATACATATAACTGCATATGTTCTATCCCATAATCGAAGTCGTATATTTTCATTGTCAATATCGGCCAAATATGGTTGGAAACATAAATCCACCAATTGATCATTTTGAAAATTTTGCATTATTTTATTTTACAGGAAGAAAACGATATCAGAAGATAGAAAGTTTTCACCGTAAGCATTTTATTAATCATTTTGCTTTACATATCGAATAATGATTGACCATTCAACTTCAAAACAGATTGATCAATATAAAACAAGAAGATGTGGTATGATTGCCAATGAGACAACTTTCCACCAGAGACCGAATGACGTTAGCACAAGGTTGTTTATGCTGATTAATATTGACAAACAAATTGGAAATTTACCTTTCTGGAACACTTGAGTTTACCCTCGGTATTTTGTAGGGGGAATTAATTTATTGTTCAGTATTTAGTCTCATGTGAGTATTTGTGAAATGCCGTTTTTCTGCTTTGATTTTAAGCTTTTGGCATCAATGGCAGTTTTCTTTGACTTATGGTTTCAAATTGTTCACTTGGTAATTTCCTCATTTTTCCTTTCCATTGTAGATGATTTGACATGAAAACCGAAGCATTAAATAATTTCGTTCCAATTTTTGTGGACAATAGTCTAAGTAATATGAACTCGATCGATACTCTGATGAGCAATCACACCACCACCATTAACTGAACATACATATTAATACGAAGTGCAGATTTTAAAATCAACTGTTAATTATAGGAAAGTGAATACTAATAATAAAAATGAAGACAACGAGAGTATGTTAATATGTTTAAAAAGTAAAATCACAAAATACTAAACTCCGAGGAAAATTCAAAAAGGAAAGTCCCTAATTAAATGGCAAAATCAAAAACTCAAACACATCAAACGAATGGATTCAAGATTCAAGATTCAAAGTTCTATTTAGAGTCGATATTCCATAAACTACATAAACACAAGCTCTATTGAGCTTTTCAAATCGACTTAATAACAAAATACAATACACACATACAAAAGTCCTGAAAACAATACAATTTAAAACTTATAATGCATAGTAAGATACCATAAATGACATATATAAGTTAAAAGCATAGTACATTTAAAACATAGCACAAGCTAATAATAAGATTGCACAAATCAAATAGTCAAAATAAAATAAACACAGGTATAACACTATATGCATGCACTGCACTGGCATGAGCTGTTACTTGGATCCCATGTTTGTACCAATTTTTTGAATTGGTCAAAAGATGTTTTCATTCGACAATGGTTCGGCAGCTCATTCCAGATTTGTGCAGCATTATAGCGAAACGATTTTAAGCCATACTTAGTAGTTCGGACTCTTGGGAGTATTGCTGTTTCATGTGATCTTAACTCATACTTGTTAATTTTTATATCAATCAAATCATGAAGGTAGCTCGGACTGTAAATTATTTTAAATGTTTCTATTGCAATTGTTTTTATTCTTCTTATTTTTAAAGATGGTAATTTAGATTTTTCTAGCAGTTTTTCGTATGAACTATCATAATCTTCATAAATGAATCTTAGAGCTCTTTCTTGAATTTTTTCCATTTTAAAAGATTTTTTTTTGCTACAGTAGTGCCAAATTACTGGACAATAGTTAAAATTCGAAAGAATGAATGAGTAGTATGCTGTTAACCTACCTAGCCTGTTTAAATATTTACCCATTCATTAGAATATTTAATTGTCTTGATGTCCTTTTACATATTTCAGATATATGATTGTTAAAGTTTAAGTTCGAATCTATCGTTATTCCAAGAAGTTTAACATTTTTTTCACAAAAAGTTTTGTTTCCATTTAAATTAAATATCAAATTATGTTTATTTGTTTTTTTTCCAATGGCTATAGCCTGGAATTTGTCAGGATGAGCCTTCATTAAATTTATAGAAAACCAGTTTATTAGATTTAAACTATCAGTTTCTAAACTTTCAACAACTTTATCTAAATCATGATCACTATATGATACAGTGTTATCATTAGCATAATTATAAATGGTGCTTTTTTGTATAAAATGAAATATGTCATTTATGAAGACATTGAAAAGAACTGGACCAAGAATTGACCCTTGTGGTACAACTTTAAACATACGATCCCATTCACTGTAAGAACTTCCAATTTTAATGCGTTGTTTTCTGTTTTCTAAATAACTTTTTAATAATTTTAGAGAACTTTTAGATAGACCGTATGCATCCAATTTAAGTAAAAGTAAATCGTGCGGTAAACAATCAAATGCTTTAGATAGATCCATCAAAATTGCAGCAATAAATTTGTTCTGGTCCAGAGCTTTTTTCCAGTCTTCTATTATTTTAATAAGTGCAGTTTGGCAACCAAAACCTGATCTAAATGCCGAAAGAAGAGGATGGAAATGTTTATTTAAGAATTCCATTAGTTGATCATGTATAGCTCTTTCATAAATTTTGGAAACACATGGTAACATACTTACAGGTCTATAGTTTTCTTTATCAAGAGAGTTATTCTTTTTAAAAAGTGGGGATACCTGAGCAGCTTTAAGATTATCTGGAAAAATTGAGCTTTCAATTGATTTATTAACGAAAATTTTAATGGGTTTTGATATTACTGGCTGTGCCAGTTTTATAATTTTTGGTGAAATATTGTCATATCCAGTAGCTTTTCTTATATTTAACCTATTTATTTGTTTACTCACAAACTCTTCTGTTACAGGTTTAAAATTCAACTCATTATAATCAGTTTTATTTTGTTCAATTTTGATTATACTTGGGTGATTTCTGTCTATTTTTATGTTTTTATCTCCTATATCTATAGCTACATTTATGAAAAATTTATTGAAAATTTCTGATACCTCTTTAGGATCACTGAGAATTTTATCATTTTCATATAAAATTATGTTATTGTTTGATTTAATGCTTTTATTTGATAAAAATGGTTTAATAGTGGAATAAAATGTTGTTGATTTTGGACCACCAGCAGTTCTTTCATAAAAATATGTTTTAATTGAGCTCTTTTTTATTTTTGTCACAATATTTCTCTGTCTTCTGTCAACTCCCAGTTGGCATCACTTTTGTTTTTAAGAAATCTGTTATGGTACATTCTTTTTTTGTAAATTGCACTTCTTAGATCTTTATTCATAAAGGGTGCAGATGATACTATTGATCTTCTTATTTTTTCATTGGTATATGCTTGTCAATTATGTTAACAAATTCAGATTGAAAATTTGAATACGCTTCATTGACATCATTAACTGACAGCAAATTATCAAAATTTACACAATTTAGTTCATGTACAAATTTTTCTTGATCAAAACTTTTAAAACTTCTGTAATTTATAAATTCCTTTTTAATTTTAGGTACAAAACCTTTTAACTGAAACGAAATTATGTTGTGATAATCACTGAGCCCACAATTAAAATTAGATATATTTTGACAATGGATTACAACTGTCATACCTTGTGGTCTCAGTGCTGTGAGTGCTGTGTTTTGGATGGTCTTTGTGGTTATACAGTATGTAACTATCCGATTGAAAAAAGACTTTCCAATTTCAGTGATGTATCCTGAATTGGATCAATCAGAACAGTTTATTTGTATGGTCCAATGGGCATATCACTAGTAATATCAGCAGGGCAACGTCATTCTATAATTTCCCCACAATCAAGACTTTCAAGTTTTTTTTTATCTGGTTATGTTGAAAGTATTGCAGAGTTATTAAAACAGACTGAATAGTCATAAGCAAATCAGAACTTTTGTGTAAAACGAAATTGCTTATAGCCTGATTTATTAGACAAAATATACATAATGATACAAATGGGAGGGAGGATTTTTATCTTTACTTAAATAGAAATAGAAATAAAAAGAAAATAATGGAAAGAAAAACGAACCCATTCTGATTAATTTCACAAATAAAAAAACTTCAACAAATTCTCGAAATTAGAAATTCAAACTTTAGATGAAAAAAAAACATTTATCAAAACTATCTAATTTACTCGTGAAATTATTAATAAGCAATAAATTCCACATTTGACAACATGAAAGAAACACAATACTAAAAACTCTGTCTTTAAAGAGTGCTTGTCACTCAAACCAAAAAAATCTTGATTGCCAAAGCAGAACAAAGTCGAGCATCGTTGATATGCCTTATATTTGACATGTCGTGTTACCTTTTAAAAATGATTTCGCTAATAAGAATACTGACTCTTTTCAAATAAAGCTATTTGGCGATCGATATTTAAATTGCATTTTGTGCTAAAACAAATTTGATTCTTATAAATTTTTGGTAAGACATATATATATATTGTATAGGTGTTTCAGCAAGTTTTCTTTCAGGTCAAGGTACACTCCTAAGTTTTTGAACGTTTTAGTTATATACCAATCCCGTTGTTCGTCATCGACTTTAGGGAGAAAAAAATATCAACGCATAGCTTCCCCCTATGCTAATGATTAAGATGCTGCTGATGATAAGGTTTCCGTCCTTATCGTTTATTCAACCACGTTGATTATTTATATTATGGTATCTTCTGCCTCTTTTTACAGTATATGTTTATATATAAAATATATATTTTACAGTTCTTTACAAATGATATATGATGCCCTATTAAAGGAATTATGTACTCGATGCGGGTAAGTGTGTCATTTCATAACGCATGTAATATTTTAATGAAATATTTTGAAATTACTGTTTTAAATAGATATATTATTTATTTTTTAGTGGTTAAAATATTAATCTCTCACAAAGTTGTATGAAAAGTTTTCCATTTGAAGCAAGATTAAGAATTCTTCAAGTACTATAAATGATTTTTATGAATAATGGTCATGAAGAATGTTTAATTAGCGGGAGTTTAAAAAGAACTTTAGATGAAGAACAGCAATAAAAGCGTTCTTCCTTTGCTTTTTGTATGTTTTTTTTGCTGTGTATGTACTGATTTTTTGTCATGGATGGATACCCCATGTCCTTTGTTTTTCTATAATATGTATATAACAGTAATATTTAGTTGGGCCTTTTTAACAAAATTAAAATATGTACTGATAAATTCAATAATAAAAAATCTAATTACAGTTTTGAATTGGCAACCTTCAAGAATAAGTTTATTTAAAGGGTCGATAAGTTTACCCGGATCGTATCTAAATTTACGGGCTCGGTAGACAACATCAAGACTGGTATAATACCCACTTCGGGACACACACAGAGAAAATTTTCCACTCGTCCTTAACGACGTTGGAACGGGGGAACCGAAACAAAGATTAACAATAAAATTTGCTTAAAGTAAAGATAATAATAAACATTTTAATCTATTTAACACCTACGGTAACTGAAAAATGCGATTTTAAGAATAACAATAAATTCTTAGGCTCATTTGATGCAAAATATTTATTTAAAAGAGGGCGTTTGAAACCTTACTTTAGAGAACATTGCCACCCTCCTGACTATCGGAATTTTTTTAAAACCTTGACACAAATGGGCACGATCAACTTTATATTGATAAAAGTGAATAATAATACAATAGAAGTTTTAATTTTTAATTCTACGTCAGTAACATCAGACGTCAGAATAGAAAATAATGCTCTTTCAACATGAGACTGGAAAAAAAAACCAACTAAGTTTAGATATGATACAGGGGACCTCAACATCGATCAGGACCGAGAGGTTTTGAACTTTCTAAAAAAGGACCAAATTATCGTCCTTCTTCGAAATAAAGTTAAAAACAATGTCGTCAGGTTATTAAAGATACTTTTTCATTCTATTTAAAAAAAGTGTAAACGGTTGAAATCTTTCAAAAGGTCCATGTTTCTTATTTTTTTATGTTTGAATTTTGTGGATATTTGCATATCACATGGCAAAAGTAATTTAGAAATTAAAAAAAAAGGTTATCAATTCGCCTATTTTAAGGATTAACACTAAACTTCAAGTACTCGCAAAGCTTTTGCGTTCGAACTGGCTGTCAAAGCAGCCAAATATGTCAAAGTCGTTTAACGTAAAACTACACGAGAGTTCGTAAAAATTATATCATAAATTCTTTTACTTCAAGGCCGTGCGCTCCACATATAGTCAAATAATAAACGATCATGTCACTACCATATTTCAGCCCAAGACATCCTCTAAATATTTGAAGGTCCCTACTATTTATTGGCTACCTAAACATCACAAAAAAAACCGTCAAATATCGTTTAATCTTAGCTTCTAGTAAGTCTTCTACTAATAATTTGTCTGTGCTTTTAACTAACTCTCTTACTTAAATAAAATACTTTAAATTTTGCAATAAAGCATATAAAAATGATTGAATGAATTATTTTTGGGGGGTAAAAAACTCTTTGGATGTTTTAAATAAATTATGTGCTTTTGATGGTACGTTTACTTCGGTTAAAAGTTATGACTTTTTGACACCCTACACTACACTTTCACACAATCTTATCAAACAGCAGTTTTCTTTAATTCGATGGTCCTATGAAAATTCTGATTGCATATTTATTTCCTGCAACTCATTAAAAGCTTTCGTCTGTGATGAAAAATGTAAATATGCCTGATATACTTACTGGAACTGTGATGAGATGATTAAAGCTGTAAATTGTCTTCTTGACAACATTAATAAAATTATGAATGGAAACGGGAAATGGTTCAAAGAGACAAAACCCGACCAAAGAGCAGAAAACAGCTCAAGGCCACCAATGGGTCTTCAACACAACGAGAAAATCTCGCACCCGGAGGCGGGCTTTAGCTGGCCCCTAAACACAAATGTATACTAGTTCAGAGAAAATGGACGTCACACTGAACTCCGAAACATATAAATGAACCAAAATTAAAAAAAATATACAAGACTAAGAAAGGTCAGGGTTCCTGACTTGGGACAGGCGCAAAAATGCGGCGGGGTTAAACATGTTTTGTGAGATCTCAACCCTCCCCCTATACCTCTAGCCAATGTAGAATAAACAAACACAAAGCAATACGCACAGTAAAACTCAGTTTAAAAGAAGTCCGAGTCCGATGTTAGAATAGGTAACAAAAGAAACTAAGCAAAATGACAATGATCAACATAAATTAACAAAGGGCTACTAGCAGTGACTGACATGCCAGCTCCAGACCTCAATTAAACTGATTGAAAGATCATGTTTTCATCATATGAAAATCAAGCACAATCCCTCCCGTTAGAGGTTTATTATCATACCATCATAAAATATACGAGAAGAACATAACCCGTATCATGCCAACAACTTGTGTTAGAATAAATGTGTTTATTTCCGATGCAAATGTACGTTTCGACTATATAGTTTATCGGCAAGTTTTGGGTATTTCCATGGGCACCAATTGCGCCCATTTATTAACAGACATGTTCCTGAATTGTTCTGAATCCTAGTTTATGGCCAAATTCAGTAAAGATCAGACAAAATTCCATTGAGTTGATCAATCTACTAACAGTTATCGTTACCTTGAAGATATTTTCGCTCTAAATAATAAAAAATTCTCAATTATACTGCGTAAATTTCCCCAAGGAACGTATTTTAGATAAGTCTAAAACTAACAGCAAATTGTCCTATTTTAGCTTTTGATATTTCACACGGTAAGTTAAAAACAAAAGTGTATTACAAAAGAGACGATTTTTAATCTCTATTGTTAATTTTACTGTTTTGGACAGTGATGTTCTATTGGCCCTTTCTTATCTGGTAAATTATTAAGTTAGGGAGCACGTTGCCATAAATATCTTAAAAAATTAACTAAATTATTTCATAGATTCAAATATTTGGTTTTGATGTTTGTACATAAAACGGGATACAACATTCTTATTTTTACGGAAATATTGTTTATAGACGATTTAGTTAATTTAGAGACGATCCATGTAAACTCACTGTTCCTTTGAATAAACTTATTCTGAAAGGATATCAATTTAACACACAGTAAAATGTTTGCATGTTGTTTTATCAGTATTGACATTGATTTTGCTTTTGATAAATTAAAACATAACTAAACTGTTATATTGCTAATCATTTATCAAAACTTATGGTCGTACATCCTGTCGGTATTGTTTCCATATTTTGGCATTGCACAAGGTCATGCTTTTATTAGACTGTTAAAGACGTCTTTACACTAAATCCATTTGATGTTGGATGTGTACTGATTGATATTTTAGTCTTTGACTGCTTGTTTTTTTTTTTCTTCATTAGTTGTTATTGACTTTGAACTAGCTGTCAGCAACTGCGAGTACTCTCAGTGTCTTTTTTTTGTTGTGGGGATGTAAAAGTACCCTGCCACGTCCGGTTTGTGTTTTTGTTAGAGTTTTTTTCTGCTTTGTATCGACCTGATGAGTTAAGCCCTTTTCAACTGATTTTTATAGTTTTTTTCTTATGTTGTACTGTTACATCACTGTCCCATGTTAGGGAGGGTTGGCGCCTTCAAACTAGTTTAACCCCGCCACATTATGTATGTGCCTGTCCAAAGTCAGTGGTTGTCGTTTGTTGCTGTATATCATATTTGTTTTTCGTTCATTATTTTGTACATAAATAACATTTTAAACTATATCCGTTTGATGTGTACTGATTGATACTTGAGTCTTGGAAACATGAGTTATGCATTAGTGGTAATTGGCTTCAGTAACTGCAAGGCGAAAACTCTTTGATCGGTATCTTGTGTCTTTCGTCTTTATGTTAGTTTTTTGTACATTGTGCCGATCTGACGAATCAATCCAGTTCAACTTGTTATTAAAGTTTTATCTTATGTCGTACTGTTACACCACTGTGCAAGGTTAGGTGGGGATTGAGCTCTTACAATAGTTTTCGTTGGTTGTGGTCTGTCATATTGGTTGTTCGTTTATTTTTTTGGTCATTAATCAGGCTGTTGGTTTTTTCGTTTAAGCTGTTTCACATTTTGTCATGTTGCGACCTTTTATAGCGGACTCTACATTTTTGGTTTTGCTCATTGTTGACAGCTTACGGTGCCCTATAGCTGCTTTAATCCACTTTATTTGGACTCTTTTGAATAGTTGTCTCATTGGCAATCATAACTATTCTCCTTATCTTATATACGTAAGTTAGTTAGATTGATTTAAAGTTTTGTATGCAAGTTATTTTATTTGACTCAAACTTTGGAATCAAGCCAGACCTGATCTTAAGATTTATTAATTGATTGTTGATGTATAACGCCACTTTCAAACAATCTGGCTATTGCATGGCGATCAGTGTCCATTGGTGGAGAAAGTTGGGATACAAATAGAGAATCTCCGACCGTTGGCAGGAAAACTTGCTATCATAGTCAATTAAGATCAAAGTCACCTTGACACCATGACAATATAAGGGTAAGAACTTACAACCTTAGTGTTGACAAACTAGTCATAATTTTAGATGGAAAACTTGGACATCTGGGCCACCGAGGTCCCCTTATTCTTTTTCCGTCAAAATGAATTAAGCAAAACTGTATGAAAGTAAAGATACCAGTCATCCCTTTTAACGCATGTGTTATGACATAATAAATGGTCAGTTTTGTACTAAAAGCTTAACAGTGAATAATACATGAATAATGCATGTCTTCATCAACATTGACTTAATCTTAAAGAGAAAGATCGTTATATCTGCTGTAGATTTAGATTTTCAAATTTCGAAATCCCTAGAGTAGTTGGTCGGTTGATAAACAGCCAGCACTGCGATTAAAATACAGTGTATCATTATTTTTGGTATGTATAAACGATCAAATAATGTCATTCAAGGAAAGGCATATACCTACATATTACACGAAGAATCCATTTCAGGTAAACATTATGGGGCTATTGTCATATTGTGATGTACCAGTTTGACAAAACTGTGAACGTTTCTAAGACATATTTAAAAAGATATTTTCATAACAAGTATCATGTTAGCATCGCCTTAGATATTATAATTATAATTATATTTTTTTTTCACACGGATATCGTATTATATTTCTCATTTATTTATAATTGTTTGTAATAATGTAAAATTACATTAAAAGTATTGTTACCTGCTAGGTTGTGTGTAAGAGTAGAAAGTCACCGTAGTATTAACCTGCATAAAAATAGTCGGTTAACACTAAACCGCTTTGACATTTTTTTGTGGTAATATAATTGCTTGCACTTAAGGTAAACGTTTATACGAAAGCATATTATATTATTGTTTTCTCCTATCTTATTCATAGACAAATTAGTGTCTTTGGACGAGTGGGCTCCATTGACGTCCTTTAATAAATTTATTGGTTTTGACAATGTGCTACCGAAATAGTTATTCTTCATGAATTTTTTTTCAATCTTATTTTGTAAAATGTTTTAAATATACACAATCCATAGTTATCACACAAAGATAAACTGGATTTGACCATTTTATGGTATTTATTACAGGGATAAGTTTGAACCAATCTTTGGAAATGACAAGGATATACAGCTTGACACTATAGAAAGGTTTGTCGTTTATTACATATTTTGGAAATAAATGACTTTGCTTATCACAAGATAAAATAATGAAAAGTAGTTGACGCATTTTTTTGGAAAACATGTTAAGAAAACCCATTACACAGATTATTGTTTCATGCTGTGTTATATTTGCGAGATGTTTTACAATGATATGCTATTTAGAAATGTGTAAAAGGTGTAAACGATATTTTTATGACGTATTCTCTAAATTTTCACACTAAACTTTTGAGGAGCAGATGTCCTTACCAAGAACTGCATATTCCGTCGACAGTCTTTCTATCTTTGAAACAGATGTCCTCACAAAGAACATGACATATAAAGCTTCAAATAAAAATTATGAATGCTTTTCTACATATATTTCTAGATGTCGATAAGGACGGTAGTATTTTCTTATATATATATGTATGTATTAAATTGCCATCTGTATTATCTGTGTGATCTCTCAATGGTCTGTTTTTAATTAGTAAAATGTCTTTTTGGTACTTGTCAAATAAAATAACAATACAACGTTTTGATGCGTACATTTTGTTGATGTAGTAAATAGACAATTTCATTTTTTTTCTCTCCTCAAAATACATCTACTTGATGTGCTTAGTTTTGATCTTTGAACGTTACGAACAGCCGTTCTATATAAATAATCCACGTTACGAACAGCTACCTTCAAAGTTACGTACGACTTGTTTTTTAACGTCGCATAAAACCATTTTGTCGGTATTCTGTCTTCAGAAGGCTTGGTATTCGTGTTGTCCTACATATTATACAGACAATTACCAATTTTCTCTACCAATAATGCTTTTATTCAAAAGTATTTAGGAAATATAAAATCTAATCGGTACGGTCATCTGCCAAATTGGGCCGTCCGTAACGGAAGTTACGAACGGCCGCTTTTCCCCAGTGAGCATGAACTGAATATTCCGTCGACAGTCTTTCTATCTATGATGCAGATGTCATTACAAAGAAGATGCGAACTCTTCCCGCGGAGTGATTCACTTGTGGATTCTTAGTGATTGAAAAAAGATTTGCTAGAATAGCCTCGATCTCTGTCTCTTACACTTTGCAACAGTATCAAAACGTGCGATCATTTTCTCATTAAACAGTAAAAATGTTATACCAGTTTTGTTCTAGGAAAAGGATCTACTGCGACTCTTTTCACAAAAAATCTTACGATTAAAATTGATCGTAAGTTATACTGAAATGTAAAATTGAGAATGGAAATGGGGAATGTGTCAAAGAGACAACAACCCGACCATAGAGCAGACAACAGCCGAAGGCCACCAATGGGTCTTCAATGCAGCGAGAAACTCCCGCACCCGGAGGCGTCCTTCAGCTGGCCCCTAAACAAATATGTATACTAGTTCAGTGATAATGGACGTCATACTAAACTCCAAATTATACACAAGAAACTAAAATTAAAAATGATACAAGACTAACAAAGGCCAGAGGCTCCTGACTTGGGACAGTGTATGACTTACGAGTATTTTTACTCTTAAGATTTTTTGTGAAAAGAGCCGCTGTTTCGTATTAACCGAAGTAGCATTGGTGGACTTTTTAATAGGCAATATATTTGTTATTATTGTATACATATGAAGCAAAATTCATACAAAACCATCTTTTAAAGACAAAAAGAAATAAAAGACGTTGACCAAACCCTTGAATTTCACCTACAAACATAATGACGATGTACTATCACTCTGCAATTTTCAGTTAGTACTTGCTTCTCACAAATCCATGTTAACTTGTGTAAGGGAATTAAAGAGACAAGGAGGTCTGCTTTATTTACCAAGAATTTTTGATATGGATATTAACGAACTACTAAATGATGTTGGAAGTTAAGGATGCTAGAGTTTTATTGTCATTAACTTTAATCCTGTTTTTTAAAGAAAAAAAATTAAGTATGTTAGATTGAGAACATAATAGTGGATGAGAGTTAACATATCAATTTATGTTTTGCAGCGAAAATAGAAGTGAAGTTAACACTATCGAACTTGAAAAAAAGTTATCTGAAATGAAGTCTATAAATGAAACGCTAATGAAAAAAAAACAAGAACTAGAACGACAATTAACAGATGTCAAAGACGAAAAAAGGTAACTATGATACATACGACGTATTATTAAACTTGTTATTTAGCGCTAAGCGTTTCCAGGAAAAAAATATGTATTATTTGTTAATCTGATTTAGCGAGAAAAAAAAAGAGATCATAAATCGCCTAAGGCCAATTAAAATTAATTGATAGATTTTCATCCCCGCCCGCCCCTCTGAAATCGTTCCGCCCCAATTTTTTTTATTTTGAATAATTTACGATTTCCGGATTTTGTTCATTTTCGTTACCGGTAACTGTCGATAATTTCGTTTCATTAATAACATCCTGTTTCAAATTTTGGTTTTTGCATTTCTTTGTATGTTTGATTCGTTATACATGTATATACATGATAGAACCTTATTATTACACTTGCATATATGAAGAACACGTCACAAGAGCGTTTCATATCTAATAAAAAATAAAAAATAAAATCCTCCCACCCACCCCATTTTTTTCAAAAATTTGGATGAAAATCTACTAATTAAATTTACTTGGCCTAACTTATGATACAAAGTATTCAACAACAACAAGCAAATAAGTAGTTTAAAACGTTATATTAAAGGAGCATTAGCTACGGTTTTGACAAGCAATTAAATTGCGATTCTTTTTGTTTCAGGAATAAATAAAAGCTAAATTTTGAAAAACAATATTTCGTTATAAGCAGTCAGTTTGGCCCAAATTTGTCAAAGTAAACTCAAAAACATTGCTGATGTATTATTGACTTGCAAGTCAATAATTTAATCTCATTCTATCCGTATTGATGTTACCTTCAATCATTAATTCCTTAAATAGCTGAAGATGAGTTACGCATGTACTAGGCGTGTTCAGCTATTAAAAGTAAAAGAATGTTTACAAAGAAAGTGAAACAAGGTTGACACATTTCGTTGACTGATTCGATCTACAAAAAATCATTCTTATACAAGTAAAAACGATGATTAACATATTTTTTTTAACCTATGGCATGAAATCAAACAGACCTAGAAAAATCCAATTGGACGTGCTCGTTATCCATTTATATTTATATTTATATCGGGTTATATGACCGTCGGTAGTCCTCAGAGGTCATTTAGATGGCGTCTAGACTAAAATACACACGAAAGGCTGATACATATTACCGAATCCATGCATTGTTAATTATTTATTTAAGACTTTTTGTAATTTGGATATACGTTTTAGTATGTTATAAATCAAATGTGAGAATTTGAGTCAAATCAGTGATCATAAATTTGACAGCTAAAGCCCCTTTAATAAACACATAACAAACGAGTTCATATAGCCTGGTCGTCAAAATGTTCGACATCTTTCTAAAGTTCTTACCACCATTCTTTATACAGTGAAATATTGCCTTTAGCAATATTGTGTTGGGATATATTCATCCACGGAGTCAATCAGATGTGGATTTTTCAAAATTATAAAGATCTACTGCAAAATATTCAATTTCGTTTTTGTTTTCTATAAAAATGGGGATCGTAGATACAGATCCTGTGTCGACGCTTTGCTTACAAAGATCTGACAACGCTATGTTCAACTTCCTGTTCTGATTTTTATTACATTAGCCAAAGAAATTCCTGCCTACAATATTTCAAAGGTGTATATCATTACGACAAAACCAGAGGATTCCAAAGGGTCTTTAAAACAACAAGTAGAACTGATTTTTTAAAGATCCTATATTATATCTCAAAAGATACGTTACACGTGCATGTTAAAAACATACAGACTTCATTAGCATAAGTGTGCTCCTTACACAAAAAGAGGATGATCGGCTGAAATGGACACTACACAAGATTAAGAATTAGTTCATATACGATATGTCTGTGTGTCAACTCACTGGCGACATGTTGCAATCTTAAATCTTTAGATAGCAGAAAAGACTCTATCATTCTATCGTTTGCGTCATTTTGACTGAGTTTGGACTCATAATCATAAATTTACTATTGATAAAACTGAATTTTTCGAAATACTTGGGATTTCCTACCCCAGGAATAGATAACCTTAGCTGTATTTGGCAAAAAACTTTCGGAATTTTCATTCCTCAATGCTCCTCAACATTCGAAGTTTATCTGGCCTTTTCAACTTTTTTGATTCGAGCGTCACTGATGAGTCTTTTGTAGACGAAACGCCCGTCTGACGTACAAAATTTGAATCCTGGTATCTATAATGATTTTATTTGCATGATGGGTGACGCATGCAAGGCAGACTTCGCTTACCATGCCGACGTACCTGGTCTCGTTCCTTTTAAGTTCGTGCGATAACCTAAGTTTTTATTTGTTGCAAAATGGGGGGTGACCTCATGTGCTCCGGAAGAGTAAGCAGATCCTGCTCCATATGTGGAAACCGTGGTGTTGTTCATGTAAGTACAAACCCGGAGATAAGTTTAATTTGGTAGGTCACATTCGGGAAAAAGGGAACGGGATTGTAGTTACGATCATTGGAACATATTCGTCGTCATCTGTGAAACAGATATTCCATAACGTTTAACCAACTTGTGATGGTTTCCGTAAAATTTACGAAGGGATGAATTCAAATTCCCTACTTGGAACTCTTAGTTTTATAGCTTCCTTGTGAGCACAACACTCTTTCAATGAAATTATGAAATCAAGAAGAGGAGCACAATTGGTTCCCATGAGTCACATAGGGAAAAAGTTAATTGACCTTTTTTCAATTGATACATAGGACATATATATCCCTTAGTTCATTGACCATTCTTATGTTATTATGGAAAGAGAACCACACTCTTAAAATTCAACGTTTTTTTATCCTGTTAACATGGAAATTATTCACACATGCTTAGTTCAAGGGTTACCAAAAGTAATGATGTTCTGTAGTAATGAAAAAGTATTAAAAAATACTGAACTCCAAGGCAAATTTAAAAAGTCCATAAAACTGACAAAATCAAATGCTATCAATCAACAGAACAAGTCAAAAACATATATTGACAAAATTGAAAATAGAGAAGAATGTGAATTTTCCATCCAATACAGTACACGTGGCATTACTGCAGACTATTTTGAAAGGGTCTAAACTTCATAGCACTGTTATATACATACCTTTTTATCAACATCGGTAGAGGTGAGATCAATAACAGTCAGTACTTGAGATACTGTATTCACAAAAGAATTTTTATTATGATTAGGAAGCTTGATGACAACAACAAAAAGTGTCAGTCTGAAGTACAGAATAAGACAACAGAACTAAATGAAATAAAAGAAAAGTTGAAAAAATTAGAAAAAAAAATAAAGGAGGGAAAAGAAAATCCAGTGGGGAAAGCCAAAGATCAAGATGAGACGAAGGTTGATAATAACTTACAAAACAAGTATGTATTATTATATTGAAAGCTATGCAAGTAAAGTATAAAAACAGTTGATAATGTTTATTATCAAATTTTGTGTGGGTAATGGATATCAGTATGAAAGAATTAATTCTAATTTATTTTGAACGTCATTTTGAACCAATAAAATAGGAAGCGTTGCTGAGAAAACGTAGCAGTAGTATAAGGAAGTGTATATAAATCTGAATAAAGTGAAAATAAGAGAAATGTTATGAATTCTAAACATACTGAGACTATGTTCTCTCTATGTATCTTCTTGCATACAATTTAGATATGAATAATTGTTTTATTGTCAGATAGTAGTCTAGCATTCGGTACGTGATATTGGCACTAATGAAACATCCCTTGCTTACAATAAAATAACTATTAGTATTTTCAAGACTTCTTGGTGTAATCTTACGTTTATCTTTGAAAAGAATAAAAAAAGTATATTTCATGGATTTCTCGTGTTGGTATAGATAGACAATTATGAGTTCCTTTAAAAATTTGAAAATTGTTATAAAAAATTTCAGGGTATAACAGCATATTTTAAAAATTATTTATGAATGGACTTCTTATAAGCAAAAATGGATGGACGTATACTGGTATATCATTGTCTGTCGTTTTGATTACGTCTTTCGAAAACCAATTTATGCTGTAACAAATCTAAACTAATTTATCAATTTAAAGTTCAATAAAAAAGCCTGTTTCGATTTTGACAATTTTCAGATTTGTAGTTCCAGTAAATATACAACAATTTTGAAATGTATTGTGAGATAATTAAAGTTTACCAAAATGGATCCTTGTGAAATTGTTAGATAATGTTTTTCCTTTTAATTTTATTTACCAATTTTAGATCCGAATAACTGACAGAATTTTAGTTTTGTTCCGGTTATCTAAAGCCTTTTTCTGCACGAATCAAATGAATCTTGAGCATGCATTTGAATTATATATTAAGAAAATAAAACCAGAGATTAAATTGAGAATGGAAATGGGGAATGTGTCAAAGAGAAAACAACCCGACCAAAGAACAGAAAACAGCCGAAGGCCACCAATGGGTCTTCAACACAGCGAGAAAATCCCGCACCCGGAGCCGGGCTTCGGCTGGCCCCTTAAACAAAAATGTGTACTAGTTCAGTGAAAATGGACGTCACACTAAACTCCAAAACATATATAGCCTTTTTATATGGAAAAATGTGTATCTTTATATATAAAAATAAGAAGATGTGGCATGATTGCCAATGAGACAACTCTCCACAAGAGACCAAATGACACAGAAATTAACAACTATAGGTCACTGTACGGCCTTCAACAATGAGCAAAGCCCATACCTCATAGTCAGCTATAAAAGTCCTCGAAATGACAAACGTAAAACAATTCAAACGAGATATTAACGGCCTAGTTTATGTACAAAATAATGAACGAAAAACAAATATGTTACACAGCATGAATGTCATAAACAGGACGATCCATGATGGAATATATAGTTATTTCAAAAACGTTGATATATAAACAATCAAACACAACAGAAATGAACAAACATTCATAAAGTCATCTAAATAGAAAAGGAACTTATATTTAGTAGTTATTTATTCATCTTCATAATGATAACTTTTTTTATAAGGATAACACAATTAGAAGAAAAATTAGAAAATATGACAAAAAGTTACCAAAAAGAAAAGTCTGATCTGAATGACAAGTAAGTATTGCCAACAGAGTAAAATATCAATTCAATAATATTTATTCCATGCCACAAAAAATGGTAAACTTATTTGCTTCGTCAATATAGTCTACTCTATTGAAAAAAGTACCCTTTTCCATGTTTGGTGCCAAAGAGAAAATTATTTGCCAGTCAACAGATTTCTTTTATTGTGTATGTAAATTGGAGGATTAAAAAATAGACCATTCCAAGTAGCAATACACATTATAATAATTTAAATTCGCAAGGTGATTAGAGCTATAAACATTTCAAAGTATTCAATTTGTCAATCTCACTTTTGGTACCTTAAATGAATTTAATAGTCTTCAGTTATAAACTAAAGGAGATGTGAGTATTGACCAAATTCAAAGTGCAAAATTAATTTGATTAATGTTGTCTCTTTAACATATAGATCTTCTTATTGAATGTTATTATTTAATTTACCTCCCCAAAAAATATATATAAAAAAAGAAAAAATCACCAACTTATATTTCACACTGAAAAATGATATTTCCTTCGATTAAATGTTTATGTTATTCAAACTTATTTAATTCGATATTCCATTCTATCAGGAACATATATGTTAGATATACTGTTCCCAGATTCTATCTTGCCTTCTTATAAAGTTTAACTGTTGGTCATTAGTTTTGGATTGATTTTTAGATTGCAAGAGGAAATTTCAAAAATAAGACAACAAATGGATGAAAAAAATAAGTCACATGACGAAGAAATCAGTAAACGGAAATCAGTTGAAAAAGAAAATTTGGAACTGACAAAGAAACACACCAGTTTAGAGCAAGAAGTACAAGTATTACAATCGAAGTGAGTGCTTTTAGGTGTATTAAACTATTTTGTTTCGTTTAGGAAACAAGAGGCTCCCAAGAGCCTGAATCGTTCACCTGTTTTTCAGAGGAGAAGATTTTTATACGCCCGTCAATTTTTGACGGGACGTATTATGGTATACAAATGTCCGGTGTCCGTCCGTCCGTCTGTCTGTCCGTCTGTCTGTCCGGCATAAACATGTCGCACCGTAACTTGAGAATGACTTATCCAAATTTCATGAAACTTAACATAGTTGTTTCTTATGATGGTCAAATGATCTGTATACTTTTTGGTGAAAATAAGATTAAAACTTTTTGAGTTACGGGACTTAGTAACTAAAACAGGTGTGTGTTTTTTTTCACATATCTCAAAAACAATTTATGATTATTGCTTAAAACTTTACACACTTCTTAGTTATATTAATCTTAAGATCTGTATACTTTTTGGTGATGATTCAAAATTTTATTTTAGAGATATTGAGTATTTTGTTAAAAAAGGGGGAGGGGTTTTTCTCATGTCGCGCCGTATCTCAAAAACAGTTTATGATTATTGCTTAAAACTTTACACACTTCTTAGTTATATTAACCTTAAGATCTGTATACTTTTTGGTGATGATTCAAAATATTATTTTTGAGTTATTGAGTATTTTGTAAAAAAAGGGGGAGGGGTTTTTCACATGTCGCGCCGTATCTCAAAAACGATTTATGATTTTTGCTTAAAACTTTACACACTTCTTAGTTATATTAATCTAAAGATCTGTATACTTTTTGGTTTTGATTCAAAATTTTATTTTAGAGATATTGAGTTTTTTGTAAAAAAAAAAGGGGGTTTTCGCATGTCACGCCGTATGTCAGAAACTATTTATGCTTATTGCATAAAAATTCACACACAAGACGACGGGTGTATCATGCGCTCATGGTGCAGCTGTTTATTAAATGTTAGCAAACTTGATGAACAAATTGTGTAAATGTGTCTTTAAAGGGCAATAACTCCTTAAGGGGTCAATTGACAATTATGGTCATATAAACTTTTTTGTAGATCTTACTTTGCTGAACATTATTGCTGCTTACAGTTTATATATATCTATAATAATATTCAAAATAATAACAAAAAACTGCAAAATTTTGTTAAAACTACCAATTCGGTGGCAGCAACCCAACAATGGGTTGTTCGATTCGTCTGAAAATTTCAGAGCTGATAGTTCTTGACGAATTGAACAATTTTACCCCGTGTCAGATTTGCTCTAAAAGCTTTAGTTTTTGAGATATAAGCCAAAAACTGCATTTGATCCCTATGTTCTATTTTTAGCCATGGCGGCCATGTTTGTCGATGGATCAAAACTTCGGATACAATTTATAAACTAGATACCCTAAGGAACATTTAGTTAACGTTTGAAGGTATTTGGCCCAGTAGTTTCAGAGGAGAAGATTTTTGAAATAGTTTACGACGACAGACGACGACAGACGACAGACGACGGACGACGACGGACGCCAAGTGATGGCATAAGCTCACATGGGGCCCTTCGGGCCCCGGTGAGCTAAAAAACTGATTCAAGTATAATAAGCAACAACAAAAAATTGTAAAGTGAGTTCTCCAACATATTCATCAGTCTATAATGTCAACTTGAACCCCATTAACTTAAGGAAAGGTATGAAAATAAAGTGATATATAAGAAAGGATAAAGTGGCAACCCAAAGACATAAAACAATAGGCATCCAGAGGTTAACACACTGGTTTCAACAACAGACAAGTGTCTAATGTCTAATACTGTGTTCATATTGAGCTATACTCGTTGTGATGTAAGTGTGCTCAACACTTAAACTAAACTCTATTACGTTCCCATTGATAATATTCAATGTTTACATGTACTTTAAAACGGTTTTGACTACATGCAGTCGATAGTCAATGTAGTCCTTGTGTGGGTTAAGTGTACATAAAGCTAGATATTAAGAACGTAGATTTATTATGAATATTTAAAAAAGTAACCCATATTGAATAATGATGATTATAATAATATTATGAATGAACTTATTTACCTATTTTCATGACAAAAACTCAAAACTTTCTCAGTTAAAAACATGATTAAATTTTATATCCGTAGTGGACCATTTGATTTTCAGTGAGAGGGGGGTTGTGTGCTGATTTAGTTAGCACGAAAATTATTTTCACTTTTTGTAAACAACTATTTCTTGCATGGTCCTGCATTTTGTAGGACAAAATATTCATTTTATCATGTCTTGGACAACATTATTGTTTACAGTTAGTTCCATTCCAGACTATGGGTGTTTGGGGTATAGAAATATGGTAATTTAGGTCTTCTTCCGATCGGCCTTAAAACCCTTGCCAAAGTGGGGCGTCGTTTGGCTGTGCGGGATGTACAAGTACTCAGACACGTCGGTCTGAATGTGGACATTAAAACCAATTCCTTGTGTAGAGAGAGTGCCACGCTCTCTGCACGTTAAGAACCTTTGCCACAACTCTTTGATGGATCCGTAGTTGTTCCGTTGCAAGGCACAATCTTGGTCCCTATCTAATATAGTGTCATTGTCCAATGGCAGTCCAAATTGTCCCAATCTTTATCTCGGACGGCCTCTATTACAGGACCTACCTATTGTATTTATTGTGAATTTGTTCTCGTCCTAAACATGCATGAAATATTTGCCTCTGGACGTTAAGCCACCTACAATCAATCAATCAATAATTTTCAAAATTCTTTTTTCGTCTATTGTTACGCTATTTTAGCCTGCATAATCGTGACATCTTTAGAACTCTTAGGTCGTGTTTGATTACAAAGAATCCGGAACCGGGTTTGAAAACCAACACGCTATTTTACAAGAAACCAAAACCGGATTTTCTGGGTTTCCAGAAACGGTGAAACCTGTCCTGAAACAAGTTTATCGGATTCAAGATGGCGACGAGCCAAGAAACTGAATATTGTCGATACTTAGTCATAGTGAATACTTTTTGAATATTGTGAAAAAAAAGATAAATTCTCTGCTTATCATGTATTATCTATTTTATTTTGATCAAAGTTATAATTAGTAAAGTTTAATTGTTTTCTTGCGTTACGTAATTTTAAAAGATACATTTGATTCTATTTGGTTGTTAACTTAATGAAAATGAATAGCGTTATACTTAAATGTCGGTAACAGAAACCGATTTATTAAAGTACATGTGACATGTGATGTACATTTCACTACATAATTGAATGAACTAGATATCATTGAGATGGGAGCCATCTCTGTCGGCCCCGCTGTGAATAATGTGTGGTAAAAAATTTGTATCTTTATCATTGGACATGGGGTTGTCAACTGAAACCGAAGTTTATGACCTTGACCTTTGACCTAGGAAGTTGTACATACATTATGACAAACCCTCTGGTGTTGGTTTATATACATGTCAAGTATAAACTTTGAAATCATAACGGTTCTCAAGATATAGAGCGGACACGATCTTTACCATAGGACATGGGATTGTCAACTAAAACCAAAGTTTTTGACCTTGACCTTTGAACTAGGAAGTTGTTCATACATTATGACACACCCTCTGGTGTTGGTTTATATACATGTCAAGTATAAATTTTGAAATCATAACGGTTCTCTAGATATCGAGCGGACACGATCTTTACCATAGGACATGGGGTTGTAAACTAAAACCAAAGTTTTTGACCTTGACCTTTGACCTAGGAAGTTGTACATACATTATGACACACCCTCTGGTGTTGGTTTATATACATGTCAAGTATAAACTTTGAAATCATAACGGTTCTCTAGATATAGAGCGGACACAATTTGTTACGGACGGACGGACGGTTGGACGGACAGACTGATCACTATAAGGCGTCCGCCATTCGGCGGGGCCCTAATGAACATTCTATAGTAAATGTGTATCTAATGTTTATAGTAACACTATGGTATTAGAAATTGTTTAAACCGAATTATGATCGTCTGTGATATATTATATGCATAATATATTCTATGTTATATTGAACTATTATTAATACCGAATCGTTAGTACAGTCTGATTATATTCATGACAAATGTCTTTCTTTAAAATATATTATTCCAAAAAAGAAAGAGGGTTACTTGTGCTGGTTATTTTATTAGTGGTTACTATAGTAAAGTATATAATATAAAATTTGTGTGTACGGTTAAGATACATTATTGTTTCGTTAGATTTTTTTTCAATATAGAATCTTTCACTAAAATGAAGCAATTATTTTTATTAATTTGATAACGTACCTTCGGCCACTTGATAACGTCCTGTAACTGATCATGTAGTGCACTAAGGAAATTGTTTCGGCACTTTCTACTGAATATTCTGAAATATTAAATTTGTCCGCAATCCGTCTAATTGTATCCTGACATCCCATATAATTCAATCCAACAAGAATGGGTTTTTTCAGCGGACACAGGCTTTTTACCTCCGCCACGAGGGTGTTTTTTTTACAACATTGTTACCAATCTTGCACACAAGTTCTTCAAACAGTGATCTGCTTACACGGAACACAGATCTGAAGTCATCTATATTATAGAAAGGGAGCACATTCTCAACATAACCTTCAATACGTGGTTTTTTGTCCTCTTTGTTCTTCCAGCATGCAGCAATAAAATAATCATTGGTATAAAATTTAAATCATCATCGGAAAGAAAATCAAGCACAGGTTAACTTGTAATATCCATATTCATTAATTTGATTTGGAATATTCTTTGGTCTCGAAATGAAATCAAACACTGAAACTAAAACCGGTTTTCTTTAACAAAACCCGTATTTAGATTTGGCGTTTGATTTCATTTGTAAGATTTTGAAAAATTGGATTATGAAACCGTTCCTGGTTCTCTTGTAATCAAACACGAGCTAAAGTCTCCAAATCGATAAATCGATTTTTTAAGGTTTACAACCATCGAAATTTCGTGAGACAAGCCATATGTATATTAAATTGATAAAAAAAAAAACCCATAAAAATAACTAATATTTTTGCTTAATAACATACAGAAAGATTTTAAAACTGCATGATGAACCCCCTCCCCCTTCATTTTCAATGGAACCAAACGATTTTTCTCATTTCCCTCCTGAAAAAAATGTATTCTTGTTTAAAATATTTGAATTTAAACCCCCCATCCCCTCGAAAATAAAATGAAACATAAAAAAAATATATTAATTGGTCTCCGCCTAACAAAAATTTACAGAGAATTTTGTAATTCAATTGTATGTAATGTACATGTAAATGACGTTTACATGTTGTTTACGGGTGTGAACAATTTTCATGTACAGCTAACTAAAACCAATGTACAAATGAGAACAAATTTAAATTGAAGCCAGTGTTCATTACATGAAACTATTTGTAAACAAGTTTACAGTACGCGACGTTAGGTGTGGACTCGGCCTAAGTGTCTTTAGAATTCAACGAAATTGTTGTAAGATAGGTTTGACCGTGTAGATATAAACAAGAAGATGTGGTATGAGTGCCAAATGAGACAACTCCTCATCCAAGTCACAATGTGTAAAAAGTAAACAATGGTCATTTCTGGTAATAATATGCTGTTTTGTTGCTGAATCAATGACGTCTTCCCTATATATGTTTTTGGACATTAAGGACGCATTTCACTAAGAGTTATACAATGATAACATATCATTAAAAGGTTCAATTAGAACCTTACGAAAAATAAATTACTTTATTGGGAATTACGGAAACAGATTTTTATTTTTTACTTTGAGGAAGGGAAAAATTTGTAAACGGCATACACAATACAATCTGATAAAGACTACAATATATAATGTTTAGTTCACCTGGCCTGAAAGTGAGCTTTTCTCATCACTTGGGCGTCAGTCGTCCGCCGTCCGTCGTCGTCGTCGTCGTCCGTCGTCGTCTCTTTTTACAAAAATCTTCTCCTCTGAAACTGACGATTTTCCCCATTTTTGCCTTTTATCTTGAAAACTGTAATAGATAGATAGAAACTTTAAATAGCACAAATGATCAGCAAGACAGGATCAACAAATAAACCATAATGGCTGAAATCTTTAGTCGATTCATTATTGGAGTTATTTCCCTTTAATGATAATTTTTAACATTTTGTTTGCATTTTTTGCGTATTATCTTGAAAACTATAATAGATAGATAGAAACTTTAAATAGGAAATATTATCAGCTGGATAAGATCTACAAATATATCCACATGTCTGAATTTGTCAGTTAACTCTTGATAGAGTTATTCCCCTTTAATGATTTTTACTAAAAAGTGGCCATTGTCGAAGATGCAAGTGAGCGACACAGGCTCTTTAGAGCCTCTAGTTTAACAATATTATCTCAATGTCATAGAAAAAAGATCAACTTACTTAAAAGGAAGCAGGTGACGAAAAATAAAGTCTTTTTCAAATATTGAAAAAGAAAAGTCTATATATAGGTATGATCTGTATAATAAATAGGAAACACAAAAAACTTTAGTTGAAATCACTGGAGTTAAATTTTATAATATAAAGATTACTACCATGAAATGCTTTTATTTATAACAGATGAAGTCAAAATAAATATCAACGTATTACATCGACTTAAGTGAGCATGAGACATGTTTCATGAATAATTTGTGTCGAAAACTAAAATCCGGGAAGTAAAATATATAGAACTTGAAGAGAATAGAAAATAAAACCGAAACAGAACTGCAAATATCTCTAATGAAGTCGTATGTAAAAGCCAGAAGCTTGAACATTTTGATAAATAAAAGTGTTAAAGATAGATTTTTCCGCGGCCGAAAGGCACCAGAAGATTGTTGTTATACTTTTAACTTGTACTTACGTATGCGTCTTACTTACGCATGTTCCGAAATTGGTCTCCGAATTTAGATTAGTGTGCCCAAAGCACGTTTCTGGATTCATCCTCAGTAGGAACGCTAAAACCTAAACATTGGAAATCCAAGGATGTATGAATACTTGGATTTTAGGGGATATATTATTAAAGAAACCTGAAAGAGTAGCCAATGTCAACTTTGCCTGAGAGAGTTGGAACCTTAATTTTTTTTAATAATGTCAAAAGTAGAAGGTATGATTAGGTCACCTTTTGACCTCTTGAATATGAAAAATATATTATAAATATACCAAAAATATTTTTGAATTTTGTTTAACATTATGGCATTAGAGCTTTACACTTTTTAGATTAAGTGCAAAAACAGCAAAAGATATAAACAGGGAATATTGGAAACACAGATTCAGTTCAAATTTGAACGATTTTCACTCTGGTCGTTCCAGACTAACGCTTCTCCATAAAAACCCAGGATAGCAAATATTTTCGTTTCATTGCAATAACTTGAGGAAGATAACTAAACAAAAAGTAAAATCACAAAAATACTGAACTCCGAGGAAAATTCAAAAAGGAAAGTCCCTAATCAAATGGCAAAATCAAAGGCTCAAACAGATCAAACGAATGGATAACAACTGTCATATTCCTGACTTGGTACAGGCATTTTCTTATGTAGAAAATGGTGGATTGAACCTGGTTTTATAGCTAGCTAAACCTCTCACTTGTATGACAGTCGCATCAAATTCCATTATATTGACAACGATGCGTAAACAAAACAAACAGACACAATAGGTAAAAATGTCAAAAATAGGGGTACAGCAGTCAACATTGTGTTATCATCTTAATCACTATAAAAACAAACAAATGTAACAAAGAAGCACAAAAAGGCATACATCAAATTTAACATCCTCATTTTGCTTTTTTATTATACGATTTTATCTATGTAAAATCCACCGATAAAGGATGGAAGGTTTCAAGTACTGGTGTAGAATCGCGTGTTTGACGTCACACAGGTAGATATAAAATAATTTTGTCGTTTCAAAGACACAGTTCGAATTTGGCCGATTTCACTTTTTCTTCGTATAGTCATGCCTCTTGGTAAAGCAAAAAATTCTCAGACAATAACTACAGAACAATTTTATACGCACGTATTATGGTATAACAATGTCTGTCCGTCCGTCAACATTTCGTATGATAACTCGTATTCGCTTTTTATCAATTCTCATATAACTTAACACAACATAAGAATTGACGACAGAAAACTCTCTTCGATTTTTTTTTGAATTTTTGAATATGTCATTCCAGAGTTACGGTACTTTTAACCTTAGATTTAAGGCATTTTTTTTCATAAATCACGCACTAGCTCCAGTTTCCTTGATTGAATTCCTCCAAACTTTACTTAATGTTGGGATTAATGAAAGGACGCTACCTTTTAATCTATTGGATTTGCCGTTTTGTCGCTCCAGAATTATGGGACTTTAATTGTCAGATTTTAGTAAATTTTTCACATATTGAATCATAACTTTTGATAAAATAAACGTATTATTACTCAAAAAAGAAATTTAAATGTAAAAACCTAAACAAATTAGACTTTTTAAAAAAAAATCTTTTTAGTTTAAAACTTGAAATCTTCACGTAGTACACTGAAAGAGAAAAAAAATCGACTTTTGTTTATTTAATATATTTTCATCTTAAAAGAGAGGTGGAAGATACCAAAGGGGTAATCAATCTCACAATTCTAAGAAAATTGACGATGCAATGGCAAAAGATGAAAACGGACAAAATTGATTCATTGAGATTTTTAAAGATAAAATTTCCAAGTTTATAACTCCAAGTTCTCAAAATATCTCAAAACTGTCTTTTCTTGTAATGTTTTAGTTGTTGACACATGTTTGGCAATCAGCACACAGACGTCCTTAGTTTGTATGCTTTCATTTTTTACTTTAACAATACAATTTCTTTCAGCAAATCAACTCAAAGCAGAACACAAGACACGAACAAAGAACAAATAACAAGGTTAACTAACGAAAATGAAAGGTATTATATAATTAGGAGAAATAGTCTCCTAATAATACATTAAATAAACGTTTTACATGTGCACGACATATCATATGTAATAGTTTTCATGACCAGTCAACGAAATATTATCATTATATGCTAAATTGAAGCATACAGGCCTATTTAATGCCTATACACAACTCAGAAATAACTTATTAAATATATTTTCAGTTGATGTTCAAATTTTCAAATGTCGTTTAATTCTTTGATCCATACAATCTTTTTTTTTTCTTATATTGCTGATCATTTTAGTCTGTTTAGTTTCTCCATATCTTTAGTTTTTGCCCAAAACACAAAAGTGGGTTAAAAAATTCGTCATTTAAGGACAATCACTGCTATAAAGAGTCTACTAACTATTCCGGCAAAATTTCACTTGTTTGTAAATTTTGCTTTGCTGTTCTTTTTTGTTTTTAAATTTTCAATCTATCTTTTAAAGTTTTCAAGATATGGCAAAAGCCCCAACAATGGGTAAATATCGTCATTAAAGAGCAAAGACTTTTATAACTAGTCGATAAACAATTTTGACCATGTTGACTAATTTTAGAAATAGTCTAGCTGATCATTTTTGCTATTTAAAGTGTCTATCCATCTATTATACGGACACATGAAATTATTAAACGTGTTGTTTTCAATTTTTTACATCACTGGGTCGATACCTCTATGCTGGTGGACTATCAGTCCCCGAGGGTATCATCAGCTCAGTAGTCAGTACTTCGGTACTGACATGATTTATAACAAACTATTTTAAAATTGTCCGTTTATAAATTTTGAAATTATAAAGAAACTAAGGTTTCAACTCCCTCAGGCAAAGTTGACCTTAGATGAATTTGGCTATTTGTTTTAGGTATTTTTGTCATATAGCTCTTCAACTGTTTCGGTACTTATACATCCCACGGATTTCAAATGTTTGGCATTGAGCGTTCCTGATGAAGGTAAATCCAGAAAGGCGCTTCGGACGCATGAAATTATTAAACGTGTTGTTTTCATTTTTTTTTATAGGTTTCAAGATAGTAGGCAAACACACTAAAATAGATAAAAATAGATTTAAAAAGCTAGATATCTAATCATGAGTCGACTGACTATTCAGTCCTGTTGACTTATTTGTAGAAATTGTCTTGTTCTACATTTTTTGTATTTGAACTGTCATCTATCCTTCATAGCTTTCAAGATAATAGAAAAAAAGCCCACTAAAAATTGGTAAAAATTGTCATCGCAATAACTCCAAAAACGAGTCAACTGAATAATTCGTTCAATAAATTTATTTATAGATCTTGTCTTACTGATCATATTTAATTATTTAAGTTTATATCTATCTATCTATTGTAGTTTTTAAGATATTAGACAAAAGCGCAGAAATTTGGTAAAAATCGTCATAACAGGGCTATAACTCTGATGGGGAATCATCTAACAATTTCGCCCATGTTGACTTACTTGTAGATCTTGTCTTGCTGATAAATTTTGATACAAAAGTTTTTCTCTTTCTCTTATAGTTTTCAAGATGATAGGCAAAAAAAAAAATAAAACTCGTATTCAGGGACAATAACTCCTATCAGCCATCGTCTTACAGTTTTGGTGTTAATAGGCAATAGAAAATGTTTTGTAGACTGGGGTTTGTCTTGTTTGTCTTTCGCTCGTTTTTGGCCATGGCGTTATCAGTTTGTCTATCGTTATTTCCCGCCTCTCTTTTAAGTTCTATATGTTTAGTTGGTCTGTCAGCTTTTAGTTTATAGGACTTATAGGGTAGTGCTTACAATGATGCAGACTGACAAATTATAATTTTTGTATAAGTATTGAAAAATGCAACATTTAAGAAAATATCTTGATGACAGTAGAAAATGCTTTTAAACTGCAGAACAAGCCTTTGTTTAACACCCACTGTTAACAATCATTTTGATGTAAACTTATAATATATTATGTTTATTGGCATATTTCTAAATTAATATTTACTAATTGAATCATTTTACAATAATATTCATTAATTCATTGTACTAAGATGCATTTTGCATGTTAAATTGGTAAGTATAATTGATTATTGGATATAGATCCGGTCTTTTTCTGTTACTTTTATAATTTGGCATTGCAAAATGAGGTTTTTCATACGGCTTATGTTGTGCTATTACACCAGAATTCAAGGTTGGAGTGAGTTTTAACATGCAGTTCTTTAATTTTCCGTAAATGTAAATGAATTTATGAATTATTAGAAAAAACTGTAGTTCCAACTCCTTCCTGCAAAGAAGACACGAAAAATCATGTAATTACAAAAATACCAAATTCCAAGGCGAAAAGTTCATAAAAAATCAAACGCTCGACTAAATCAACCAACGGAACGACTGGAAAACTGACAATCGTTCGTTACGGTCATGAACATTTCTGTCTCGAGAAAACCATTTTTTATAAAATTAAGCAGCTTATAGCTTCAAACAAACATTTGAAACATATTTTGATTTTTTAAGGTTAAAGCTTTCCGAGAATCAGTCAAAAGAACATTTAGAGAAGAAAGAAAAAGAAATAAAGAAATTGGAAGAAGCTCATAATGTGACTAAAGCAGAGAAAGCATCTTTACAATCTCTTTTAAATGACATAAATAGCCAGTAAGTAAAAGGTTATAAAGAAGTGTTATGTACTTTGTAAGAACAGTAATAATTTATGACTCAAACTGTTATAATGATAATAATGCATTTACAGAATTACATAGTAGTCGATTGTATGTACATAAAGTTCGGAGAACGGTTTGGGGTTCATGTTGCTTATTCTTTACTTTTTCTGTGAATAACTTTGGGACTGTTGTATGTCTTTTCGTGTATTTTGTTCTTTCTGGCATGATGTTGTCCGTTTTTCTTATAATTATAATTTTTATTGCCCCATTGCAATCTGCTTACTTATATCTTTTATTAATTTCCCCAGTATTTAAAAAAAATGATTTAATTGAAAAAGCATGTTCTTCAAACAGCAGAACGAAATGTAACACTCAAATAATTCAAAAACTAGTGGAACAAGCTTGAAAGAAATAAAACATATCGATAGAATGATCAAGATTGCGTCAAATTTAAGTCTACATAAAAGACAAAAATATACTGAGGACTTGCTTCTGTTTTTTGACGTTAGAACTACTATGCTCCTGTCTCTCTCAATATTGAGAGAAAATATAACCTGATTTCTTTTTCATCATTTTTTGGTTTCATTTTTTTTTATAGCAAATAAGTATAATGAATGGTACAGTATTGTTGTTTGAGATTCACCATATTTATCATTATTTTTCAAAAACTGACGCTAAGATATCACTATTTTTTATGGAGAATATATACAGAATTTTGTCATTTTATATTTTTGGAGGGGAGAGATGGGACGGAATGCTTAAATGCCACTTTGATATGTCAGAAATATCAGTATTGTACACTTTACACAAGCAAAAGTTAAGACAAAGAGAAGTGTAGGTTAAATTCTTGAATGATAACAATACAGCTTTCAAATTTTCTGGTATTATTTGTTTTCAGTAATACCAAATCAAAACGATTTTCTATGCTCTGCAATGTTTTGTGCTTTTTTAAAAAGCGACCTACGATGACTTAAATAATCATACCGGAATGAGTAGAAGTTTGAGTTATGAATAATTCAAGAATAGATGCTTATAAGTATCACATTATGCCTCTGTATGGGATATGAACATGTGTGACGCCCTAAACGTACAATTGCTTGTTATTTATAATCTTTTAAAAATGCAAGAGATGAATATTTTATTTTCAGAAATCTATTTAAGTTGGAAATTTAAATATCAAAGTTTATTGAATTTTATAGAGTTAGACAAGAGGTAGATCAACACACTAAAAAAACTGATTCATTATCTCAGAATTTAATGTCAAAAGAACACGAGATTTTGGATTTGAAAAGAAGTAAAATTGAATTAGAAAGAAGTCTGTCATCTTTAAATAAACAGATAGATGAACAGTGTATAACAATTAAAAGGTATAAGATAGGTGGGATGGCAATCAATTACACCTAGTATACACTTTGTTGCACTTCTGTACTAGACGGATTATGTAATATTACACTGTATTTGGAATGAATAAGTCAGCTGAAATACGTTGAATTAGACAAACATCAATTAGTTATTGTATAGGTATTAAGGCCTATGCATGAAAGATTTTTAGTAAGCTTTACATAAATGCTAAGGTTTGAAAAGAAATTCTGATTGAACTTGCCCAGACATACGCTTCAATGCATAAAGCGTATAAAGAATAAAACATTTTAGTTTAACATAATTGCATAAAAATGCTTTTAAATAAGGGACAATTCTAAAAAATAATAAGACTTTTGTGACTTTAATTTTTTCTCTTAAACCTCAGTTGATTAAAAGTAATAGATTTTAAAAAGTTTACTTAAAAAAATGTTTTGACCAGTTCTCTCCTATTATGAGTATTGTGCGCAGCATGTTAAAAGAGAAAGTGTCTAATGTTCCAAAGACACGTTAATGTGTTTTTAATTATCACTAATATGTTATATAATCAAACTTTAAATGTATTATCAGTCTTTTTACTTGATACATTAACTTCACAAAAACCCTTATAAGAAGGATATACATGTAAAGTTCTTACTACCATTATTCATACAGTAAACAATTTTATATCCCAATCTTTTCAATATGCAGTATTATTCTAAATTTTGATTTATCTTCGCTCTACATTCCTTTCTCCATGCTGAATTGACAAATCGACTACGTCTTCTCATCAAACACAGATTTTTCTTTAAAAATAGAAATCATAGAGACAAGTCTTTGTTTAAGGTCAACAAATCCCCCCACGAAGTATTAATATTTCAAATGGCAGCCGGTATCCAAATTTCTAATCATATGAAACCCAATTCATTCGTTCAAAGACAAAAAAATGCATCTTGGAAAGTTCTTTAATTTCACTTTCATATATATTGATGAGACCTGTCACTCAATAACGTATGTTTCAATGAGTGTTTGTATCTCATATGAAGACTAAGATCGACACTACATTATTTTTACTAACACCATACTTGAAGTATTGGTTGTGTGATACGATATTTATGTGTCTCAACTTACAAGCGACATGTTTTCGCAAACTTAGATCTTTATATACCGGAATAGTAGTCTGATCTGTAAATTTACTGTTTGTATCGTATTTATTTTTGTGACGATTTGACTGCTTGTGGATTCGCATGGCGGTTGATGCATGCATATCAGGTGAAGCTTGTCTTGTAGACGCGTCCGGTTTCGCTTCTCTGAGGAGTCCATAGGCTTCCTTCAGAACCACTAATTTTGGCCCGGTCACAAAGAATACACAATAAATTAGTACAAATATTAAACAAAATGGTTCCTACGCATAGCTGTGACTTTGTCAATAGGTAGAGATTTGGGTAATGTTGGTAACAAATGTAAGTTTAAGGACTTTGGATCACTGTTGAACCCTTAAAAAAAGTTTCTTTTGAATAATAAAAATACAAACTTAAGACAAAATAGCTATGAAAAATTGATTGAATTGGAGCCTGAAAATAAACTTAAGATCAGTATAGGCATTTCAAAGAGCAGTGTTTATATTTTTCTCAAATGTACATGTATTACTAATACAGTTTACATCCTGAACATTAAGCTTTTTTTAGTAAATCTCATTGTTTCACATAGAAAAAATATGAACATATGTATGGACATACCGGTACATGTAAATCAAGAAAGTTATGTCTACCCTTTAGGACCGCAATAGTGTCTCATCCCATGTTCGTTCCTATGTTTTTTTTTAATCTATGTCTGTCTTAGAACTAGATAAACAAGATGTATGTGTTGTTGAAAGTTTTCTTAAATCCCTTTCACCTACATGTCCTAATATTATATACCATGCTGTTTGACTGTTAAATGTTACTCTGCATTAACAGATCTTTTATTTGATGACTTTGTCAGGATACATGTACAAAATGTATTCATATTAAGATAAAAGATGAACATTAGAAAGCATTTTTAAAATTAACATTTACATTACTTAAATAGCTATAAAGTATTTCAAACTACAGTCTCTCGTTTTACAAATATATAATATATTGAACGTAATCATCTCATGCAATATATTTCTAGCTTTTATTAATCTCATCAAACATCAATTATTGGTAGAACAATAAAATCCAGACGCTAAAATTTGAAAGAATAAACATTTTTACGAAAGCGAATTCGCTCTGCCTACGGCCTATCACCATATTTCCAATGACGAATGTAGATACTAAAATGAATCAATGCAATATTGAACGAACGAAAGCGTTTTGTAGTAAAAATATCATTTATTGTCTAAAAATTAATAAGGTAATAAAAAAGAGAGTTTTACCAAGTTTGATAAAATCAGATTACCGCCGGAATTTTTCTAGACCTTAAAGCTTTATTTCACTTATTAATATGGTGGATGGATTCTAGTTATTTGTCGAATTGCACATTCATTTTGAATGCACAAGCCAATTTTGCTCTTTATATGATATCAGCAGCTCTATAGTCATTTTACTTTATCACTGACAAAGTATTTATTAAGAGAGTTGCTTAATAAGTTTATTTATTGTAGTTTAATAATTTCTCTGAGTATTTATGTTTTTTGCAAATTTGCCTAAGATCTTCAAAACGATTAATAAGTATCTACGGATAAAAAATTATTAAAAAAGAAAAATAGGGGAAAACCTCTTCATAGTAGAACCGATTGTATTGTTTGTTGAATTAACAAAAGGAGGTGTGGTTAACTTCAATGAAACAGCAACCAAAATTCACAAAGACATCGAAAGCCATCTCCATTCTTCTAAATAATCCTTCTGTTGTGATTCTGCTTATATTTTTTGTATACGCTTGTAAATATTAAATCGACAAAGAGAGCAATCCCGATCAATTTGCAATGTCTCTTTTAGAAATGATGAGGCACATTATATTTCTTTATTAGTTAAAATGAAGATTGCTCCCTTTGTTGACTTAACCAGTAGTCGTTAAACTTTATGGAAAACAGACAGGTCATGGCAAAGCCAATAGTGGGAAAATGGCATGTTATTACTATATAATTTATTATTTCAGTCTCTATGACAAAAAAGAGTAAGGAAAAGACATCACATTTAGAATATTTTAAAACTTTTGATATAAATGATGGTAAATATGTTCTCAGTTGATACAACATTTTACAATCTTGATTCAACTTTGGACTGTTTTTGTACGATAACACATTTTTTTCATAACTTGAATTAATTACCAGGACTTAGATTTGTACAGTACAATAATTTCATATTACCCTGTTAAATAATCAAGATGTTACTTTATTAGCTTGGGAATACACAATATATATATAACGGACATTCAAAATCTTACACGCTATACTTGTCTCTCTGACTGAAATGAAATCTATTTAGTATGGATTTGAAGTATGTAATCATCTAGAGTGTGGGTTTTATGTGATAATTTATCAAAGAGTTGCTAATCAGAGTTATTAAAATTGATCACTAACAAAGTTACAGGTTAATGATAAATTAAATTTAAAAAATAAACGAAGGAAGGTAGAATAAAAGTAGTTATTTTAATATCTTTATTATCAAAGAATTATTGTACACTTAATTTAATATTCTTACAGGAAGAAAACCAGTACAAAACCTCCTGACCAAAAACTCAAAGATCTACAGGAGGAAAATGAAAAACTAAGAGACAGGTATACCTCATGTTTTCATTTCCCATCACCTCTTTACATAAGTTACAAGGCACTTAATGTCACAAGCTTCTCCTCCTGAAAGAAAACCATCTTATTCTCGTTAAAATTCTTGTTTGACTATTACTTGGCAATGAAATATGCTAAAACGCACTATTGAAATTATTTTTTAAATTCCTCTTCAAAATAATCTAGCGACAAAAATTCAATATATTTTATGAAGATTAAAATGACATATTGTGTGGTTATTCTCCAAATACAGGCACTGCTTTTATTAGAAAGACATTGTTTCGTTTTGAAATTTAAATATCAATAGATAAAGAAATTATAAATGTGTCTACCGCATGACAGTTATTAGGTCTTTCCACTTTTCTATTGATTTTGTTCTGATTATTATTTTTTTCTTCTTCCGCCACATTTTTGTCTTGCGGTGTAAAATGGTTTCGCAAGATGTCGCTTAGATTTTTTGCATATGATATCGAACAGTTATTGCGCTTTTGAAACTGACCCTGTTTAACGGAATACTTTTTATTGTAAGAGTTATCCCCCCAAACACTGTTTTTCTTGTTTGCGCATCTCCTTCTCAACCGTAAAAGATTACGAAAAAATTATTTCACCAATTTGCTTGTTATATCCTCAGGATCTTAAGAATAATTTTGATCGAGACTCCATATGAGAGTTATTTCCCTTTCTGTATTTAAAATAAGTGAAATGTAATTGTAACTGGTAAACCATAAGTGATAGAGACCTAGGGTCTGTTGAATTGAGGTCCTTGGTCCACCAAAAAGAAAATGGGGTCAAGGTCAAAGGTCAAGGTCAGATTCTTTTTTTTTAATTTTGGCTTGATATTGCTTCTTTTCAGAAACCGTGTAAGATATCAACAAAATATTTTTACTAAACTGATATTTGCGACATGTCAAAACATACATATTTTGGTTAAAAGGGTGCATTGACATTTGATGGGAGTTTCCTCCCATCTAATACTCAAAATAAGCATTATTGGGATAGAACTCATTTTCCTTACATAGTGGAGACTAAGGGTAATTTGATTTGAGGTCCTTGCTTTATGACCTTGAAATTTAGTTCAAGGTCAAAGGTAAAATTGACGTTCTAGATTTTGACCTTTGCTGTAGATTCATATTTATACGTGATAAAGCCTTGGGATCTTTTGTATTAGGTTAGTAGACATATGACCTTGAAATTGTCAACCAGAAGTGACCTTTTTAAATCCGGAAGAAGCAATTTATCTCCATTATTTGAATCAGAGTAAAGTAAGCTATTATTTGACACCGGAAGTGACTTTGATTTAACCGGTAGTGGCTTATTATCTCCCTTAATTGATGAAAAAAGTGCCTCAAACATTGTAATTTCAAAATCAGTATGTGATATGCTATCATTTAAGCCCGGACATTCTGTTTATCAAAATTTTCTCATTTTAAGTGAATTTGAGTGGAAAGACCTTCAATTGTTCTCTGAACAATTGGTTTTTAATTATAAATATTTAGTTTACTATGAACCTCGTATATAAAGTTAAGAGAAAAGTTTGAGGCTTCTGCGATTACCTTGCATTAAGAACTAAAGAATGAGAAAATCGTAATTAGTAGATTTTTGCTTGTTTGCACATTATATTTGAAGTGATTCGAATAATGTAGTAATTATGTTTTATATCCTCAATCTAAAAGGTCGTATTGGACATTATTCTATAATTTACAAACATGATTATTCCAATCTAAAATGGCATTTTATTTTCCCATTCACGAAAGGTTAAGTCAGGTGGCGGGTAGTAAATTAACTGACGGTAATCCAGCAATAGCAGATTTGGGTGATCCTAACAGACCTACACAACTTGGAGAAAAGTTCTCAGAATTGTATGACAATGAATGGACAGATGCTATGGAAGAACTTGGTAATGCTGGGGACGAGAAATCTAATATCACCACTTTAAGAAATATTGTTGAGGTAATTATGTCTAGCATATGAAATATTTATGTATCGATATTATATTGTGCTTGAAACAAGCCATAAGTAATAAAACACTTTTTGCAGTACTTTTTAAGTATAACTTTCATTCATCATCAGATTTTGTCAACGAGCTTTGTGGTAGCTATTACTTAGTACGAATTATAGGGACCAAGGCCTGGAAATTGATCTTTCACCTGCTACATACTTTTATTTTTCCTCAAATTTTGATTTTGGTGTAACCTTATTTTCCTCTTAATAAGAGAGTCCAGATTTATTCGACCATATATAGCAAAAGTCTTAATTTGGCAATGAAGACATTTCTATATCGATTTAAAGATTGTTGAAACTCGATATATATTGACCCGCATCACTTTGAAATATATATGAAATCTGACCAACTAGAGTAGTCTCTTATATTAAAGAAGAAATTTTACATTTGTATTCAGCGGATTATTTGTCACAAGGAAGCAAAATTCTATCTTGTATTACAAATGCATCGTGTTGCTCAGTCTTTCATTTTTATGTTGTATTTTGTGTACTGTTGTTTTTCTCTTCGCCTTTTTTAGTTTTTTTGCCATGGCATTGTCATTTTGTTTTGGGCTTATGATATTAAATAAAAAGATGTGGTGTAAATGCCAATTAGACAACACTCCACCAGAGACCAAATGACATAGAAGTTAGCAATTATAGGTCATCGGACGGCCTTCAACAATGAGTTTGAATATCCCTTTGGTATCTTTCGCCTCTCTTTAATAGACAGAATGACAATTAGTCAAGACTTGTAGATCTTGATTATTGAAAGGTACTATGTATTGTAGAAGTCAGTGCACATTTCAGAAGACCAACTTCTACTAATCAATAATTAATGAATACACCATCATACTTATCATTTAATTAAGTTTGGCATTATTTATAAGAAACAGTCTTATATTTATTAAAACATATGACTGTGCTGATGCTTTTAAAAGAACACCATGCAATGTATTTTGTAGACTTCACCACTCCATGTAAAATATGTCATAATGTTTTTATCAATATTTACAAATACGAATAGTATATTTTAAATGACACTCTTTCATGTCTTGATGCTACAGAAAATTTGAAAAAAAATTGAAAGACAATCTTTGAAGAAGTGTTTTAGTGATGTGCACAAATTTTGTTTAATTAAAAGCAGAAAATCTGAATTTATGGTATGGCCTTTACTGGCATATTCTCTTTAAGCTGTATGATCCATATCGAATCTCTCTAGTTCAAATCTTCATTTTTCCAATCAGAAGTGCAAATGTAATTTCAAAGTCTACTTTTTATTGAATTTACAATTTAAAATACAAGTGCAAAGTACGATTGATTAAAGAGGACTTTTGTAAATCTTACATTAACTTTTGTTTTGTAGAAATCTTATGACTTCGGGAAAAGTAAATCAGAAAAGTATGCTAAAGGACTAGAAAGTGCATTATTAGAGATCAGTAATAGTATTGAGGTTTGTATTTTCAGTTATATAATTTTCTGGTAAGTTTTGTACAAAAAATGTAATGTTTAGGGGGGACAGTAAGAAGGTATTGACGCTAGGAAGAAGGAAAAAGCTATACATTTTATTTAGTGACATTTAAAATGTTTTACTTACGAGAAAGAAATTCAATCATTTTATAATTTTGCATTTGTAAAATTAGATGCTGTAAAATGGTAACAAGAATGAAATTCAGATGTAGAACAACAATGGTCATACATTTAACCATTAAATATAAATTGTAAAACACAAAAAAATTGTATACACAAAAACAAAATAAAAAATAAAGACCTGATAGTGGCAATTAGAACAAAGACCACTTAATGTGTAATCAGTGACTTTATATGCAAGGAAATACTTCCACAGGCAAAGTTGACCTTAGATGGCTATTTTTTTAAGATCCTTTTTTGGTAATTAAGCTAATCAACTGTTTATATACATCATTGGCTTTCAAATGTTCGGCTTTGAGCATTCCTGATGAAGGTAAATCCAGAAAAGCACTTCGTGTTGTTTCCATTTTTTTTATGTTTTTCATTTGAAAAAAAGTTTTTTTCCAAGAAGCTTATACCTTTTCTGTTGCCTTTTTCCATGGTGTTGTCAGATTCTCTTCGACATTTGATTTTTGAATGTCCCCTTGGTATCGCCTACCTCTCTCTTTGTACACATAACAAAGTTCTGCTGAATTTGTTAAAGTAAACATCTTACAAATAAACATATTGCCAGTTTCTCTGGATTACCACGAGGAATTTTTGTCCTGGCAGCATGTTATTTCTTTTTTTGTGTTCATTTAATTGTGGACCCTTCAGAATAACCTCATCTACATATTGATGTGTTTGTCCTTTAAGGTCCTGAATTTATATCTGAATGAACATTAATCATTCTGGAGTCAATATAATATTTAAAGATATGGGATGTTATGCATGGTTATCAAAGATTGTTAAAAGATGCGGACGGTCATTCCCATTTGTCACACGGAGGCAAAAAAATGTGTTAACCAAAGGGAAAAAAGACCGTGAGCTTAAATCCATCAATTGAAAACGTATGAATTGACTAGTAACTTTGAAATACTAATTGATTCAGTTGAGAATTATGCCAGGCAATGGGCGAAAAAGAAGACTATGTAGTCTTTCCGAATAGATCAAGGTCGTTGATATTAATTAGAATAAAAAAAATGAATTGGTCAATGAACACTCATGCTACATCTCTTTTCAAAAACCCAGATTTTGCTAAGCATCTAGTTTTGGTTATTGTCAACATATTTGTTTCTTTTCGAGTACGTGTTTTAACAAAAAAAAATCGGTATTCCTACGGGAACCAACTGTGCTCTACTTGCCGACTTGTTACCTTATTCATTTGAGACAGCATTTATATAGGAGTTCTTAAAAAGAATGATTAGAAGCTAGCAGTATCCTTTAAAAAGTAAAATAACAAAAATACCGAACTCCGAGGAAAATTCAAAACGGAAAGTCCGTAATCAAATGGCAAAATCAAAAGCTCAAACACATCAAACGAATGGATAACAACTGTCATATTCCTGACTTGGTACAGGCATTTTTTTATGTAGAAAACGGTGGATTAAACCTGGTTTAATAGCTCTAAACCTGTCACTTGTATGACAGTCGCATAAAATTAACTTCACGTTCCGCTATGTGGATGATGTGCTCCACTTATTAATTCAGAGATTGGTGACTATGTTCAACGCATCTTCCCCGTCGAACTTGAAATAAAGGATACAACAGATATAGTTAGGTCTGCATCATATTTAGACATACATATAGAAATTGTCAATGAGGATAAGTTGAGAACAAATTTTTAGGACACAAGGGATGATTTCAGCGTTGCAATTGCGAACTTTCAATTTCCATGTAGCGCTTTTTTGGATTTACCTTAATCAGGAACACTCAAAGCCGAATATTTGAAAGCCAAGGATGTACAGTGTAAGAACAGAAACAGTTGAGCTATATGACCAAAAAGGATCCAAAAAAGTAGCCAAATCCATCTAAGGTCAACTTTGCCTGAGGAAATTGAAACCTTAGTTTCTTGTAATTTCAAAATTTATTAACGGGAAAGGTTTGTTATAAATCATGTCAGTACCAAAGTACTGACTACTGAGCTGAAGATAACCTCGGGGACTAGTAGTCCACCAGCAGAGGTATCGACCCAGTGCTGTAAAAAATAAAAACAACACGTTATAAATTTCATGCGTCCGAAGCGCTTTTCTGGATTTACCTTCATCAGGAACGCTCAAAGCCGAATATTTGAAAGCCAAGGATGCACAGTGTAAGGACCGAAACAGTTGAAGAGCTTTTGGACCCTTTGGACCTTAATGTGGACCTATATAAAAACAGATGACCAAAAAGGATATAGAAAATAGCCAAATCCATCTAAGGTCAATTTTGCCTGAGGGAGTTGAAAAACCTTAGTTACTTATAATTTCAAAATTTATTAACGGATAATTTTAGAAAGGTTTGTTATAAATCATGTCAGTATATATATCAACATTCACCAGCGCCTGCATATAGAAAATATATCTCCCGGGGATACAATATTCTAGAACTTGCGGTTCCTATCACAATTTCCTTGATAGATGGTTGATGCTTGCAAGTAAATTATTGACCCTATGGTTTTAAGTGAGTTCATTCCCTCGAACGTTTTGCATACGTCATTACGGGATGAATGACCGTTATGGAATATCTGTTTCACAGATTATCACAGATATGTTTCAGTTATCATAACCACAATCCCATTCTTTTGTTCTCGATTTTAACATCAAAAAATGAATGGTAGATGAAATGAATTAAAGCGTTACTTATACATCTGTACAAGTACATAAATCGACAGGTACATAAACAAGACCTAAAATGAAAGATTTCGAAAAATTAAGATAACTGAATGATTTGAAGTACTGAGGGCAAAGAAAAGGTTTTGCATAGGTTTTTAAGTCATATATTGTTCAATCAGAATACATAACCCTACACATTTGGAGAGATAGCTCTGCCAATAAAATAAAATATCCCCTACAACACTCTAACGTGCGGCAAGCCCCCTGCACACTGTTGACTGCAAGACCAGATTCGGATCACTTAAATCAGACTTATGTTTTCAAATTTGGAACAGGATCTGCTGACCCTTCGTAGGCATATAAGATCACCCTCGGTTTCGTTGGGATTCGTGTTGCTAAGTCATTTTATATTGTGTATTGTAGACTGTTGTTTGTCTTTTTGTCGTGTTTTGCCATGATGTTGTAAGTTTGTCTTCGACTTGATTTCGAATATCCCATTCGTATCTACCGCCTCTCTTTTTAAAATAAAAAAACGTGCTTATTGACGACTATCGAAAACAAATTGCTATTTGGTTTATATATAATTTATTTTAAGACAAAGAAAAAAGATTTACAAATAATATTATATTCACTAGGTTACCCCTACCATTTCGAAATACATTAAGGATCACAGAAAAAACACAGCCTTGCTGGTAGTGGATTCGTTATTTAAGGTATGTCGTACCCGGTATTATGACTATGAGATATTATGAATATGACTTTTGTCTGAGTAAGGCAATACATATAAATATATAAGAACGGTGCTTCTTTAATTTTGTTTATGACCTTCAGCAGGTAGCCTGCAAAATATTCCAATTCAAAGCTCGAATAAAAAACATAAACCTGGGTTTGTTAACTTCCGACGTTGTTTTTATATATCATCGAAAATATGTTTATACCTGTGACATAAATTTTATGAGTTTTAGAACCACTAGATCAATGTCACTGCTAATGGACGTATCGCCAAGAGGATATCACCAGCCTAGTAGTTAGCAATTCTGTGTGTTATCATGTAATATTAATTAAACATTCATTTTTACTCAAATTTACTATGCATAAAACCTTTAGGGCATCTTTTGGGAATTTTTTGTTTCCAATGCCCTTCAACATTGTAATTTATGTAGCCTTTCAACTGTTTTGTTTCAACCGTCAATGAATATTTTTGTGTAGACGAAACGAACGTCTGGCTTACTAAATTATAAGTTTGGTATCTTAGATTTGTGTGTTTTATAACTTTAAATGATAAAAATCTCCTTGTTCGTATACTTGCAGTCTTTTTTAAGTTCTCATACCGAGTTTAATGTTGGTGGTAAAGATGTGAAGACTTTCATTAAGAAGACATTGTCACTGTGCTGGTTGATGACTATACAAGATCCGCCAGTAATACTTAATACAGAATTATCCGGGAAGTTTAATACTGATCTATTCCGACATTATACAAAATCAGGTTCAAATGTTGACTATGTAGTTTGGCCAGTAGTTTTCCTACACGAAGGTGGACCTATTATCTGTAAAGGAGTAGCTCAAGGAAAATAAATGCATGTCTTCCAGGATACAACGATGTAGCATTCACTTAACATATATCTCATTTCCTCAGTGAATACATTTCAGAAATATAAACATAACAAATGATAGTCTTTTTTATAATTAATTTGAACAGGTTACTCTGTTTCCATAATCCATGTTAAGAGGAAAAATACACCGTCTGTGGAGGTAATGATATATGATATAGATCTAATTGCGGCAGCACATGATTGTGAAATTAGACGATTGTTCTGCATCTGATTTCTATTGAAGTAAATATGTAAAATAAAAATAAAGTTGCACTTGAACATGAACAAAACTCATGAAAGAACTTGTAAGACATGGATGTACAAAATACTTGTATACCATATGTTGCATTTTATCCTCAGTTGTATGTGCTGTGTTTTTCGTAGTCATTTATATATTTTTTTTATTAAACACAAATATCAAAGTATTGACATTTTATGTCGATGTATGAATTTGATCTTATCTTGGTATGGTAATATCGCATGGTTATGTGATCGAGGTCTTTTCTCTCTTAAATAGTGTATGTTGATTTTCTGTGTGAAAGTTTTATTACTTTTATGAATAAGAGTAGATGTTTGTGCATGCGTCTTGGGAATTTATATTGTTAAAGTTTTGTTTGCTTCTACCACAACTATTTGAAAAACGTAAAAAGAGAGTCATTGTATGTTTTCTGTCTATAATCTAGATAAATACCCTCTCGTAACCGATTCGTCCGAAAAGGAGGAACTTTGTTTTGAAAAATGTTTAGATAACTGATTTCGAGAAATGTGTTTATTCCAAAGGACCAAACAAAAATGCAACGTTCGTTGAACTGTATTGTGAATTGTAAAAAGAAGACCAAAGTAGCGCGTGCCTTTATGATAGATAGGCTAGAGAAGAACTTCTTGATAACTTGAAAATACCGTTTCTTTTTCTATTATGATATAAATTCAACAGAAACAATCAAAGATCCGTTATTACAAAATTAGAGAATAATGGGCAAAACATGCAGAATAAAGGGCAAAACAAAAAGAATAGAGAAAAATAGGACAAAAAATAAAGAATAGAGAATAACAGGCAAAATTTATAATGAATCAAGAAAAATGGATTAAAAAATGAAGAATGCAGAATTGAACGACCCGTGTTGTATTTTGTTTTATTTATTTAATTAACGTCTGTGCCTTTTCGATATTCCATTGTCTGATATATTCTTAGATATTAGAAACTGTTTAATACAGTGTTTAAATGTTAAGTTAGACAAAAAAAAACTACTAATTTGCTGCGAGGTAAAGCCTTTTCATCGACTTTTACTTTTTCTTTTTACGGGATTTTAACATGTGCGACGCAACTGGAGACACTACCAAAGCACAAAGTGCTATGCTTGCGGGGAATGCGAGTTCATCACAGCTATCGATTGGGTTGAATTGGCTTAATCTTTAGTTTTCTGCGTAGCATTTTGTGGACTAATGTTTGTATTTTCGTCTTTTGTCTTAAGGTCATGTTGTTGTCTGTGTTTAGTCGACTTACGGTATTTTATAGCTCCTTAACATATTTATTTATGAGGCACGGATTTAGTCAAAATAATTGAGTGTAAGGAGATCATAATTTTTCAGGACCTCCATAATTCCAAATCACGATATCCATAAATCATTGAGGACTTAATGAAATGAAATTATATAGGTCCTGAATGATTTATGGATATCCTTAATTCCAATTATGGAGGTCCTGAAATAATTTATGAGCTTTATAAATACCTACATTATTTCATCCTATTGACATTATATGACATAAACAAGAATTAAATACTTATAGTATAACTTATCGCCGTCTTTGTATATCAACGTTGTTGGATTCACTTTATGTATTGTCCATTTCACTGTACTTTTTTGACGTATGAAGATGTGTGTATTGTAAACAGTTGTTAAAATGGTAGATCATCACTTCGAGAAGATTTATTCAGATTCTTCAAATATTGTGGAGCAATAAGTCATTTTAAATCACATAACTATTAATTATTGATATGTGATACACTTAATCAATTACTAAGTAAGTTGGAAGTCTCAAATAAAGGCAACAGTAGTATACCGCTGTTCGAAACTCATAAATCGATAGAGATAAAAACAAATCCGGGTTACAAACTAAAACTGAGGGAAACGCATCAAATATAAGAGGAGAACAACGACACAACAAAAACACAACATTAAAATGTAACACGCACAAAAACGAACTATAATATAACAATGGCCATTTTCCTGACTTGGTACGGGACATTTTAAGAAAAAAATGGTGTATTGAACCTGGTTTTGTGGTATGCCAAACCTCCCGCTTTTATGGCAACGTCAAACACAACACCAAAACGACAACATCACATGACAGGTCCACAATACAAATAAATGGGAGAACATATAGGACAAAGAAACACACGAATAATAGCTAGCAGAAGGTACTAGGCTTAAAATTCAATACGCCAGACGTGCGTCTCATCCACACAAGACTAACCAGTGACGCTCAGATAAAAAAAGTTTGAAAGCCAAAACAAGTACAAAGCTGAAGAGCACCGAGGACCAAAACTTCCAAAAAGTTGCGCCTAACACGGCCAGGATTTTCTGCCTGGGACAAGAACATCCTTATTATTTAGAATAATTTATAATTTTGCAAACAGTAAATATTATAAAATGACTATTTAATAGATATACATGATAAAACCAAAGTGGGGACTAACTACAGAATAAAAACGGATACATCACATAAAACAACTTAATCCAACATATAAAAATACACAGCCGAGTTAGCTAAAGCCTCAACGCACAAAGTGACGTCACATTTGAAATTCTAAAAAAAGACACAAAGTGACGTTACATATGAATTTGTAAAAATATTTCCCAAAAGATAGGATTAGGATTGATTCAAGATAGATTTGTAATACTGCCATTACATTTATTAATAACAATGAAAATTACAATACTTATTAATATCAAATTGTGGTAGTAATTAGATAATTAGTTGTGTTATCTAGCTATTTCGGTGTTTCTTCTGAATCAAACTGTAAACCAAATATATCGTATAAATTTCGTTGAACCAAACTAAAATCTAATAAATGAAGGGGTGATTAATTATCTATACCATAACACACGAATATAACAGAAAATACGTTAAGACATTTGACAAAATCCGACGAGAACAACAAATATAACATCAAAATTAAATACATAAATTAGGGATAGAAAGGTACCGTGACACGTCTTATAGCAATGCGGTTTCACACTCAGCAAAACAGTCACAATCGGGAATAAGTCACGTTCGGTAATTAAAAGATCAGACGACGTAATGACAAACCACTATCTAACACGTGGTAAAAATGTCCTTAGTTAGTTTTGACAAAGACACATCGTATGGATCAACCAATTGGTGATGGTGTCCGTAAAATTTACGGAGTGTCATTTTTAATCTGTCCTCCTCATAACTTTGTTGGGGCAGTTTCTGCGTAAGGAGCACACTCCTGTATATGAAGTCCGTATAGTGTGAACAAGCACGAGAATAACGTATCAATTGAGATATGTAAACACCATACGAAGGGGCAGAGGGTATGTTACTGCTGAGAAATGGGAAATTGATAATTGGGAAGTTGAAATCGTCCCGTTTATCATAGATTTTCGTGTGAAGTCGTCCATCTGTGTCAATATTGAGGAAAAGATCAAGGTATGAAGCAGTCCTTTTAGTATCAGTAGTATCCTTAATTTCGAGTTCACTGGGATATATGAGATGTAAGTATTGGCTGAAATATGGGTTATTCAATGATAGAACATCATCAATATATCGGAAAGTAAAATTAAAGAATGTCGCAAGGTGCTTTTTCTTTTTGTCTTTTAGAAGGTTCTGAATGAATTCTGCTTCATAGGAGTACAAAAACAAATCGGCCAGTAGGGGTGCACAATTAGTTCCCATTGGAATACCGACTGTCTGTTGAAAAAGATCAAGGTATGAAGCAGTCCTTTTAGTATCAGTAGTATCCTTAATTTCGAGTTCACTGGGATATATGAGATGTAAGTATTGGCTGAAATATGGGTTATTCAATGATAGAACATCATCAATATATCGGAAAGTAAAATTAAAGAATGTCGCAAGGTGCTTTTTCTTTTTGTCTTTTAGAAGGTTCTGAATGAATTCTGCTTCATAGGAGTACAAAAACAAATCGGCCAGTAGGGGTGCACAATTAGTTCCCATTGGAATACCGACTGTCTGTTGAAATATAAATCCTCCAAACTCAACAAATATATTGTCGATCAAAAAGTCCAGCATTTTGATAATACCATCTTCAGTATATTTTCTGGTAGATTCAGTGTGGTTTTTCACAAAATATGAACTATTGTAACCCAAAACAAGAAATTTGTATCTACGATTCCCATTTTTATAGAAAAAGCTCTGTTTAATGAGATGGTGAAGTCGATCTTTCAACTGAGCATGTGGAATAGTAGTGTAAAGGTTAGAAAAATCAAAAGTTTTTATGTTGCTGCAAAATTGCAAAGATTGTGATCGAAGATTAAGCAGTAGATCTTTCGAATTTTTGAGAATCCACATCTGGTTAACACCACTGGTAGAATATATCTCATCACAATATTTTTGAAGCCCATCTTTAACTGTAGAAAGAATAGTAGTCAGTACTTTAGAAAGATGTTTAGTCGAACATTTTGATGACCCAGCTATGTATCGTTCTTTATATGGAGTTTTGATGTTGATACCAAAAGAAAGAAGGACAGATTTGTGATTTTGTAAAATTTCGTCCTTGGTAAATGATGACAAAGAATATGTAGGGTTACCAGTAGTTCTATTTATTTCAAGTGAGGCTCCAGAAAAAAGGAGGGGAAAGTTTCGAGAATGAAAATAAACGAGTTATTTCACGTGAGATTCTACGAATTTATCACAATGGGAAATTCATATAAATCGCCATGATTTACATGATAACTACTCTTATTGTCAGTTGTCCAATTGTTAAGTGTAAGTTGACATAGTAGTGATTTGATAAAACCCACCAAATTACAACAGGCATCCTTTAAGTATCTGTTGACGTCTCATTGATATCTACTTTAAATCTCATTTTATTCAAATAGAAATGACTGCCGGCTATTTGCCAATGTTCCGTTACTATACCAACTACTCGATATAGTTGACGATACCCGTTCAACCGTTTACTGACCGCGTGTTGCAGTTAGAATATGTTTTGTACATTAATACTTTATAAGATAATATACACCAATAAAAACTAAAAAATACAAAACTTCCTTCATAAAATATAAAAATGTAACTCTGACTGGCTCACAACACCTCATTCCTTACCATGGTTCATGCTTAAGACGATTGCAAATTGCCTGAATCCCAGTACCAACTCCAATAAAAAGCATGAAAGAAAATAAAAGACGCAGGAAAAAAATATCGTGACGTCATATCAAT